CGGGAACCTGTTCTTGCCGGCGATGAGCAGCTATGGCCATCTCCGGCATTTTCTCCGGAGATGATGACGATGGCTGATCGATGCCGCAGGTCACATGGATAGAACACGCGGACTACTACGAGTCTGCTGTGCATCCGCTGTATCGTCTGCTCCTCCGCTCCGGTATGGCACTCGGTGCGCGCAGGTGGGTCGCCGCACTGCAGCGCCACTGCAACTCCCTGGCGGCGCTCTCCTCCTCCGCCGTCCTCTCCGGCGGCGATTCTCCCGGCAAGTCCCCACTTCGCTTCCGTATCTGGCTTCATCTCTATAGCTCTCGATAAAGATATGATGGGCCTCTCTCTCTCTCTCCGGTTGAGACAGTGGCGGCGGGGAAACGGGAGATGCTGAAGCTGGCGGGGAGGATGACGGAGAACTTCTGCGGGGGGGTGAACGCGTCACCGGCGAGGGGGTGGAGGAAGCTGAGAGCTGAAAACCTCGGCGAGGACGTGCGGGTGGCGATTCGCAGGGCCATGGCCGTACCCGGGGAGCTATCCGACGCAGTGATCTGCGCCGCCGCCTCGGTGTGGCTGGCGGCGCCGCCGCAACATCTCTTAGACCTCCTCCTGCGCGGCGAGTGGAGAATCCTGTCCGACGGCGGGCCGGTGCAGGAGGCAGCCACCATAGCCACCGGCCGCCGGCGGGAGAATACCGTCTCTCTTCTACGCGCCGGAGTAAGTCGTCTACATATACAGCTATGTTTCCCTTCTGCTCGCCGGAGTCGCCCTCACTACCATTGCAGCTTCTCCTGTCTGCTCTTGCTCGGACACGGGATGAGCCAGTTTTAGAGAGAGAGAGGAAGCAGAAGGGATCAGTTCCCAAAACCAGCCCTACCATGTCGTTCTAATCTTTTTGTTTTACTCGTGCATGGCCACATGCAGCCTGGCTGCGCCGCCAACGGCACGACGCTGATCCTGCGAGAGGTCTCCACTGACGTGTCGTCCTCGCTGGTTGTGCACGCGCCGCTGGAGGCCGCCGCCGCGGACCTCGTCGTGAACGGTGGCGACTCCTCCGGCGTGGCGCTGCTCCCATCTGGGTTCGTTGTCACTTCCGACGGCAGTGCCGCCGTGGGAGCACCAGCGTCGAAGACGGGCGGCTCCCTCCTGACGGTGGCGTTCCAGATCCTCGCGAACGGCCTCTCCGATACCAACACGCTCGCCGTTGACTCCGTGGAGACGGTCAACAGCCTCATCTCCCGCACCCTGGGGAAGATCGAGGCCGCCCTCCACTGCTGTGAGTGCTGAGATAGAGATAGAGCTTAATATGGATACAAAAAAATCAGGCCATTGCATGAATTAGATGAAATTCGTAGTGTTGACTCGCTCGCACGCCCATGAAAGGGACGGCATCGAGATAGACCTGCAACGGATGGTCAGCTGGTGGATACACCTCCCCCTTCCTCTGTTGTTTTTGTATTTAGAGACTCTCTCTCTCTCTCTCTCTCTCTCTCTCTCTCTCTCTCTCTCTCTCTCATATAGAGAATAAAGTAGATGGAACCGAAAAGTCAGCTTATTTATCCGGTCAACGTGAAGTATGTAGTCAATGCTCATTTTTTATTTTGATTATTCACCTTCCCCGTCTAAGTTATTTTGATTAGTGTTACTCTATTTTACAACTTGTTGGATTAGACTACGAGTTCATAATTAAAAAGTCAACGCGAACATGAGATTTGGTAATGATGTTGAATGATGCAGTCCGGGGAAAAATGTCAATCCCGTTGCTATTAGCTTCTCTCTTACATCCAAACTCAACAAATTGAGGTCAAAAGCCAGAGTTAACTTCCCTCACATGTCGGTCAACCAAAAACAATAATGTCAACAAGTCCGAGTTTCTTGATGACTCGTAAATCCTTGGTAATTAGGTTTGAAGAATCTATAACAATGCGGCGATTAGTTTCACATCCCTGGAAAATTGGTTTTCTACGTTGACTTTTAAGCATCAAGTGCTGCGTTGAGGAACGACATTAGTAAAGGAAAACTCTACCGGGGGCAAGAGGTCGTCGGAGCCACATACTGAGTACCGTTGACTTTTGTGTTATTCATCGATATGTCAATAAGGCTCACATCTTATATCCTACGTGGATTTTTTCTTTCTTTACCAAATAAGTGGATTTTTTCTTTCTTTATAAGTCAATTCACCAAAAATAATAGGAGTGTACTGTACGAGAGAGAGAGAGAGAGAGAGATTCTCCTAAAATTAATTTATTGGGTCCACCGCGCCCAGGTGGGCCCACTCTCTGCCGTGGATCCTTCTTGATCGAAGTCTTCAGACCAGGAGCCGTCTGCAGGGGAGCGTGGAGGAGGGTCAACCATCCCTGGTTGCGCCGCTTCTCTGGGGCACCAGGACTTCGTCGCTCTTCTCGGCCAGGTGGCGGCGGAGAGCCCAACATAAGAAGCCCAGCTGAGCCACGATCCCCTCCTGTCGGAAAGATTTCCCATTTTCTTTTCTTTTTAAAATTCGGAGGCGGAGGGAATGTTCGATGGCTTGGACCAGTCATGCTTCTTGGCCCTCTCCGTCCCGCTCACGCCGCTCATCGCCCTCTGAGGGAGAAGGAATCTGATCGGGTTGCGGGAGAACGGGGTTTTAGAGCTCCTTCTGAATGGAGAATGATGCTCTGTTGCGTCGGTACCGGCGGGAGCGCCGGAGGCTGCTCGAGTTCATCCTCTCCGCCGGCCTGGCGGCGGAGGTCCGGCCACCGCCCGGAGCCGAGGAGTTTATCGGACGTCGATTTGGATGTCGTTAGCGCCGATTATGTTCTCGAGCGCGTAAAGTCCGGTGAGTCGCTGTCTCAGCTTTTTGCGCCGGTTGGCTGTGCTTGTGGGGTGGAGCTGTGACGGCCGGAGAGTGTGCGAGTTTTTTGTGCAGGTGGGATGTTGGACCTCTCAAAAGCCAGCGAGAGGTACCAGGATGAATTGAGGTTCCCAGTTATGGTGGGTGCATTTCCTGATAATTCTTTTTCTTTTCATTTACGCGTCTTTCGTTTTTTTTAAATAATTTATGCGCGTTTACACGAACCCTCATTAAGTGTTCACGTCAGGCTTCAACCATAGTTGATTTGATATATTTTCTCTAATGAAGAAATCCAAATCTCTTGGACGGGTTTGTGATGAGCTAAGCATAGTTCTTTTAAACGTCTAATGGTTCTCGTGTCATGAAGATCCGAGTTTTTTTTTTTTATATATATATATATTTATGTGGCACTCGTTTTCTTTAAAATTCTGTAGGTCTTGGCTGCTTGTTCATGAAATCGAGAACAAGAAAACTAATCCCGTGAAAGTACCTGCGATCTAGTAATTTCAATAGCTCTTGGGTTATTTATAGACGAACACATTAACGGCAATATGTCATTGACATGTGTCTTAACTCTCAGAATGTGGTGTGCTCGTGTTTAATTACTTCTGTCACATTATTGATTTGAATTCTTAGATTTGGTCCATTAGCTCTGAAGCAATGCACCATTTATGCTGCCTATTGCGTTGGTCTCTCAAAATTTATTTTTTGCAGCATTTCTGATGCCTCATCTATGCACATTACCCCATAAGTGATGACATTTGATGCAATATTTTTGAGAGGGGTGGAAAGGTTTGTTTCTTTTTGACATCTTCGTGGAGATCTGAGCCTGTAGTTGGCCTATTTGATGTGGAAGGAGCCTGAGCTTCAGTGTAGAACAAACGTAAAAGTCAGACTTCAGAAATATTTATTTATTTATTTGGTTTTAAATTATGAGTCCCAATTTTGAGACATGTTGGAGGAGGTTTGGATGAGGTAGCGAATTTCCACCGATTATTAGTGTTCAAATGTGGGAGATTCCTTTTTTTTGTTTTTTGCTTTTTGAAGGGAGGGTCGTTGCCTATATTCAAATAAGATTATAATTGGGGAATCGATCCTAAATCATGTTAAACATGAGGATTTTCTCTCTGAATCTCTTAGAAAGGTGCAAACATTGGTCCCTTCCAAGCGTTATCCTCAGCTCTTATGTCTCCTTATCGTGGGTTGGCATCAGAAAATTTTCTTCTTTCTTCTCCCCTCACCGTTTTAGTTGGATTAGCATTAGTTTAGCCTGACACCCTCCAACCTAATTAATTTAGATGTGTTGTGGGGTTAGCGGTATTCCCTCTTTTGTAAAATTAAATCCTCACTGAAAAAGTGAGTATTAGTTTTTATTATTTTCATGAAGGCATGCTTTTTCTTCATTTGAAAGATCCTTTTCCCATGATACTGGCTGTTTTATCAGGTATGAGCTGGCCAGGAATTGATTTGATTCCGGGAAGAGTTGCGTAGAATTATTTTTTGAGCTGAAATGAATCTGAAATGAGTTTTGTTAGTCGTAACAAGCTGTCATCTTTCTTTAGCATTTTTTTTTCTCATCAACGGGAGTAGAGCTGAAAATGATACCTTTCGCTTTTCAGATAAGCTCACGGACAGGAATCACGTTTTTCCTGAATTCGAAACCCGAATTTTCTGGGCCTCCACCTCAACGCAACCCTCCCCAAGCTAATTTGAGCTCCCACCAGGCATCTTTTGCAGCTGAGCAGTCAGAACAGAAATCTGGAAGAGATTGTACGGATTCTAGAATTCCCAATAATGTTCACTGCACGGCTACAACATTTACCTCTTATCCACCTTTGAAAGACACAAGTAGCATCTCCTTTGGCTTACCCACGCTAAGTACAGGTGTTCTTTACTTTCCATTTTTATCCTCTAAAATGTTTTAGTGGCTTCTATCAGATTCACTGATTCCCGAAGCTGTTACTTAGGAGGTGATTTATTTATTTGATCTTGTTGTTTTTTCGTCTCGAAGGACTATCTGACGATGATCTGCGAGCAACAGCCTATGAGGTGTTAGTAGCTTCTGTCTTAATTTTCGGGTTAGTCTCCCTGTGCACTCATCACTCTGTTCTGTCTGCAAGCCTGTGTCAAAATCACTCATCTTTGGATTTCTAGGGGACACGCTTATTTTCATGAAGACAAACAGAAGGAAAAGAAGTCCAGATTTTTGACGGGCTTAAGAGCCAAAAGAGACAGAACAAAAGTCATCACTCAATCTGTAGATTGGCATTCTGAGATTCTGGATATGATTCGAGTTCAGATGGAGGCAAGCTCATTTTATTTTTAATTATGCAGAAGAGTTTTCATTTCCTCTGGAATGGTGTCAGGAATGGGCCGTTGCTTGGCGCTTATTAGAAATTTGGATGTGGGTAAACACTTGGTATGGTGGATGGACTTTTTGATATAGATCATAAATAGCAATGAAAGAGCTTTATGATCCGTTCTAACAGATGTTGAGAGTTTTCTACTACTTTGAATGGAAAGTTTTCTGTTCCTAAATCTGTAATCATTTTGCATCATAAATAGACTCTGTGAATGAGAATCCTCTCATGCTGAATTTTGGCATTTGTTGATACTTTTTAAATTGGTGATTGATTAGCGTCCTTTCTATATTGCTTACCGGAGTCTAGGTTAGAGTCTTAATATCCTTTGGCAGTGGACACATTTCATGCCATCATGTTAATTCTTTAACTTCTAGGAACTCATCTGTTCACATTTTAGACTATCATTTTCTGCATGACATTCAACATCCCTCATCCGATGTAGTCGTTCTAGGGTCTCCTAATTCACTGCATAAAAATATGTTGCTCTTTACGCTTGGCTTTCTGAACTTAATTGCGACTAGGGCTCTTTTGCTGACGAACATATCGTTTGTGTCTAGTTATCGTCATTAGTTTTATTGTTTGGGATGACAATATTTTCTTTAATTTCACATCTTTTTCTTTTTGCTAGATTTCAGAAGCAATGGATGCATGTATTAAGCGAGGAGTAATGCTTTTCCATTCAACGTTGACATCAGAACGAATTGACGTCCCTCAAATCATGCTTGAGCTCCTAAGCAATGTTAAAAAGTCAGGTTTTGTTAATGAAAAGCTGTTCACACAATGGCAGCTGAAGAAGGCAAGGCTAAATCTTCATTCTTCTGTTTTCCATGTTTTCAGGATTCTAGATTTATATGCGTTCTCCTTTTTTCTAGGTAAATATTCTTGAAGAACTTCTTTGTGGTTCTGTAGATGTTGTTACGGAAGATGAATATGCAGCACTGAAGCTATCTATTTCAGGGTTAAGAAATATCAGTGTAAGCCTTCCTGTTTATTTTATATTATGTATGATTTTTTAATGAAATATGAATTGGATGAAATTAATCATCGATTTTCTCTCTGTTCCTGTCTAGGTGCCAATTCTTTGCCGTTTTGTTTTATTGCATCGTCTTTGTGGGCTTGATTGATCTATAATGTTGTTCCAGGGAAGAAGTGACAAAACAGACTCAGCTGGACAAGATAATATTCTGATGACTATTAGAAACTTTGTATCAAGGTTGTCTAATGTGCCTGGAAAGTTTGGCCTCCCAGGTGAAACCTGCTACTGGACGAGCAGTTATCATTGTCATGTCAAACTATATGAGAAGTTACTCGTGAGTGTTTTTGATATCCTTGAAGATGGTGAGATAGTAGAGGTGTGTGTGGTTACACCTGCCGGCAAACTGTAGTTTCAATTTATTTGTTAAGGTTATTTATCTATGTTTGCTATACTGTACAATCATGCATCTGGTTAATTTATTTTTATTTTCCTTGTAGGAATCCGAGGAGTTCCTCTCTATTTTTAAATTAACCTGGCCTGTGTTGGGCATCACTCAAAAATTGCATGATGTATTATATGGGTGGGTGCTTTTACAGCAGGTATTTATTTATTTATTTATTTCTCTGTTTCTGATCGGTAAATAAATATCCAAATACTGAGGTGTCCTGAGAACTTTACTTGATGGCAATTCTCATCTTATCTCTATTTAAATTTTATGTATAAATGCAAGGTAAACTCGGAAAGCATGCCTCGGACTCATTTGCGTTTTCAGTGTATGATTCTTGTATGACCACCACCATTAAAAATGTTCTTTTTTAGATAGTTTATGTGTCCTAGCTGTGCCAATTTTTTTTCTAGAAACTGATTTTTATATCCATGTGGATGATGTAAATTCTTATTTGCTGTGCATTTTCGGCAAAAATTACAACCTCAAAAATTTATCTGGTTCGTTACTGAGCTATCAAGTAAGCTAAAGTTTGGTTTCATTTATCTGTTATCAGAGTGGGTTACCAAGTTCCCACTCTGGTATCTCCCGAGCTCAGCTTTGCCCCCTTCTATACTCTTTGCGGTGGTCACCTACCCCCTTGTAGTCTCAGGTGCGTGACCCCTCATCTTCCTCGTTGCTCTCTTTTGCCGCCTAAAGCCAACTGCTTCCCCTTCCTTGCCCTATGGTAGATTGCATATGTTCGCCAAATCAGACCACCCAACCTCCTCTCCCACGAAAGTGCTTTCTCATTCACCAGATACCCAGGTCCATGAGTGTTAGGCGCAGTTACCAAGATGGAACCACCTGCATTCTTCTCTCATCTTCTCTCCTTCAGTATCTGTAAGTCGAGTATTCAGCTCCCTTCTTGTCACACTGTTCTTCCCTTCTTTGTCTACATTGCTCTGTCTCCATTTATCTATTTCTCTTTGAATGTAAACCCTCTTCCCCGCTGTCCTCACCATCCATCTTTGAGTGTATTTATCCTCCACCTCTATTTCCCTTCTCTGTGTAAATTTCTCTCTCTCTCTTTCTCTCTCTCTCTCTCTCTCTCTCTCTCTCTGTACATCATGTATATCTAGTACGTATAATATATAGACGTGTGTCAGTCTCCCTCTCTCCCTCTTGCTTGACTGCATGTTTCAATTGCATTAAAAAATGTGATGATTAAAATCTTCTGCCTCTCAGTCAAAGTGTTTCCCCAGTATGCTGAAAGTAAAACTCTTCCAGATATCAGTTGATTGGTTGATTTCCAGCCGAATTTGAACTTTAGTTGCTACCGGATTTTGAAATCCCACATGTACCTGGTTGATGTGGAGGAGGTACAAGAAATAAAAAAAAAAATCCCTCTCTGCTACTGACTGCTGTGATGTGCTACCTCTTCTTCCTGCCAGTGACTACTGCGAGACTGCATTTGTCTATTATTCCTTGTTCATAATCCTATCAGGAAAAGAAGACTTGAAAGATTAGTTCATGATAATGAAAATATGTCTGCTGGGCCTAGCTGATCCTGGTCAGTCTCATTCTTTGACGATTCTCTTTTATTTGTGTGGAGTTCAGTTTGACAGAATATAATGGTTGAAAAGGGATCTGAATCATGATTTAGCTATGCTTTAGGATGATGTTTAGCTCGTTCAATATCTGGAGACGTCAAGATCTGCGTTATGGATTGTATCTGGGGCATTTCCCTTATTTGAAATTCTTTTATTAAAGCCTTTTCATGTCTGTTTAAGTGTAGCACTGATGTAGAGTTCAAAATTCTTTATCCTTAACCCAGCACTCTATGATTTTCACTTTCATATGTATCGTTATTTAGATTTGATACATACCTTTATGAACGTTCTGATGAGGATTTTTTTGTAGTATATATTGACAGGAGAAACTACTCTATTAAAAAATGCGGTTATTCAAATTCGGAAAGCAGTATCAAGTGAAGATGTTAATAGAAATGAAGAAGCGTATATGAACTGTCTTTTATGTTTTAATGGAGGTCATGAAGGCCATGGAGACTTAAGTTTGGTGCAGGCTGTTTTATCGTCAATTAAGGGTTGGTGTGACAGCAAGTTGCGAGACTACCACTTATATTTTACTCAGGTCTACGATTTTAAAGAATTCCTCTTCCTTTTTGTTATTACATGCAGTTAAACTAGCTTTCTCTTAAATGATGATATACCAATTATTGTTGGAACCAAGAATTGGTTCCGACAATAACAAAGCATAATACTAACTTTGTGAGCTCATATCTTGTGGACTTTAGTTTTTAATGCCTTCCATATTATAACTATGCATTATGCACGTTACCCTTTTCAGCTTACTTATTGCAAGTTTTGCATTCTGTAGCTGATTGCTGGTTCAGAAAAATAACATGGTAGTGAATGCATGGGTTGATTCTCTTTTAGAACCTGGAATATATTGGTTGATTATAGTTTTTTTTGACCATTGATTTTGATCAAATTCCTTGTCAAAAAATGCTAGCAGTGCTTTTCTTTTATGTCTAAGCATGAGAAAAAAAGTTGGTTCTCCTGGCCATAAACAGGCCATAACTACACTATTTTTAGATCATTTTTTTGAACTTATGGAGTGTTTTGAGCCTTATCATTTTTAGCCGATCTAGGTAGTGTGGAAATTTATTTTTATTCAATGAAGACTTAACTTCTGTGAAATTGATTTATTGATTTAGTTGGCGTGTAATAGGAAGCTTTGACAAAGAATCTACTCGTTTTAGCTACTAATGGATTGTACCTGCTTTTTTGGGTCTGCTGGAAGCCTGTAAAAACCCTTAATTTCTGAGATACATTTCTTTCGTGCGTCCAAATTGCCACAGAGTTGCATAGGGGATAAGCCACCAGATTGAGCTTAGATTGTCTTATCCTTCCATTTAATGGGACAGTTTTCTCTTGTAATTGAAACTTATACAATATTGTTGACTCCACTCAGCAAGAGATGTAGGTGGAACCAATACACATAAAAAATGTTAGAGTTCCAGCATGTTTACCTTTCTTCACTTGTCTACTGCAATGTTCTCCTTGTTTTGTTGTCTCCTTATGGTTGATACCCAACAATCATAGCTGAAACTATCACGAGGAAAGGCAATTAAATTAATCAAGCAATAATTATATGAATGTATTTATATTCTGCATATTCAGTTAGACTGAAGAAGAGGAAAGTAAATGTGTGGTTGAAAGGGACATTTATGTTCAACAGTTTTGGCTAGAATTGGAAAGGAACTAGATTCTGTCATCGAAATAACTGTGTTTGGACCTTTGTTTCTATTGTTATTCATTGGAGCCGAAAATGTATATAAAAATGCTTAATCATGAGAGAACAGTCTGGTCATTGCCAGATTATGTATTTTGAGTTTTTTTCACTTTTCTTGTTGAACATTTGAGAAACAATTATTGGAATTTTCACTATTTTTGTTTCGAATCAGTGTTTTACCTTTCTTGTGGTGCCTTGTTTCCACCTGAGAATCGGAACTCATTTTTATTTTCACTTGAAGCATTTTCCAGTGGAAACAATGATGTACAACAAAAAACATAGAAATGATAGTTAAAATAATGGATACTTATTATTTTCTGCAGAAACCCGATGACTTTGTAAGTGCTGTAAACTTAGCAGCTGTTCTTGTATTGCATTTTGGTGGAGAACGGTATGAAAGCAAGGTCAGTAGTATGCCAATTTTCCATTATGATTCCAATTGCATTTATTTTCCCTCATCTTATTTACTAGGTTTATCTGCCAGGGGTAGTTATTTATTGGCATCATGTTTATTTATTCTAAAAAATTATACCTTTCAGCCGTGACCAATTTACTGAGTTCTATGACTATGAACAAATAAGATGATTGGTAGGATGATTTATTGATTGGACCAATGTTGTCTCTAAACTCACTACTGTTCTCACCATGAGTTCTTCTCATTGATGACTATGAACTTCAATTTTTACTTTGTTTTTTGCTTTAAAAATGGAGTCATGAGTTCCATTTCCTGTCATAATTGTCTCACATCCTGATTTGGATGAATACATAGTCCAAATCTAAGGATTGACAGGACAGATTAAAACTGAACTACAGGAGAACTGGATTTAATTTATTTGACCACATATGATTGCTGTATTTTACTTTGTGAGTTCCATCACGCTGATTGTGATATTTATATTAAATCAAGCGGAATGTTAGAGAAAAAATCTATTACGAAGAGATAGTTTTAAGGTTGATTTTTGAATCATTTTTGCATAATAAGCTTCATCTTGTGCAGTATGTGCAAGTGGTACTGGTACCTAATAATCTTCATAATTTTTATCAATGCAGTTTGGTATGGACATATCCAAGACTGAAACAGCTCCAGAGCTCATGAAAGGATACATCGAAAGTTCCATTAGTGCCGCATGTGAGCGGGTAGGATGGTACATTTTTTGTCGTTATTTTATCCTCTTCGTGCACTTTTTCAATTGTTCTGTCTTTTTTTTTAGGTCGTTGACTTATCGAGCAGCATGTCTAAATTAGAAGGAAGTCATCAGCATCTGGCTAAATTGGCTGAGGATTTAAAATTAACAGCTGACACAGAATTCATCACATTCACTCCCGTGCTTTCCCAATGGTATCCTGAAGCAGGAATCGTTTCAGCTGTGTTCTTACACAAGCTTTATGGGAAATATTTGGTAATTTTTTATCCTTTCTATTGGAGCTGAATGTTTGGGTGCTTTTTCTCATTTTCGGGGGATGATGTTCTAAAGATGTACAATATGACAAAAACTTTGATACATGAGGACAAAGTATTTCGTTTGGATGCAATCTGCCACATTTCACAGATGGTGCCTTCATTTTAGCTACCTATTTTTGTGGAAAAATGATATGTTTGCCATGAATTCCAAGTTTAGCTGGAGGTCATTTGTCATTGATGAGAGTCCAACTCTCTCACCTTAAGAAGAGTGGGGGGTGGGTGGTGTTGCTTGCATTCTTTAAATAATAAAACGTGACATTTTCTCGTGCAGATGCCATTCTTGGAAAGTGTTTCAGATATTTCAGGAGGTCCAAGGTCAGTGCTTACAGCAGCTGATATTTTAGAGAGGTGCCTAAATGACATGCTTTACTCATGTGGTGAAGAGGGTGTGTCATTCTTGGCCAGTGATTTGCATCCTTATAAGGTTAGAACAGCCAATTCCATGGAGTTTGCTGCATGATCAGTCCAAGTGATATTTATTCCTTATGTTTACATAAACGAAATTCTATATATTGCTTCCCTTTTATAGTCTTCAGAACTTATTTTCATTGTTGCTTTCCTGGAGGATAATTATTTTTCAACGTCAGCTGAAGGAATAATGGTTAAAACGTTATTTGAAATACATTCTAGTTGTTGAAAAAAAGTTTTTATCTAAAGGCAGTGGGGTAGCCAGTGATCATAATCCCACAACCCAATCGATTTATGAAGTTTTTTTGCTCAACTACTGCGCATCTGAAAGATCTAAGTTTTTTTTGAATTAGATATTGTCTTGAACAGTGGCGAAAACCCTAGAATAATATGCAGAGGAAAAACTCAACTCGTATTCACATCATAAATAACTGTTATATACACAAGTACTATGGCCAGAGAACAAGGAAACCATCTAACTAGGAAATCAACAAACCAACAAACAAGGAAACTGTCCAACTAGTTATTTCCCACAGATATCATAAATGAATTCAACAGCTGTATATTTTACTATGTATAAGCAAATGTTTATTTGGTCACGCTTATGTAGTCTATATAGATTATATCTATCACATTCACACGATGGAAATCTTAGTATTGATAAGTAAAGCAAAATGGTAAATTCCATGAGCTTGGACTCTCTGATGACATATCTAGTGCAAATAATTTCAATGGATAAGAATATTCACTTTAAGGGGCTTGTTGATTGTATATGTAAGATAGATGGTCATGGAAGGTCTTTTTTTTCTTTCAAACTTATCTTCAGATGAACCTTGTCTTAACCAAATCTAACTTTTTACTTGGCTGGTTTTAGACTCTTTTAGTCTCTTTTGTTTGCCACTTACCTTCATTGGGCTTTATAGTTTCTGACCTAGTGGTGTATTCTTTATTGTGACAAGGCAGTATGGTTGAGACGCATTTAGGGAAGCGAATAAATTTCAGTGTCACCTCAAGGAAGAACATGAAATGAACTAAGAATCTAATACCTGACTTTGTGAGGAACTCGACAAGCTTAATTTGGAAGGACTTGGGTGGTTGCCATTTTTGCTTGGTTTATTTTTGATTCAGAATCCCCTGCTTCCCAGGTGTATCTTTGATTCATCAAACTAGTTATTCTCTCAACTGTCTTCTAACCCCATTTACCTACTTTCTCTCTCCAAAATTCTACATATTGGAAGATGGCGAGTGTCTAAAATTTAGGATGTATTTTTGGGGGTTGCTGAGTGGTGGGATGGGACTATTTATTTTTTTGAGGATATAGATGGTGAAAACATATGATAAAATTACTTGAGGGAATTCTTTCTTCATCTTCTTTGTCGTAAAAAAAGAAAATAAACCATCAGTGGGATAGTAAGAAACCTCCCAATACTGTACGCCAGGTTCTTGATGTTTGGCCCTTGCTACATCTTCTTTGTTGAGAAAATAAAATGAACCATCTGTGGGATGGTAACCTCCCCGCTAATGTACACCAGGTTCCTGATATACAGTTCTTAACTAAAATCTTTTAGACTAGAGCATTCCATTTATACCATAAGATTCCTTAGCACTGGCGTCATGATCTCCCCCACATTCACCAAAATTGAAAATCCTAATAATTTCACCTCAAAACAGGAAATTATGTGGAGCAATTTACCCCATTGGTGGCACTGGTAGACAAATCACTTAAGATCATCTGATATCCTTGGTTATTTGCCTTATAGTTGTTATGCGATATTCACTGTTTCAATCTGTCACTTTTTCCCATTAGTGAAGGACTTTCACTTCATACAGCTGTAAGCAGCAGGACACCAAAAATCATCAGTCTGTCACTTACTTTCATATGTGAACCTTCGCATGGTAAAGCTGCCGGCTGAGCAGTAGTGGTTGTCGGCTCTTTTTCTTTCCGCTTCTTTATTTTTATCCTCCCTCTTCTTTATCTTCGTCCTCCCAGTTTTTTTGACTGCTTCATTTCTTGCACTTACTGCTGGTGGATGTATTTATCATTACCTCCCCTTCCCATTGCCTCCGATCACAGTATATCAGCGACATTGAATGGAATGGAATCCAACCAAATCTTCATTGCATCTGTACCGAAGTCTATTTTGGCAGTTAAAAATATCTTAAAACACTTTCTTAATTTTTAAATTATACCTTTTTGTTTAAGAAAGAATCTCAACTTATCTCTCTGATTGACATGAGTTTCATGATTTAATTGCTTCTCAGAGTTTCATGAGTTTAAGAAAGATCTGACTTGGTTTTTGAGGTTTCTGTTTCAGAACCTGTGTTCAAGTCAGCCCAAATTTGTTATGGCCTTCTGTAGGTTGTACAGGTCATCTTTTTTATTTTCGAAATGATCACATTGTTGTGAACACCAAGAATGATCTTCTTTGTTTTCCATGAAAACGCTATTTTCTGTTATGTGTGCATAGTCGCTCTGTAATTATGAGTTCAAACTTGTTTTCTACAAGTGATCTGTAATTCAGTAATGTGGCAAAAAAAATTCTTTTGATAATAGAATGGGTGATGAGCTTTCTGGAAAATGTTTTCACTACACTCCTGGGCATCAGGGCCTTTTCTCGCTGACGGATCTTCTTGGTTTGCCAAGTGCTCTATGCTCTTGCTAAACATATGAGTAATTGGGGGGGGGGGGTAATTCTAGGGTAATATATGTTAGCACTGAAGAAGAATATCTTCGAACGGTAGGAGAAGGGCAGAACACTAGGAAGACCCTGATACAGGAAGAAGAACACCTCTAGTCCGGTGGGAGAATGGCAGAACGCCAAGCTAAATTAAAGAGGAGAGGAGGATCAATGGAGGTACTAAAACCCGAATCTGAATAGTAAAGATAATCTCTTTTTTCTTTTTCTCTATTCGACTCACCCTAAGGTTAGTGTTGTATATTTTAATGTGACTATACTAGTTTAATAAACCCAAAGTTTATCCGAGACTTAATTGGATAATGGGTCCGAATAAGATCTAATATTTTAATGGCCCTAATTAACTCCAACACGGAGAAACAGAAAAAGGATAACTGGTTCTCAACAAGCACAAAGCTGCAATCTCACAGCTCCTCTTTATAAACACATTTTTCCTTTGTATCTATGCTTATTCATGAATGATTTCTGTGGAAAATCAAATGATTGACTTGTGAGCTCAAAGATCACCAGGCAATGCGATCAGGAATTTATGTATTAAAAATTTGCATTCATAAGAGTCCTTTCCTGTGTGAATAACACACAACATGCAATGCTTTATGCTTTTCATGTCATTGCTTAGTTGACTTTATCTATTAATTTTATCACATTTTTTTTGTGCTAATGCGCTTAATTTTTGCTAAATGTCGGGCTGACAAAGTTCATTTAACAATTTTTTTGTTTATTTTCATTTTGTGGCAGATTGGGCTAATCTCCAGGCCACTTATTCTTCAATGGGTAAATTCTCAACATGATAACCTGTTGAAGTGGGCAGGACGTGCTATTCTTATTGAGGTTTGTTATTTCATTCCAGAGTTATGTTTTGAGTATTGGATCTCACAGGTTGATCATTATTGAATTTTAAGAATGCTTTTCGCTCATATTTTAGGATGTCATTCGGTTCATGGAGAGATTTGACCTGCCTTCTTTTGGGGTTGTGGGTTGCCTCAGTCTCTTGGCTGTTTGCGCCTAGAAAAGCCATGGATGTGGGAAGATCAGGGACCCTGTGGATGACTGCGACATTTGTTTCTACATATTGTTGGTCTGATCATTCTGAAGGAGAAGAATGAAATTTAGTTTTTTTGGAAAATAGGACGTAAACAAGTGCTGTTGGACTGATATAATTCAAAAGTTTAATAAAATTGACTCGTGAGAAGTGTTGAGAATGAAACTCTCGTACAATCACAAACGATAATAAGACGAGAGACGGCTGGAGAGCCAAGCATATGAGGATATTATAGGTTTTGTGTGGTTCATCTAATCCATTTTCAAACTGAGCCATTTTGAAGGGCTTATAATTACGTGAGATGACCTATCCCTTTGGCATCGTGGTTGGCAGTAAAAAAGCAGTAATACCTCCAAAATTTTCTTCAGATAAGTTTAACTTAGCAGGCGAAAATAGGTTCTGCTAACATAAAGAGGAGGTTTATGCGTAATGGTCAATTTAGACTTGTAAGAATGCTTTCAAAGTCTTTTGACTTACATACTTGTTTTCCATCCCGAGAACGATAATAAAGACTGTTTACATTTTAATTGTGTTTTGCATGAGATTGAGGATGCCAGTAGAGGATCGAGGTTGATGAGCCGAGTGAGGTTCTAAGAGAGCTATGGATGGGAGGGGGCTTTGAACTTGCTTTAGATGACTTCAATCTTGACTGAAATGGTCTTATGCCATTTTATGATCAGCATTGAGGGCGAATTTGTAGTGGTGGTATGAATTATTGGAGAACGTCTTCAAATATATTCTGATTAATTGACCTAGTGGAGCTGAGATTGATTGAGAGAGCTCTGCTTTTGCTTTAACTCCTTTATGGGCCCTTGGATTTTGAGTTGTATTTCATATTTCCTTATTTGATGATCGTATTACGATTTTTTTATTAAAACATATTTTATAAACCGAAGAAAGGTGAATGAATTATGTAATAGATGTAATGCAGTCGGTGAATCTGAAGCATAAATAAGAAACCTCATGGCGTAAGATCAAATTTAAAGAACTTCCATTTACTGAGGTATGTACAAGATTCTTGTACAAAACTTCAGAACAATAACCCCATGAAAATCTAAAATGTTGCTATGATTGCCATCTATAAAGCGACATATACTGAGATGAATGAGCCTCATTGGTTTTTAAGCGTTCAGAGACAGAAATCCTCACTGAATCTACAAATATGATCGAGTTTTGCTGAATCAGGTAGAATTGGCATGTTGTTGCACACTTTGTCAGTTTTCCCTGTAAGACCAAGTTTTTTATGGTGTCACCCTTTAGTGCAAATATTAAATGGTTGCGTGTGTTTGTGTATAGTTTATATTCTTACTTTTTTTCCACAGACTTGATTATTCATATCTTTTGTAGGACTGGGAACCTTTGTCATCTCAACAGAGACTAGCAGCATCTATAGTTGAGGTTTTTCGGATTATCGAAGAGGTCCATCTTTTTTTTATTCTACTTTATTTTTTTGTGATTTTATATAGGAAATATCTGATAGCTAAACATTAATTTTCAATTCATTTTCCATACGTCAGTATATTTATTATTATAGTGTCATTTCCTTTTTCCTTTCTTGTAAATGTAAATGAAATAGACCACCATTTCGTGGATGTTTCAAATGGCTATTTCAGTATTCTTGTGGTCTTATTCTCTCATCCTGTTGACTCGTTTTGGCAGAAGTTGATAAAAAATGTAGTTTTGATGCAAGCCAGACAAGAATAAACAGTTGGGAAGATTGTCTGTCATATCATTTCATAGAACAATTGCTGGTTATATACAGTTACTCCGACCTCAAAAAAAGGAAAACTACCTAGGTTGAATCCCACAATTGTAGGATTACATCCAAATTAGGAAACTGACCAATATCCAAACCTTAATTATACGTTTTTTCCCACACTTCTCCTGAAGCTGGTGAATTGGCATTCTCCATTCCCAGTGTAGATACTGAACTAAGTCCCTAGTAAGTACATCTGCAAGTTGGCCACGTGTAGACATGTAAGGTGTACAAATCAGTCCACTCTCCATCTTCTCCTTGATGAAAGTGTCTGTCAGTCTCGACATGTTTTGTTCAATTGTGTTGAACAGGGTTGTAAGCTATGCTGATTGTAGACTTGTTATCACAATAGAATTTAATTGGGCCATCCCACTTAATTTTTAAGTCTTCTAAGATGATCTTTAACCAAAGTGGTTCACACAAACCTTGAGCCATTGATCGGAATTCAGCTTCTGCTCTAGATCGTTTCATCACATTCTGTTTCTTACTTTTCCACATCTCGAGTTTGTCACCAAGACAGGCGCAATATTCAGAGGTGTGTAATCCATTTCTTTGACAGTCACACAGAATCTTTGGGAGGATTATCTGTTCTGCATGTGTATGTGGGTCGATGTAAAGAATTTAAGGGGATAAGTGACCTATGCGCAATTTTTGTAAAAAAAATAGTTGACTGCTTTGTCACCTTGTCATTTGGTTTTAGTCATTGTTGATCATGCTAAGCTTATTGGCACATTTAACTTTTTGTCCCTATCAGATCTGACCTCATGGTAATTTGCAGAACGTTGAGCAGTTCTTTAATTTTCACCTTCCAATGGACATCATCCACCTGCGATCTCTACTGATAGGGATTTTTCAGAGCCTAGATACTTATTTATTGCAAATGGGGAATAAATTTGGTAATATTCTTTCCATAACATCGTCAATTTTTTTTTTTCATTTCGAAAGATTTGGATGTTCTTCACCCTGGTAATTCCATATAAGGTATATCTATTATGCTTCCCATGACAGCTGTAAATGAAACGTTTATATATTCAATATTTATGTTTGTTCCATCTCCCAAAAATGTTTATTTCATGATTGCCTGCAATACTTTCAAGCCTTAAGGCCAAAATATGTACATTCATTTGCTCGCAAAGGGTGTGAATTTCCCATTCCTTGGCAATGATCAGTAATCTTACTCAGCATTGTACACCGTATAACGAAAATCAGTGGTAAATAAATAAAATACAAACGGAGATTCTGTACCCATACAGTGGATTTTAATAATGTTCAAACCACCAAGGGGCACAATACCGTGAAGTTTACATTTGCCCTTCTATTTTTTGTCTGGGGGGTAGAGGTCGATGAGGAACGCAGAATCACGGTTCCAGATGTTCATTGGCTGGTGGCAGTCATATGCTATCATGGTTCCTACAGAATTAAGATTACAAAGACCTTCATACATTATCGGAAAATGTTGCTTGTTGTTTTGATAAGAATGAGTTTCCCTTGTGGGCATTGTACATAAATTATGAGTGGGGTTGGTTTTTGCATTCACAGTGACAGTTGACCTTACGGTGCTATGATTTATAGCTGAGGACTTTTGTAAAGGGATCTGCCAAGTTACACATTTTTTCTGGGCCAGGTCCTTCAATTAGAATACTTGAGAATTGCCCATTGGATGCACATTTAATGGCGATGAAAGATCCAACAAATCAGTCCCTTAAGAGATGAAAGGAAGCAATTTTTTTTCATCTGAATCCAGCTCATAGGCCGATTCAGTTTTTTCTCTCAAACAGTGTCAAGTAATATATATCATTTGGCATCTTGTTACTCCTAGGTGGTACTCAATAATTTTTCTACTATACATTACTTACAAATCTGAGGGGCACATCGTAGGATAACATATGACGACATCTGGTCTGTCTCGAAAACTGTCTTCTTGTTGCTAAAGAAAATTTGGAGCAGCAGCAATAGAGGAAGATGTAGAGATTAGCCCTTGCGTATTAACCAAAAGAGGGTGAACAATGCCTACATAACAGTCACAGAAGAGGCATTTCCGTACAAATGGCTATGTCACTCAATTTACATTTACAGGCTAGCTGAGTTTTGTGTTATTATTTTGCTAGTGGTTAGCCATCCACACGAGATTTTTTCTCCAAGTTGAGGGTTCAGATAAACGGTTAAAAGGTTCCCAAAATTCTTATAGCAAACGCTATAATGTATATAATCCTATCATTTTGGTTACATTTGCTACTCTTGACATGCTTGGAGAAATAATATTCACATGCTTATAAACGTGATAAAATAACAAATAATATTTTTAGCATATAATGCTTGAAAGCAAATCCATACCATGGTTGATTGAGATGTGCATTTGGCAGACTCATACTATGTTTGAGGATAAAAGTGTAGTATGTTGACATCAGGTGCTTTGACGAAGGATAGGGTCCTACTCTTATACAAAAAGCCTCTTTTCACATCCTTGGTAAATTTCTAAAACATAGTTTTCATCTCATGTTCATCGATTAGGATACCTCTGATTATCTTATTTTTCGAACAAATAAATATAGAAGATGTAAAGGAAGAAGAGAGGAGAGACCACCACGAGTTTGCCTTGATCTACCAAGAGCGACTAATGATTTGTGAACAAAGAAAATATTTGACTCCAGCTGCCTTTCCAGCTCTTCTCTGGGATTTGCTGCGGTGCCTTTGGCGCAATCAAATGCAAATGCTCATACCATCTCCTACCTTCCTCTTCTATTGTTCATTTCTCTGGTCTTATCTTTCTCTGTTCTGTCCACTGCTTTTTTTTGCATTTTTTTGCTTTCCTCCCTCTCCTTTTCCATTGTATCTGCAGTGGTGTCATCTTCAATCCGGACTCAAGTCATGTGGGAGACAGCCTCCGGTGTCTATTTTGAAAATCTTGTTAGATAACTTGGAACTTTGCTAACCTTATTCATGTAAATTTTTTCAATACGTTTTTTTTTTTACTTATTTACGGCATCATATGAAATGGAACCTTGGAGCAAGTAAAATGGTGGATGTTAGTATGCCATTTTAGCATACTTTCAGGCTCAGTAGTGGCTCAGAGTCACTATCACTTGTATTCTTTCTATACCACTGCATGTTGTAAGCGATAATATTTGCTCGTGCCATTAATTCTGATTAACCATGAATTCCTAAATGTCTTTCTCGTGAGGTGGTCTTTACAAAAGCTGACATCAGCAGTTCTCCTTTTGAATGTGCCAAAATTTCCTCTGTAGTTGTTGAAACTTAATCTACTTCTTGAAGTTGTTTATCTTTTTGTTTTATGGAGGTACTCATTTTTTGAGAAATTTCATAAAATAGAGCTTGTGTTCATGCTCAAGGCCAATGAATATTGAGCACATATGTTAAAGAGAATCCCCGGTTGATTTCGTTCCTAGATTGATCAGCCCATGACTCCACATACGGAGTCCAAGTTTGTTTTTACATTTTTCCCCTCAATCCTCTTAATGATCAGTCAAATTTCTTAAAAGGGACCACCATTTTATGGGGTTTAACCATTTCTCATATAAGTCAGAATTTAGTTGTTTTTAATAGAATTTTATTTTAGCATGTTGAGTCTATTGAAAGTGTCTAATGAACTGGACTAATGTCGGAACTTGGTTTTTCTATGGGCAGTGTCATGGCCTCAAAATGGGTTAGGAATACAGTTTCTAAATCTGTTCATATTTTCAGGATCAAATTGCTCTTGCATTTGTAGCCAATGTTTAATATATGACATATCTTAAAATGATTGATTGCCGGTTCAATGCTACTCTCTCAACGTACAGATTTACATTTATAATTGTCCTTTTTTTGTGTGGCTTAATTTTTTTTTTTCTACTTCATCAATTTTTAATGGAATGGGTACTACAAAAGATTGATCAGCCAATTTAAGTTCAAAGTTTGAGTATTTCAAACATTTCTTTCAGTTTTTATAAGTTTGCTTCTACTATGTAAATATCCGATTTACATCTCCATGTTTTCATTAAAATTTTCTCTAACGTGCAGTTGATAAAAAGCATTTGTATCCCAGTGTGCCAGCTTTGACACGTTACAAAGAGGAAACAGGTCTGTTCACAAAGAAAAAACCTACTGAACTTGCTGTTCATGAAGAAAACGTTATCCAGTTGCTGGATGGTTTGACAACATCCAAACTTTGTATTAGATTGAACACTCTACATGTAAGCTCGAATTTTTACATTTGTTTGGTGTATTTCTAAGAATTTTATTCCCCTCTTGTTGTTATTTCGTTTTTATTAGATAAATTATGGGCGTTCGTTTTAAGTTATCTGAAATTCTAGTTGCTTATTTATTGATGTCTGGTACCGTGGAAATTCTATTCACAAGTTCTCTATATCTGTATCGATTATCAAATGTGGTTCTGGGTGTGCCCAACTGTGACAATAATCTAACTGGATTGGGTGTGTATTTTTTTTAATGAAATTGGCTTAATTTTTTTGTGTCAATGCAGTATATACGAGTCCAAATTGATATAGTAGAAGATTCAATCAAAAAGTTGTGGAAGCAAATCCATCCAGGTACTGATGCTAAATTGTCGAATTCAATATATGATTTCATGGTATTATTTTGATTTTTTTTAATTTTTTTACACCGATCCTAGATAATTTTAGTTTTAAACCAAACGTGCTAGTTTGGGAGTTGGATATGTAGCACAACACGAGAGTTTATGGTATTCATTTTGATTTGTTGATTTTAACTATCTTATGGTGGCCATAGGTATTGCCGATTTTTTTCCATGGGAGAATTTTCGTTCAGCTGCTGTGAATTAAGAAGATTTTCGGTTAGTGTTCATCCATGTTAGATAAAAAAATTTATTCAAGAGGCTTGGTGAATTAGCACAGAGTTGATGAATCCAATCAACAAGTCTCTTGTGTCGATCATGAATTGGTAAAGCTTGTTCGTGTTCAGTCAAAGATAGGGTTTTAGTCTAATCCCTCCCAACTATGATCAATTTCTTTAAAACACTGGTTGAAACTCACATAAATTGTGATCCATCGTTTCTGACAAAGAGCTGTAAGAAACAATTTGGGTCGTCTCTCTAGTCTTTAGCCAGTTTGAGGGGTGGCACAAACAAGCTTTAGTCTGCTTGGCTCGTGGGTTTTGGCATGATTCACATCTGAAACGGGTCAATTCTCATCAGTCCGAGTGCTGTTGGCGTTTCTGATCTCTTGATTAGAAAATGGTTGATTACAAGAGAAAGTTTCAGAAAAGAAGACATGGATTATTTACGTAACATACCCAAAGCATTAAAGTCCTCTATTTAATCTAGTTACATGGTATAATGCACAAAGGAAAATATTTCTGTATTGTTGGAAATGCCATGATGTTATTCCATCATCTCACGTATCATATTTAGCACAACAGCAGGTCTAGTGTGAAAATTGAACTTTTTGTGACTTGGTTTCTTGTTGTTGATATTGTTCTTATTTGCTTTTATTCAGTGGAGGATCAATTTTCTGGAGATCCTGGTGGAGGATTGGATGGTTCTGCTCAGTCAATTGAGGAACTATTTACAATATTTGATGAGATCAGAAAGACCTCATTCAATATGAGCGACGAGATCTGTGATTTTATTGGTAATCAGACATGCTAGTATCTATGGATAAAGCTAAACAAAAGCTGTCATCTTTCCTGTAGTTTGTTCTGGTGTTTCTTGGTTTGAATTTCTTTTGTCAATGATTCTCACTGGATGACCACATGAGGAAATGGATCTCAATAAATAGCAACCAATGACAATTTTCTGGAGTTATGAATTACAGTCATTTAATTGCAAGAACACGATAACTTTTGTTTTTTATAAATTTGATATGCAAGGTTTTAATCTCATTTTCTTATGATTTCCCCTTCAAATAATTTTCTTGGATATCTGCTTGAGGCCAGACTAGGTATCTATTCCTGTGAAAGGTAGATAACGAAATCCATTTTTATGCATCCTTGAAAGAGAGTCTGATTTAAGACGTGTAGGCAATATGGATACTGTTTTCTACGTTTTCATTGATTCATGGTTTGTAATTTCTGAATATTCACAGGTTATTCCCTTGTGCTGCAAACTTCCAAGCCATAGATTGCTTCTGCTATCAATCGATCATTTGGAAGGAGATTTAGATTTATTTTTTTAATTCAAGGATCCAGAGAGCTGCACTCTAATTTTGAATCTGACTCCAAAATTTGGAAGATATTTCTTAATTGATGTCAAAGATCTGCGTGTTGGCATGGTAGATGCATGCAAGTGATTTCGACTTATTAAGCATGTCTTTAGAAGCATCTATTTCATTGAAATTATTTATCTATTTCTTAATGTTATATTTTGTTCATGTAAAGATTTGAGGTCTCTTACTCGGAGTTGACTTTCTAAGACACCATCCGGACAGGATCTATCCAACTATTTTGACTCTTATCGTACTTCCACTTCTTGCACTGAAATGATATGATTTCTCGCAAGGTTTCCCATCACCTGTAGACAGAGCTACCAACCTAAAGACCCACCATTTATTTATTCACGTGTTTTTATCTGATATTCTTTTCAGGACCTAGACTCATATTCTGGGACTTGAGGGACTCCTTCATATTTTCTTTGTACAGTGGAAATGTAGAACATGCTCGGCTGGATATTGTAATCCAACAACTTGATTCTGTAAGTTGATAGAATACAGGACGCATGGAGTTTCCCATTCGAAAACATACTGAGAAAATTAATCATCTTGCTCATTGAACTCCATTTCTCAAGGGTATTTTTTTTATTCCTGCTGACTGGTGGGTGTAGATCCTGAACCAAATATGTGATTGGCTTATCGATACTTTGAGGGATCGAGTTATCTCAAGCATCTGCAGGGCATCAATGGTGCGGCACTTTTCTTCATGCTATCTATTTCTAACCACATTGTTTCAACTCTTTTCTTTAATACTTTATGGACTCTACAGGAAGGCTATGCCTGGGTGTTGTCAGATGGAGGCCCATCTCGTGCATTTTCAGAGGTTGACGTTTCAATGCTGCAGGAAGATCTTAACATGTTGAAGGTATGCATCCTTCTTTAAAAAACATTGATTTCAATCAAAACCCACATTTACGCATTAAGATAAATGGATTTAAAGTGTGATATCGTTCCACGATTGTTGTTTAATGACACTTTCAAAAGCATCAAAAGTATGATAAATGGATCAAAAAGGTTATGTTCACCAGTATTTTTTTCCAAAATAATACACACAATGTTGTTATCTGATGGGCTATTCTTTCAGATGGCTGCACTCCCTATTTCTGATTAATCAGTATCTCTAAGTTTGTGCTGCTATTGTATGCGAATCAATGATTTATGTCAATTCATGGGACGTGTATGATGGTGGTTTTGTGGATTTTCTACTTTGAATCAATGGTGGAACAGAAACCCTAACTAATGGAAATTTCCAAAATTTGCATCGAGATCGAGTTTCAGAGAGTGAAAGTTGTTAAATGATAATTTCAAGATCATGAAAACCATTGTGAGTTCACATTGAAGGAAATTTATGCGTCATCACCTGGCAGGAGCTTTTTGTAGCAGGTGGGGAAGGCCTCCCTCGCTCTGATGTTGAGAAAGAAGCGAAGTTGATTCAGCAGATACTGGAAATCTGTGGCCTCAAGGTTCTGCCCGCCCATTACATTCACATTTCATAAGATATAACGACCTTCTCCACTGTTCTTGGCTCATGTTCTTGTCTATTTTCAGACTGGCACCATTATTGAGATGCTGATGAGTTCAAGCGAGCATATATCCTTAGAACCAGATGCTCGGGAACCTGGAAGGGGGAACGCAACAGATGCCGATACACTGCTGAGAATATTATGCCACAGAAAGGACAGGGAAGCCTCAAAGTTCCTGAAGAAGCATTATCATCTTCCAAAATCATCAGGTGAAGAAGAAATCACCTTCCTGTTCTTGATTTACCATCAAAATCAGTTTTTTTCGGCAACTTAATGCCCGCTTCATACCTTTTATCAGGCTCCAGTACTTGAGACATGCATCATTTTTCAACATTTTTGCCCTTTTCTTTGTCTTTGACATCAGCGATCCAGGTTATATATATGGAAATGAACTAATTAGTATACATAAAATCTTACAATGATTCTGAAATTGGTCTGAACTTGCAAGTTGCAGCAGATCAAAGGATCTCAGAGCCTATACTCCTACAACACGATTTATGGTTTCATGAAGAATGTTTTTCCAAATATATCGTGAAAATAGTCCAGAATTTCGCATAAATACCGAATATGTAGAAAATTTTCAGTTTTCACGCACAGAGCATGAGCAATCGTTCAAGTGTTCACCTGGTGCTCTTGATGATTCTTTGCCACAGATTATGATGAAACTCCAGGGAGAGCGTTTGTGTCAAAGTCGCCTCTCATAACTGACATTATCAACAGGAGCACATCGGCCCGGTGGACCGAGAAGGGGCAGAAAAGTTTCAGGACTATGAAGCAGAGATTTCGGGAGGCAGCATCTGAGATTAAATACTCACCTTGGTAGAAAAATGGGATATTTTTATAATCCCTCAAATTTGTATATAATGCTGAAATAAAAAAAATAAAAAAAGCAGCGAAAACTGTTTAATCCGAAAGTAAATCATGCCCAAAAATGGGTGTGAACTCGGACGGTTGACTCAGTGAAAGGTGGGTCGACCTGATGTTCTGACTATAGAGTAGAAGACATTATTTATTTATATAAAAAAATATTTTTCTTAGTCGGAGCCTTGTGCTAAGAAATTATTTTTTTATTTTCTACGAACTACCTTTTTTTAGAAAGAAGAAGATCAGCGTTCTAGTACCATGGCATTAATCTCTTCCAAATATGGAAGGCCTTTTTCTTGCTTCGTTGGGGCCTCTTAATGGGCTTTGGGCCTTGTCTCAGTCTGGTGTGGGCCTTTGGGCCTTCTTCCTCCCGCACTCTTCTTGGGTCCCACCAAAGTTTCGATTATTGGGAAACTCAATAAGACCGGGGGAGTTGGTAGTCACACCTAAGGATATGTAAAGAGCACGTACTAAGTTCAGTAGGGTAACCCGAGGGGTGTGAATGATGATTTTTCCCCTCTTTTAGGATCAAATTTGTTTACATATCCTTATCTGAAAAACGAATACTTATCTATTTTAATCTATACACATTTAACATATTTAAGTAAGTTTTAAATTTTTTATATAAAAAATGACATCTTCCAAGGATTTGATGATCTGAGTACGATTTGGGCCAGGTTTCCAGCTTAACAAAAGAATCAAAACAACATGGAAATATCTTATTCTTCTAATATCTAGTTAACTAGCGATTGAATCATCATTAATAAGCACTATATGGTGGAGCCGGGCCCACATGAAATATGGATAATGACTAAATAAATGATGAATGCACTTTATGGATAACAAAAGCCTTGTAACCTCAGCTTCAGCTTGATCTTTCAACTAGCTGTCGAGGGAATACTAGCGTACAGACACAATTAGCTTTCTATATTGGATAAAGAGAGAGAGAGAGAGAGAGAGTAGTCTGAACCTGCTCGAATGAGATTTCAGTGATGGTGGAATCGGAAGCCACGTCCGGTTGAGCTTTGTGGTCCACGACCGTCGCCCCACCGTACGAGCATTATCCTAAAAGAGAATAAGAATCACAGGGGAGAGGGGAATCCAAGAGGAGAAGAAGAAGAATCGCCGGCCGTTGGATCTCGAGATGGAGACGAGCGAAGCCCCTCGCGTTATCTCCTTCCAGCCGTTTCTAGAACACTCCAGGGTATGGCCACCAGCAGATCCCCCTCCATCGGTGGGCCCTCCCCCTGCTGAAGCCACTTGCAGAGTCACTGCTGTTATTCCGTTTCTTCCACGGAACATTTTACAGCTCCGCAGAGGGGGCTAGCCATCGCCCTCCCACTTGCCCCCGCCACCGGTGGTGGATGGGCGGCGCCGCTGGAGGAGGCTCCAGATCTCCGCACGTGTCGATCGGAGATTGTTGATAGTGTTAATTGCAGACACCCTGGTTCGGCCGGCAGGTACCGTGTAGACGCCACCGGCGGAGGTTCTCCTCCGCCGGGGAATCGGCGGCGGCGGGATCGGTCGGCTCGGGTTTCACCTCGATGGCCCGGCGGTGATGGGGTTCCTCGTCGGCGGAGTCTTCATCCAGGTTGTTGTCCCGTGTGCGCTTCAGGCCGATGGGAACGCCGAAGAGCCGCGGGCTGGGGCTGCGGCTGCGGCTCTGCTCCTCCGACGGGACACGGTCGTCCGAATCGCGGGGACACGCCGGGTCGGACTCGGACGAGCACCGAGTCAGGGGCATGAGATTGAGCGGGGATGGCGGCGGCGTAGGCTTCTCCGCAGTCTGGTTGTAGCCACCGCGGCCGGGGGAGGCCGCATGGACTTGGTCCTGCGGCTGAATCTGGCTCGCGTACTTCGACATGAGAAGGATGATACTGTTGCAGAGATTTTTCATCTTGGAGAGCTCGTGGTGCAACCGTTCGTTCTCCTTCCTCAGCCGGTTGTTCTCCTCCACGAGCTCGGTGGAAGTCCCCCCGCTACCCTTGGTGGACATCGATTGAGGGCAACCGGAAGACGAGTTCGGAGAGATGGCCTGCTCGTCGCTGGAGTTAGTCGGGGAAATCACCCTGGTCACAGGAATCGCGACGGGGATTGCCGTCGGGACAGACGGGACCGCCGCTGGTGGTTGCATCTTCCGACGGTGGATGTCACATAGAAGATGCTTTTCTCCCCTCCGGAAACAGTCGTTTGCGAATTCCCACCGATCCGGAACAATTTTTCTGAAACCCTGCAAGGAGACGCAAAATCCGCGTCAGACCGAACGAGGGAAGATACGAAAATATGTTCAGGTCTCCACGACCGCGGGCTTGAATGAAAAATTCCAAGAAACTCACGTAGGTGTTCAGCTGGCGCACGAAGCTGGAGAAATTATTGTGCTTAAAATACTTGGGGAGCAGGTCGTGAGCGAAATCGGCGGGGCGCCAGACAATAAACGTAGATCCATCCTCATTCCAGGAGATCACTTCGTCGATCGCCGGATCGTCCACGAGTTGGTAGGTCTTAGTGAGGAATGGCGTCGGTAGCGACCGGTGCGCGTCCAACGAGGCCGGAGTCGCCGGTTCGGCCACCGGCTCCGGCGCCGGCGCCGCCACCGCCGTGGAAGGTGCAGTCGGAGGAACCATCGCCCCGCAGCCGCCTCCCTCCTTCAGATCTCCCCTTGCTCACCTAACTTCTCCGAGAACGAAGATCGACGAACCCGTCCGACCGATCTCCTCCAGAGCGGCACCGGGGGAGGAAGAGACGACGCTCTATCGCAGGATGGGGGCGAGAAACGGCGGCGAATGAAGGATAATGGAGTATATAAACATTCTAGAAGTTTCGGAAGAAATTACGAAAACAGATTCATAAATACGTGGAGGGGAAATCACAGAAGAGAGAGAGAGAGAGAGAGAGAGAGAGAGAGAGAGAGAGAGAGGGGAATCTAGCAGAAAGTGGGCGGGGAAAAGCAGACGAAAAGGCGGCCGCTATCCAGTCCCGGAAAAGGGATTCCACGCCGTCCCCAAACGGCAAAATAATTGGAGGGGGAATTCGGAGGAAAATGGACGTGCAGCATCCTCATTTCCTAGCCATTTCTCACCTACCTTCCCCGTACCCTCATCCAAGGTCAAGACGGTGGGTCAAAGCCTAGAGAGAGGGAGAGAGAAGAAGTAACTTCTTTGACACTTTCTCTCTCTCTGTCCCTCGTGTGAATGCTTTGAAAAACGGTTCTACTCTCTCTCTCTCTTTCTCTCTACCACCTTCTCTCGCACGGATATTGGTATTACGTAAAAGCACACGTGGGAAGAACCAATGAGATTATTGTTTATTATCACTAAAACGTTATTTTTAAAATTTTAAAACTCAATTAAAATAAAAAACGTGAATATTTGTGCTCTCGTGGTCCTCTTTTTGTAGAAGTATAAAAAACATGGGAAAATTACGAGCGTGTGACTTTTGAGTTCATGGCACGTGCCAGAAAAAACTTTATACCGACGATTTTCCCGACATTTATTGAATTGATGACGCATACTCCACGTGCGCCGAAAAAGAAAGGACGTGACAGAAATTTTTTGCGAATCGCCCCAAATTTTAGAAACTTTTATTATTACACCTGAAGTTCGTTATTTTCTTATAAAATCCACATTTTGTTTTCTGTGGTGAAAAAAGGTTCACACGTATCGGAAGATGCCTCTGTAAGTAGTGATTTATGACTTCGGATTTGTGCCCTTTTAACTTGTTTATTAGGACAAATACGAAAGTTTTAGGGGCCAAAGGAAAGTGAAATATTTTAGGAATCTTATCAGAAAATACGAAGCTTTCCGACGCTCGGCCCAATAGCGTATGGATGGTTGGAGAGTTGGAGGGTTTGGACAACGGTCGGCCCAATTGGTTTCCCTCTTCGCTCCTCCCATGGATAAGCTTATCTTGAATTCTCGATTTCTTTCTGGAACTTATTTAAATCCAGAAAAAAATAGGGGTTTCATAGTAAGTTTTTCTTACCTTCGTCAGTCCTGTTGCTGCTGGTTCTGGTGCGGGAGAAGGCCGGGGGAGGGGGAGAGAGAGAAAGAGAGGGGATGGCGTTTTCCTCTTCTCCTTCATCTTCCTCCAATTTTATGCAGTTCATCTCGCCTCCTCCTCGTTCTTCTTCGAAGAAGTATCCGAACGTGTTGAAGCTGCAGAAGAGCGTCGCTGGCAGTAGCAGCGGCAGCTCGTTTTCTCCGCGATTCAGGTGCTCCGCTGGACAGACCGGATTTTTCACCAGGCTAGGCCGGCTGATAAAGGAGAAGGCGAAGAGCGACGTGGAGAAGATTTTCTCCGGGTTCTCTAAAACCCGCGAGAACCTGGCCGTCGTCGACGAGCTACTCCTCTACTGGAATCTGGCAGAAACCGACCGTGTCCTCGACGAGCTCGAAGAGGTCCGGACCGTCTACTCTGTCTCTATGCTTTCTTCCCATCCCAGTTTTTTCATTCATATATCATCGCAAGTCCCACGGGGTTGTGCCTTTTGATGGATTTGTAATTTCCATCTTGGTTTACCGTTTCTTTCAGGCTTTGTTGGTATCTGATTTTGGGCCAAGAATCTCCGGGAAGATTGTAGATAGCTTGCGAGATGACATACTTTCCGGAAAACTGAAATCCGGAAGCGAAATCAAGGTACAATGTAGTTAAAATATCCTTTCGTCGCCATTATCCCCGTTCAGTTTGGTGTTAGTGAGAGTATTTCGTATAATGCACAGGCTGGACTCGTGCATTACTTTCTGCACAGTTTGAGAAGGAGAGGTTCAGTTAATTAGAAAAAAAATTGAGTATTAAGAGGCATTAATCCTAAACGCGTCAACATGCGTTGAGGAGGTTGGCTCGATGATACTAGTGATTCTTTTCTTCGATTTTTCCAGGATGCATTAAAGAAAAGTGTTCTTGACTTGCTGACCAGCAAATCTGGGAAGACTGAACTTCAGTTGGGATACAGGTAACATCTCATGTCTCTCTGGATACCAATTTTTTTGTGCAAGTATTGTTTTCACTACTATGATTCATTCTCAGGAAACCTGCTGTGATCATGGTTGTTGGCGTCAATGGCGGCGGTAAAACGACATCTTTAGGTATGCTTTCTTGCAGAGGTTTGAATTTCTTCGAGGTTGAGAAACCAAAACGATTTCCAGAAATGCCCAACCTGCTGTATATGGACCCATTTATGGTGGTAGCACTCCCTTCCTCACTACAAATCAACCATAAGAAAATGCACAAGAGAAAATGCCTTTCTTGACCAAATGATACTTTCTTTCTTGAGGTAGTAAGAATGTTTGGCATTTTCCATTCAGATTGCTATCAATGATGAACCTGTGTTCCCTTCTCTCTTGTCTTTTTACTTGAATCAGGTTTCTTGATGAAGTAATGAAACTTTTCTGCGATATAATCATATTCATTTGTTTTGTATTGGCTCTCAAAGTTTCTGACTTCCTATCATGTATTGTCTGCAGGAAAACTTGCAAATAGGTTGAAGAATGAAGGTGTAAAGGTGAACGACGATGCAAATTTCTTTTGTAGAGCAAATGTATTTATTTTAAGAAAAATATATTAATACCATGGCCATGCGTTGTCTTCTGTATAAAAACTAACATTCTTCCACCATTTGGTACTATCTTTTGTGATGTTGAATTTCTCATTAATGTGAAGTAATAAAGCATATTCTGCTTGAAATTCAGTCACAAAAAGTTTCACTATTAGTTATCACAAGTCAAGACATGATGAACACACTTTATTATCGGTGCTTTGTACCTCCCTTGTAAACCACTGTCATCAATCAAGATTGATAGCAGTTACAACCCTAGAGGAGATGATGGATGTGAGGATTTTCATTAATCACCCGTTCTTAACACCCTCTGTGTTAGAATTTTATGTTTTACCCATTTAAACTAGTTTAATCGATCAAGATCAATGGCAAGAACTATCGTTGATAAAGTACTTGTGAAGTTTCTCTCAACTAACTGCTTAGTGTATCGTTGATCTCAGTCGCCTTGTCCTTGGCCCCCTCTTCCTGACTGACCAGCTGCATTTCCGACCATTCCTCCAACCATCTCGAGTTGGAGGGTTTGACGACAGCCGGAGGGATGCATGAAATACGATTCTTTCTTCTCCTAAACGAATAATACAGCCAGGTTCACAAAGAACCCACTCCATTTTACTTGCATAATTTTACAACTGAGAGTTGCTAGAACCCTATAGCGTAAGCATCTCATATGATGTAAAATTTGGTTAAAAACCTAATTTTGACTTGATGGGACCAATATATTATTTGAAAATGGTGGCAAGAAGGTAAAACTGCTGAATTAAACTGTCAGAAAATGACGCTCAATCGAATCTCCTTCTCAATTTTATATCAGAAAATGTTTCAAAATGGTTCAAAAGATCTAACCGTAAAGTCGGAACACCTGAAGGAAAACTGAAAGGGTGATTCTTTTGATCAATGATTAAATCCGCTTCATTCGGTTTGTGTTGTTTCTGATTCATAATCTACAACAGAAACTGGGAAACTAATGAGATTAACTTTTGGTTTTCAAGACATCTGTTTCTATCTGCTTTATCTCTTCACATCTAATATTTTCCCGTCTTTATAATTATGTGTGGAAACCTATTTTCATAAGAAATTTTCGTTGCATATGTGGGATGTACTAAGGTTGATCGCACTTATTGGTTGTCTTGTTGGGACGAGCGAATCTGTACTTGTTAAATGAGAAGATACATTCAAACTCTTTAATCGGATTTATCTTTGTAGAAGAAGAGTTATCGCATTTTTCCTCTAATAATACTATCCTCAGTCTAATAGGCTTTGGATGTGAATATGGTGGCTGAACCTGGAATTGTTGCTGTGGCACTGAGCATGAAAACCACACAGTATTAAGTGGCCCTCACAAGTGTATGCCAGGCGCAAACTAGATTTGTTTACAATGTCACTGTAGTGAACATGCCAAATGTTGCATTTAATGACGACGACGACAAGGATGATGATACATGTGAATTAGGATTTGTGTTCACATTTTTTACGGGCATATTATGCTAAGATGTGATCATATGTCCGAAAAGCCATATCATCTTCTTAAGAATCTCCCTGCCTCTCCACTTGGTTTCCTAGATTTCTTTCAGTACAGGGGTTAGGCTTTTATTTGAATATAAATAACGAAGAATAGTTTCCTAATGCGTTTTTGCTTTTGTCATTCATGTGTACATTTGATGACATGATCCTTGTTTCACATTGTTGGATGCCCTGGCAGGGATCCTTTGCAACAGCATTTAAAACTTGGATTCGAGGAAGTCTTAATGTTACACATTTTGAACATCGTAAATTGGTGTTTCTCACTTGACAAGAAACATCATACTGGCGGCTTAGTTGAGATGCCTGTGTTATTGCAATCAAAAGATGAGCAATGTGAATTTACCAAGTAATAAAAGATAATATTTTATAGAAAATTAGTGGCAGTATTTTTCTTTGGATGAATATTGGTTGTTCTTGATACTGCATTCTTGTTGATGGATCATTAGGAGAAGCTATCATCTTGTGCCCAAATGTTTATTTGCTTATAATTGTGTAGTCCCTCTCTGGAAAATTTCCAGGTATTAATGGCGGCGGGTGACACGTTTAGGGCGGCAGCTAGTGATCAGCTGGAGGTGTGGGCCGAAAGAACTGGGTCAGAGATTGTTGTGGCTCAGGGAGACAAGACCAAAGCATCATCAGGTACATTTATAGTCAGAACTGCCAGACTTTTTCATACTTACCTTTTTTCCGATTATAGACGTCTCTTAAAATTAATGCGTATGCTACATATTTGTTGCATCTGCAGTTCTTTCGCAGGCTGTGAAAAGAGGGAAGGAGCAAGGATATGATGTGGTCCTTTGTGATACATCAGGACGTATGCATTTATGAAATCATGGCCTTCATTTATCCTTTTATGGTCAGGACGGGTGCCCCTTAACTGTCGCTTGCAAATTTTTCAGGTCTTCACACGAATTTTAACCTGATGGAGGAGTTGGTCGCTTGCAAGAAGGCTGTTGCCAAAGTCATCTCCGGTGCTCCTAATGTACTGTCAATCAGTTTTTGTTCATCACTCCATATTGAATAATTTTTTTGGCTTTAAAACCCGATTTATTGCTCGATTTCATTTAATAAAAAATCGAGTTTTAAACTCTCAATGGTGCCCCCCACCAGGGGCCTCTTCCACATGGGTTAAATCCTGCTTTTTGGGCCTTTTAGCTTTTTTGTAAAAGCCTTTTTTCTGAAACGCTCTATTTATCTCCCATTTGCTAGCATGTATTTCACAACTGTCTCTCGCAGGAAAAATATCTTGTGCTCTTTTTCTGCAAAAGATCTCCGTGATGTACTTTACTATTTTCATGTTATGAGTTCTTGGTTGCTAGGTTTTATTAAATGATCATCTAGCCAGGCTTCCTATGAGGTAGTGGCTATTCACACATTTAGATGAATTTGGGTCTTTTTTGGTGTTTTAATGGACCAGGATTAAGGGTCTCCAGCAGAGCCTTGAATAAACAACCAATCAGAATTTCATGATCATCACCCTCGTGACTGGAATCTTCATTCTGTAGTAACATATCCATAACCGTTTGCTTGATCTCTGAATCCTACGGCAGAAATACACTAAAACCCCTGCTGTCAGATTTAGCATACATAAAATCTTCAGAGTTTATAAGTGGTATAAAAAAAACTCCGGAAACCGATATGTTCCTGAGGGTAACGGAAGGAGGTGCTTCATTGAATCTTCTGCATGACTCTTGGAACACTTGAATTCTAAATTAATGGGATACTTTCCCTTTTTTCAAGATTTTTTTTTCTATTTATGGCGTTTTTGTGCTCCATAACGGATCACATCCTCATTTCCTGATTTTATAAAGTCGTACAACATCCCCCAAACTCTTGCAGGAGATATTGCTGGTTCTGGATGGAACAACCGGTTTGAATATGCTTCCACAGGCGAGAGAGTTCAATGAAGTAATTTTTCTTCCTTTTTTACTGTATAGTCGTATGTTCTTCTTATTTTTCGTATTTAATTCATGCGTGGAGGCATCTAAAACCCTTTTTGTCTTCTGTTCCTTCATCTAGAAACCTTGCACTCTCTTACATCGATCCCTTATTTCCTAGTATATAGATTGTGGAGATGATGAGGTCCTCTAGGTCGTACATTATTATTCGTACATTATTATAGTGGTATACATTTGCATCAAGAACCTGCATCTCTACATGTTGTGTCAGCAGTTCTAAAGCTTTGAAAAATTACCTGAGTATCATTTTAATTTTCGAATTCTAATATAACTCCTATCGAAGTTATCAGCCCACAGCGAAAGATCTTCGAAAATATTAACCCCCCATTATTTATAAACGTATAATTTAATTCCTGTAAGATTCTTCTCCGCCAAAAGATGTTCTAAGCAGACAAATTATTAACCCTTATTTATGATGACCTATTATGGCAAAAGTATTATTTCATTCCTGTTAGGTCCTCCTCCGGGAGAGATTTTCTGAAGAGATAAGCTCATGGCCCATTTGTGACAGCCTATTATTTACAGATGCAAAAGATTTAGTTCATGAGAGGTTCTTCTCCGGAAAGATTTTCTGAACGCATAAATTACCATGAACCCTAAATCCTAAACCCTATATTAGTTATTGTTAGATTTTCCTCCGCTCATGTTTACTATCCAAAGGATTATAAATTACTCGCTGTCAAGTTCTCATCTGCACATGTTCTTGTCCCTCTGCCTGATCCTTTCATTTGCAAAGCTTCTTTCTGGATCTTGACCAGATTAGATATCCATGGGATTTGTTTGATGAGCATGGTGATGGAATTGTATGACAGGTGGTTGGCATCACGGGTTTGATCTTAACAAAGCTCGATGGATCCGCTCGCGGTGGCTGTGTGGTATGCCCAATTTTCCTCATCTTTTCTGATCTCTTGTTTGATCTGAATTGATTTGATTTCTTTTTTCTCTTATTCACGATCTTACAAGTGAAAATGATGAGTATTTTTAGGAAACTATAACTACCAGGAATATGAAGATGTATATATATATATATATAAATCTTTATATGGATTAAATCACTACATGGGCGGCTGGGCAGGTGAGTGTGGTGGAAGAGCTTAGCATTCCTGTGAAGTTTGTGGGCGTCGGCGAAGGGTTGGACGACCTCCAACCTTTTGACCCCGAGGCCTTCGTCGAAGCCATCTTCTCCTGACCATCAGGGAGCTCGCATATGAATCGCCGCATTTTCCCAATGTTTTCGGGGGCATTTGGTTCCATTAATTTTCTCTTGTACAGGGAATTGTTTATTTTTATTTTTATTTTTATCTGGAAGCAATCCCACTGCCTTCCCTTTTCATGTTCTTGGAGAGCTTGTACAGATTTTTGGTCGAGGTTGAGAATTATTGATGTTTGTATTCTTTTTAATTGAGGGAAAATATACTTCTATGAAAATGATTATGCAACATATTTCCGATGATTTTCCTAAGTGATGCCCATCAAATATTTCATGATTCGCCTCAAATGAGGATATTAAATCTGCAGGAAATGCCCCTTCCGGCGAAGGTTTCTTCACAGGTTGGATCTTTTAGACAACTGCATGAAAAATTCCGACGCTTTTAATTTCCTCTGTTTAGATTCTTTTCATCTCATCATATTCTTGATAATATGATGAAACAGGGAGATATAAATCGTCCTAGTTCATCCATTATGGGTTTGGAAGAATCTGGGAGGGGGAGGCAGATTCCAGAGAGAAGAAGAAGAGAGAGAAAGATGGTTTCTCCGATCGGCGGTGGCGCCGCTACTCGAGGTTGGTGTGGCGGGCGCGCATGTCTTGGGGGGTCTGGCTGAGCAGCTCCGCTAGCCGGATCACCGCCATCTCGAAGAGGACGAACATGGCGCCCTCGTAGAGGCTGCCCATGGGCAGCCTCACTGTGGCCGCGACGGCGTCTTCTTCTGGGTCCGCCATGGTCTGCGCCGGGAGGAAGGCGATGCGGTGGGCGTTCCGGCGAGCCTCGCTGCCGGAGTCGGGGTGGGCAGTGAGGAGGATCACGCGGCCGCCGGCGGCACGGGCGACGGCGCAGATGGCTCCGACGGTGGAGAACCCCCCGGGGCCGGCGGAGGCGAGGAGGAGGTCGCCGGGGGACGCCGGCGGGGTCGTGACGTCGCCGACGACGTGGGCGGAGAGGCCGAGGTGGTACAGGCGCATGCAGAGGGCCCTGAGCATGAGACCCTCCCTCCCGACCCCGTGAACGAACACCCTGTTCCCGCCTCCGCCGGCGGCGGCGATCTCCTCCACGAGCACATCCAGCGGGGAGCCGTGCGGCGACGGCGACGGCGGGGAGAAGACGGAGCTGATTTGGTGGCATATCTGCGTCGCCATGTTGGCGGCGCCACCGCTCTGCTCCATATCCGTTCTCTCTCGGTGGGTGGGGGCTCTGTATGGTTGCTGCCGCAGAGAAGAGGCCGCCCACTCCCTTGTTCTTCTTGAGCCACTCAGCAAGGGCCCAGCTTTATCCATGGCCAACCAGTTACTACCTCTCGTGGCCTCACGAGTGAGAAACGACGGCATGCGCTCCCACCCAACGAGACGTAGACGAGAGCAACAAAGAGACTGAAAAATAAAGGTCCTTCCTTCAAGGTACAGACCCAATTAAGAACATTCCGAAGAGGAAGTCAAAAAAAGAAACGAGAGAGAGAGAAGACAAAGCGCTGGCGACCCCAAGAAGCGGGGCGGAGAAAGGAAGAAGAGAGCGTAAAAAGTCAACGGGCTGGGGCAAGCTAGAGGAGCAAGTGCTGGTGTTGGCGTGCAAGTCTCCTCCTGTTGCTGATGGTTCATCTTCAAGCCATTACCTGGGCGGAGCGGACGTACAAGCTGTCGACGACCTTGCCGATGTTGGCGATGGCGTCGAGCGTCGACTGGAAGATGGCGTCCGGCTCGGGCTCGTCGAACACCACCAGGCAGCCGGCGCCCTGGTCCAAGGTGCCGGCGAACTTCTTGTCCAGGATGAGCTGCGAGAGCTTCGTCTCCACATGGGCCACGGGGAGTTCGATCAACTCGGCGATGTGGGCGATCTCCACCCGCGAGAAGGGCTCGATCAGCCTGCACAGGTTCTGCTCCAGCAGCGTGTCGTAGAGCGCGGACAGGTGCCGGTGCACGATGGGATCCTCCTCCAGCTGCGGCCGGAACTCCGCCAGCGCCGCCTCGAAGGCCTTGAGCGACCGCCGGGAATGGGCGTCGGCGACGGCCTTCATGGCGTCCAGCTCCGGGCCCAGGTAGAGAAGCCCGGCCTTGGAGGCGATGAGCCCTGCCACGTCCTCCGACTGGTTCACCATGATCTTGCAGAGCAGCATGTACTTGAGACCGAAGACCGCGCGGGGCTCCCCCAGGGCGTTGAAGGCCTCGAAGGCCTCGAAGAAGTAGCTGTATGCCGTCTTGTAGTCCTTCTCCTCGGCGTGGAGGATGCCACTCTGCAGGTCGATGGTGCCCTGCTGCGCTGGCGGCACGTAGATGGCGTTGGCCGCCGTGCGGGCCGCCGTAAGCGCCGCCTTCGCCTTGGGTAGATTCCGCAGGGAGAAGTGCAGCTTGCTCTCCAGGAGGTCAATGTCCACCAGCAGAAGCTTGTCGTCGAGCCGGCGGACTTCCTTGATCAGCCCGGAGAGCAGCGAGAGGGCCTCCGTGTACTCGCCGCTCTCCATCAGCAGCGCCGCCAGCCGGGCCTCGACGCGCTGGCGGAGGAAGGTCCGACGCTCGGCGCGCGTCCATTCCACCATCTCCTTGCAGAGGGAGATTTGGAGATCGGAGGTACCGGGGATCTTGGCCACGGCGTCGATGATCCCACGGACGATCTTCGCGGTCTTCGCTTTGGGGATCAGGGCGAAGAAGGGGCGCAGCTGGGTCAGGAGGCTCCGTAGATCTTCTGCCTTCTTCTCCTGGGTGAGGAGCTCCGAGAGGTTGGAGATGGCCTGCTCCTTTATGCGCAGCGCCTCCGGGGAGGAAGACGGGTTCTCGAGTATGCGGTGGAGGATGGAGATGGACTCCGAGGGGTCCTTGGCCTCCAGGGCCTGAGCTATCGACTCCGTGGTCGCCGGGAGGAACGACGAAGACATGGTTCTTGCCTCAGTGGGGCGGCCCACCTGCTAATATGATGAAAACAGAGCCAGAGCGAGATCCAGAGAGAGAAATTGTGAGAAAATTGCAAATATGAACGAGCACGATATAGGATATTGCCATATAGTTTTGTGACTGTGGAAAATATATTAAATAAACGGCAACAATGCGCATAAATAATCATCACAATGTATTTAAAGAAAGGAGTCCCAGGAAATCAGCTTATCAAGGGCCGAGTCAACCGCATTATAAAAAAAAATCGTGTTTTTGTCCTCCTATCCATTAGAATCCAGCTTGATTAAGCATCTAGCACTAATAAGCGAATGGAGAAGCATTCGGTACTAAGATGTTGGTGTTAATTAATAAATGTCTGGCTCCCATCTGATTTCAACCATAACAGCATAGATTCTATTCCATAGGTCATCACGAATAAAAAGAGAGAAAAATAGATACCATCTGAGCCCCAATAGACACGAGTAGGCTATTAATCATCATGCGAAAGCTGAGGCCTCGAGAACGACATACTACGACATGATAGCAACAATTTTATAAATGAAAAATTACATGAAATAAGAAAACAACATAACTGCAGGCGAGAACCTCTAATGCAATCGTCAGGCCCAAAAATATTTCAGTTTTGATAACACAAGTAAAAACAAGAAGCCCGCTTGAGAAAAACGGCCCCTTCTCTCTGAAGAACATGAGAAGTATTAAGTGCGACTGATCAGGTAAAAATAGCAATGCAGCAAAGAAGAACGTCGAGGTTATAAAAAGATATGCCGGATGCGTGACGACAAAAATATGCTTGGAGATGATTTCATCGTGAACTAAAAACTTTTATGCAATTGCAGGAAACCACTGTCAGATTCCTTATTCCTGTGGCTGGGAAATCATTGACAAGAGAAAACTTGGGAATGAGAATATGATCTGGAATCCAAGTGATGACAGGGAACGAGAAACTCCATCGTTTCATGTGAACAATATATTGCGAAGTGTAGCTACCAAACGAAGCTTAAGAGGGCCGCAATCCAATTTTTACCTAAAAGTGATGAAGGCAAATCGCTCTCATTTTATCATTAGGTTGTACAATGAGAAAAAAAACTGTGAAACTGATGCAAATAGGGACAATAGAAGCCATGTGGTCCATTGGATCGGCCCGCGAAGGGCACATGGGTTCGAAAATATGACAAATGAAAACAGCGGGAGAAATCAGTCCACAAAAGAGAAAAACAACAAGGAAGACATTGAGACGACTCCAATCTCCTAATGTGAGATAACACAAGATATGGTGCACTAAATCGAAAACCAAAGGATGCGGACAATAGATAGTAAAGCTCTGAAGAAACTTCCAATCTCAGGTCCTAGCAACATCCGATAAAGATTAGAAGGAAAGATTTATATCTTCAGGTGTGTCACAGCCACTCTTCCAAAGTTGTTCAGGCAGAAATGCTCTCTCCGGTTTGGTTTACCTGGTAGTGATGAGCATTTTATGGCATATGTGATAGGGACCAAAGTATTATATTTTCAGGCCAAAAACGTCGATCAATTGAACGTGAAATTAGGCTATTCGCTCACTATAATGTTTCTACAGTATTCACACAAGTACATGGTTAAAAACTCACCAAATTGGACGAAAAGATGTAATCCATGTCCGACACTAAGAACCAGAACTTTCAAGCTAGAAAAAGTGATATGGACCCACATCAGTACAAAGCATATATCTCATGTGATGCAGACAAACAAAAGCCAGTCGTTTTTGGGGGTATCTTGATGAGACTAAATATCAAAATAAAAGACCCTGATTAGCGGATAGACTGCATTTCCCATCGGTGATATTTTTCTTTTTCTTGCTTCTGCCAAGTATATTACCTATCATTAACACAGTAAAGAGGTGACCACTGCCTTTGATGTCTTGAATGAATTGAAAGTGAGCAAAGAAAAGAAACTTTTTCCCAGTGTACTTCTCAGGCAAAATACCCACCTCATTTAGGAAACCCAGGCCCATGATCTCGATTAACTCGGCCCTTAAGTGATCGATGTTACTACCAGGACTCATATTCATCAGTTTTCGAATTCTTTAATATTCAAAGACGCAAGGAGTAAGAAGTCAATCTCCAAGAGATTTTTCTCAAATTTTAGAGCACGAAAGTACAAATCTGGAGACAACTTCACCATGCAACATAAATTGAAATTATAAAAAGGAAAATAAAACCTTTGGGTGCACGCCGCTTCCCAAACATTACTCGGGGAAAGCTACGAAGTATGCTAGTAGATAAACTTTCCACGAGAATCAGAGACTTTTGTTCTCTGAGATAATACTTTGACGTATTTTCCAATATAGGCATCGCGGCCAAGTCTTTCCATATATTTGATTAGATACCATTTTGCTCAGCTGTATCTTCAATCCGATCCGGCCGCACCGGCAATCTGTCTGCTTCTAGTACAAAACATCCCAAATTACCTCATCATCTATTCAACTCAGCTTCCCATCCCGGCATTCCTAGGGCCGTCCGGAATGGGGAAAAAGGTGAAACAACGGAACGAATAAACTAAGATCTGGAATTCCACAACAAGCGAACCTCTCGACTATGTGAACTGTCTTATCGTAATCAGCGGAAAAAACTCGTTCGCACACATCTTCTCAATAAAACCATGAGCGTACCAGAGAAACCCTACCATCGGCGAGAAGGAAGAAAAGACAACCCCACCTTCTCTATTTGCACATGTAAATCATCCAAAAGAAACCCTAGGAACAGCAATCACAATGAGAAGAAATTGAGAGTACCTTGTAAAGTCGCAAGCGGTTGACCCCTCGAGCAAGCAGGCAGAGAGAGAGAGAGAGAGAGAGAGAGAGAGAGGCCGGAGCAGTCGAGGAAAGTCGAAACGATGCCTACAAATAACATGTTTCACCGCTTTTCGGCAAAAAAATAAATATCCATTTTTCTTGGTCAAAATAGGGGAGATATCAAATATTTTAGATTTGGAGCCCATTCTTTACAAAAATAAATATGACGACGAATTTACGCTAATAATTTTCTTTCTTAAATTATTTGCACGCTCTTTGAATCGGGCGTCAATACTAGATAAGGATTATTTTATCAAAATAAATAATTTAATAAACACTATTACGTTTATTACGTCATATATTCTGAAGAACGTTGAGTCATCTTATGTGCAAAAACTTGAACAAAAGCCGGCCTCAATATATTGTATCTGAATCACAGAATTTAAATACCTGGAAATTTTAAGAAATATGTAAAAAAAATATTCAATAAAAATAAGATATATTAACGAATCACTAAAAAGACATGATCTCATTAAGTTATAAATAATTAATTTAATTTAGTGAAATAAGGTAATAAGAAATAAAGGATGGTAATCGACAACCCATCTTATTTTGGATTATAATCATGTAATATTTTCAGAAAATTATGATTTTATGGCTTCATCATTTTGGTTAAACCTTTAATTAGTGTTATAAATAATTAGGGTATTACTAATCTATGATAATATCTGGAGTAGCCTATTGATCTTCATTCGCAATAACTTATAATAATGAGGCAAAAATTTCCCATTTGATCCCACTTATTGACAGACTTTCGTGGGGGCAAAACCTTCATAAAACGTGAAGAGAAGAATATGTGAAGCACATGATCCCCCTTGTTGACCCCGTGGGTTGACTTTCAAGGGTTGACTTCCTGGAGCATCCAGTGCTTCCCACCGTTGCCGATTTGTTCGGATGTAAACATCACCCTCTCATTGCTCCTCAAATTTAAGTAATCAACCTGATAGAAAATGAATAAAGTTAAGAGTGTTTATCCACACGAATTATGTACAAAAGCAAAAGACGACCAGAGGTTGATCCCAAGGCGAAGTCAATGGATCATCAAACCTGTTCTGGGTCAAACTGTAGAAGGCAGAACGCACTAACTGGGCCTTTGGATGGGTCAAGGTCAACACCCCCCTTGGGTTCTTCCAGTATGCGAGGGAGGCCCGGGTGAGGCGCCAAGTACTGGAATCTTGAGCTTAATGAGCTCGCAAACCAGGATTTCTCCCTTCGCTGCACAGCTCATGGCGTATATTAGATATATATATTTTCTAACAACATTATGCCAAATATTTATTAAATAAAAACTTAGGTAAAGGAAGGAATATATGACCATATGATCAAGGACTTCTGAAAACTAATATATAAAAAAACACCAAGTAATTAGTCAGGTGAATTGTTCCACTGCCTCTCAAGAATCGAATATCATAAGGAAATTCCATGCACGGTCGAATAAATAAACTGCAATATATTCATTGGGTAATGCAATAAATGGGTATCCAATAAAAACATTAAAAGCTGGAGTCGGCCATTTCAGGTAATTTCAATAACAAAAATAATCCAATTTTGAAGATCAATTAATTGATGAAAATCAAATTTCTTGACCGAATGGATGGTTAATTTCAACTGATATCATATACTTTCCCCCCATTCCGGATAAAATTTCAGTAAAAAAAAGAATCTCACTAAAACCAGCATAAAAAGAGTGTAATCTCAGTAATTTTGATGGAAATAATTGGTGAAAATAAAATTATCCAATCCCTTCTGTTTTTCTCATCCGAAATCGAATCAACAGATGTTTCTTGGATTTATGCGAAGAGTTTGAATGGAAATAAATTGCACTAAAATAAAGTTTTTTTTTTTCTTTTGAGATTATGAGAAAGGTTGGATGGGGGATCATGACCTGAAGCTTCACGGGATCAGGGTTTGACCCATCGATGATGTCGATCCTTCCATGGAGGCGGAATTGCTCCCATGAATCAGTGAAGTACCAACAGATCTATGAACAGAGGAGCAGAGTGTCTTAATGGCAACTTACGTAACCCCCATCACCACCATGAACCCTAAATCTGCACACTATGCTCATCCAGATCCGTGAGAGAGAAAATACTTGGATGTTTCAGCAGAAACCAGACAGAATGGAAGCGATGGGGAGCTGAAGAACTCGATTCCAAGTGTAAATAGTTATTAAGAAAGGAAAAAAAGATACCTCCGGATCGAATTACCTCTCCGTAGGGGCAGTTCTTCAGATCTTCAATCTGCCAAAAATAGCAACGGTCGATCCAAGAGTCCCAAATTTGTTTGCGAACGTTCAATTAGACGCCACCAAGCGATCGAGATAGACAGACGGGAGTTCGGACCTTGTTGCTGCGATAATCGGTGTTGATCTGGATCTTGTCGCAGCCCTCCGAGAAGCCCCTGCGGCAAGAGAGGGAGGAGAAGCTCGCATTGGCAGGAGAGGGAGGAGAGCATGGGGAATGAGGATGAAGAGAGCGGCGGACCTGAAAACCACGGTGCGATTCGCAGGCCTGCCGTTGGAGCCGACCGTCGCCTGAGATCACAGAGAGAGGAAGAACTATGAGGAACCACCATACGCGGACATCCAGTCGATTCCGAACTCTGTTAATGGGACGCGAGGGGTTACGAGTTGGAAGAAGCGGGCGTGCTTGAGGTTGGCGTTGGCCTCCAGCGCCGAGAGGAGCAGCCGTTTCCATGGCGCCGCCGCTGCCGCCGACGGGGGCGACGACATGATCTCCGCTGTGAGCAGAAACTCCCGATTTCCATTTCCTTCGAATAAATAAAGGGCGTAAATTATCCAAATTCGAAAAAAATAACCCATAAAGAAATATTTTTCAGAATTCAGAAGATGATCTGGGCTGGAGATTTTCTCCCTAAAATCTAAAGAAAATCACATCCATCCTTTTGAAAAGAAAAAAAAATCTTCGGATGAAGAGGTCTATTTTTGGATTCTGTTCCTCGCGTTCAAATCCTTTCCCAAATGCCATACCAGTCAGGAAATATGTCGAGAATAAGAAAGAAAATTATCATCTTGAATGATGAGAAGATTTTCTGATCACCGTCGGGAACAATCGATTATCTACACTTCACGATTGCTTAATCTAATAATTACTGTGTTATAACGAAGATATTGTGAACTCAAAGTCAAAACTCTCTCTCTCTCTCTACTAGACAATAAAAGGGATCCTTGGTTGACTTTATCCGGAGGGGAGATGCAGTTGACTTTACACGTTGAAGGGTTGGGTAAAAGAGAGAAAAAAATTGATATTGGGCCAAGAAAATCACTCTTTGTGTCAACCAGAAGTAGTATATCTCCTGGCCCTCCCTGTTCCTCTGACTTACCTGGTTTTTTAGTATAAGCCTATAATATGTACATATTTGGTAACACAAAAGGCAAACACTCTCTCTCTCTCTCTCTCTCTCTCTCGCTATGCCCAGTTAAAAAGCAAGAGAAACACTGATGAAAACATCACTGTTCCTACCCAAGAAGTGGAACTCAGTTGACTATACACAATAAAGGTTGCACAATCTGATATAAAAAGTCAACAAAAAAGAGAGGAAATTATGTCTGGGTCGACGAACAACACTCAAGAGTTGACCTAAAACCCTCGACGTGCGACGAGCAGCCACCTGTTCAAGCCGTCGGTGAGCCAAGATCCGCTCTGCCTCAGGTTCAAGCCTGCTTTACAGGGCCATTGGAAGGAAGGCGGCGGTCCATAAAGCTTTTTAGTTGGGCGGCGGCGGCAGCAGAGGTGGTCAACGGCCGGCATTGATTCCAAAGATGCGAACTTTGTGCATATTCGGGAACTTGGCAACGACCAGAACGAAGGCTGCAAGACTGTTGAGGAAGAGCATCGGACGCTGATAATTGCTGGTGTGGGAGGCTAACAGGTACCTGAGGAAACAAAGAAAAAGGTAATCCTCTCGGTCTTCTGAAAATCACTGAAGAGTACTGACTTATTCAATCCATCTCTCTCTCTCTCTCTCTCTCTCTCTCTCTCTCTCTCTCTCTCTCTCTCTCTCTCTCTCTCTCTCTCTCTCTCTCTCTCTTTCCCTCTCTCTCTCTCTCTCTCTCTCTCTCTCCCTCTCCCTCTCTTTCTCTCTTTCCCTCTCCCTCTCTCTCTCTTTCCCTCTCTCTCTCTCTCTCTCTCTCTCTCCCTCTCTCCTCTCTCTCTCCCTCTCTCTCTCTCTCCCTCCTCCCTCCTCTCTCTCTCCCTCTCCCTCTCTCTCTCTCTCTCTCTCTCTCTCTCTCTCTCTCTCTCTCTCTATGAGGTGGACAAGAAATGCCAGACTCGGGGGTTTCTAGTGAGATAAATGAGGAGATGGAGATGGATCGAATGATTCTAGTCCTGCCATGCTCTCGAAGGTTGACATTTTTCAGACAAGAGATGAGGATAGATGATTATATTATGAAAGGAAAAAATAGTAAAATCCATCTATTTCAAATAATATATGCAATTTATTAATTTTCACAATTTGAACGATTCCAAGAATCGATGAAAGCCGATCAAGGAGGATTCCACTGAATCCACAGAAAACTTGCACAGATTGCTCGAGAGTACCGGTTTCCAGGCGTATCTCTTGATCATAGTTCATGAAATGATGATTCGTAATGTAATATAGTGAATGAGCATACTCACAGAATAACTGGCACGACGGTCACGAACTTCCTGTTCTGGGTTAGCTGCTTGCCATTGTCCATCTGTTCCCACCAGGTCAACGCATTGTACACGCCCTGATCTTCGGCGAAAGGGGTTCCCTTCTTCCAGTGGAAATAATGATAAGTCACCTGCAACATTAAATGATACTTGAAATGATCACGATTGAGATAGTTGACCCAGAGTAGAAAAAAATATTCCATATCGGGAATCGCAGAGGACTAAAATCTAAACACCGAGTAGATTCCGAAAAGGATGGCTGGAAACAAAAGCGTTGAACAAATTAAATTGTGCCCGATAAAAACCCAGAAAGCTTCAGATGACTTTTTCCTCAATAATTGGAACAAGAAACCTCGGTGATTTGATTTTGCCAACTGTAGATGTTTCGGTTTCTCTATCTTTTTGCTTGTGATCTTCGTGATGCATTTTAGGGTTCTTGGCGATTCTTCCATTTCTGAAGTATTCATGAATGGATTATACTTACATTTGAATCAATTCCTGGAATCATTTCTTCTAATAGCCATATATACCAATTTTGAAGAAGAACCAAGAGGAAGCCCGCACGCAGTTCCAATCCTACGGGATCTCGGATAGATTTTTTTTTTCCCTTCAGAATCTGACGAGAAAATGAAGAAACAGTATCGCTCTTGAAGAAGATGCGTGAAACGCAGGCGATATCCAGATGTTGTGCACAACAATCGGCTAACGGAGATCGGAGCGGGCCAACAGTTCCTATGAAAGAGAAATCCCATGGCGATTTGAGCAGATATGAACTCGAAGAAATTCTCTCATACTGTAGGAGCCATCATGATGTGAAGAAATTCCCACAATTCCAGGACAGATCCCCATCCACTCTCCCCCAAATTCAAATTCCTGGACAGCGAAGGCCAGTCGCACGCGGCAATGAAGGATCGCCGGCGAGATTCAAGCCGAAGCAGCGGAAGAACCCCGATCCGAACGCCGGCAGGGAAAATGACCGAGGAGAGTGCCGGAGCGGCGCAGGTCTGAGGAAGCGGAGACTCACCCCGAAGTGGAAGAGGTTGACGATCGTCCAGGCCGTCCCCGGCGAGCACGCGGCCACCGACAGGACGGCAATCCAGGCGAAGAACAGGATGAGGATGTAGATCGTCCACACGCCGGGGTACATGAACCACTCCGTGTTCTTGTTCAGATCTGGCGGCGGCGTCGTCCTCGCGTAGAGCTTCCCCATCCCCCCCTCCCCTTTCACCGGTGACGCCGAAGACCAGGACCGCCGTCGACTACCGACCCTAAGCAGCGCACTCTCCCGCCTTTCCCGACGAACGCCTACCGCTTTATATACATAGATCCGCCGTAGAGAGAGAGAGAGAGAGAGAGAGAGGACTGTGGTTGAAATTATCTGCATTAAACTCACCACCCCCGTCCGCCTCCGCCAACCAATGGACGGGTTCCGGCGCCGCCTGCAACTCTAACTACCTCCAGATTCCTCCCGCCGCGGCCTTCATCTCCATGGCCAGAGCATTTAAACAGCCCCATTGTTGGATGTGGGCAGAATCCACGGCGCCATTACTCTGGTCTCCCGCAGACAGAGCCACGGGATCCCTGCTCTGGTGGTCCTCTCCACAGTCCTGGACGCCGCCGAGCGACGGCCGGGTGAAGGGCGTCTCCCTCTCCCCCCGCTGCTGGAAGAGAACCAGGGCGAGAGCGATTCTTCGTGGGAAGTCAACGGGTGACGATCGGCATCTGAACAGCCGATAGATCAACCTTCGGGAATAGATATCACATTACCTTGAATTATATGATATTTTTTGGAGAAAAAGCCACAAGAACTCTAATTTCTTCCGACGATTTAAATCATGGAGAAAACATTTTACAAGAAAACATTTTTTTTTGTTGACTCATCAAAAGATTCCAAGTTTCTTGGATTAGAGAAAGCCCAGACAGACCCAATCGTTAATTTTAAAAAGAAAAATAGAGCATAAAAATGAAGAAAGAAAGAAAAAAAATCAAGAACAGGGAGGAAGAAGAACTGGATTTCTTCTTTTTTCCCATAAAAAAATAAATATAAATGTATAATTCGACTGCATGGGAAAATACCCGTTCTTTACTGCTTTTGAGGCCGGTCTCTTAAGGCCCTAAGATTCAGACACACACATCACGAAAATTTAAAAAGAAAAAGGAGAAGAAAATTGCTGCGAACCACTGACACCAGAGAGTAGTGGTAGGAGAAGGAAGAAAAATGCACATTACAAAAAAAAACGGTCGATCAAAGGCTGACCGTCGGATTGGCGGCGCCGTCGACCCCAACGGCGAGTCTCCTCTTGGCGGCCTTGGCTCTGTAACACCAGACCTCGAAGGCCTCGCTGAGGTCGGGGAAGTTGACCTGCCCGGTGGTCATCCAGTCGGTCAGAATTTCGGCCTGGTCGTTGGAGGGGAGGGCGAGCACCATGGAGACGACCGCGCCCTCGATGGTCTGGCAAAGCTCGCTGTCGAGCCCCTGAACGGAGTTCTCCTCTCCCACCGCCGGGGAGTCCAGCGCCGCCTTCGTCTTCCTCAGGAAGGGCAGCCAACCCTTCAGAAGCCGGACCCTCGCCGGAGCAGGGAGGACAACGGAGCCGTAGCCCACCGCCTCCAGAGCCTTGCCGGCCAGCTCCACCATCTTCGCCTTCACCGCCCAGAAGCCGGAGCAGAGCCTCTCGCTCTGTATCTCGCCAAGGAGGTCGTCGGAGGATCGGACCCAGTGGGAGACGAAGTCCTTCATCAGGTCCATCTTGGGGAGGATGCCGCAGAGCCACTCCAGGTCCGACAGGGCCTGCAGAACCCTCCGCTCCTCCTCCGCCGCCGCAGGTAGGGAAACCATCGCCGCCGCGAGGGCGGAGAACATCCTGCCCAGGTCGCCCCTCACCTCGGTCTTCACGTCGTCGTCCGCCGTCAGCAGCGGCGCCTCGTCGTCCTCCGTGAGCATGTACTCCACCTGCTCCTGAGCTGAGATCTTCAACTCGTTCGTCCCCTCGGTGGGGGCGGCGGCGGCGAAGTGGATGGCGGCGATGAGAACCTCCTTGGCGGCGCTGTGGTCAACGGGCTGGATCCGGGCGAGGATGGGCGCCGCCGCAGGGCCCATATCCTTCACCGTACTCAGAATCTCCTCCTCCTCCTTCTCCTCCCACGGCATGGCCTCCAGGTACTGGACGCAGCTCCGAGCGACGCAGTCGCAGCCGAGGGTAACGGCGGCGCGAAGAACTCCCAGCGCCGTCGCAACGGAGCCCCACGACTCCCAAGGCGGGTCCTCGCTCCGGTAGAGGAGCTTCAGCAGCCTCACATGGTGATCGTAGTCAGCGCCGCTGTTGGGGATCTCCACGCAGGCAGCGGAGCTGAGGCTCAGGCGGGGGGTGGCGCCGACAGAGAGCCGCTCCGCGAAGAACCTGCTCCTCCTCGAGAGGACCACGGCGTGGCAGTGGTACCACTCGGGCCTCCCCTCCCTGTTCTTCAGCCGGACGGTCACGTCACTGGTCGCCCGGTCGCCGAGTTCCGGTGATGCGCCGCCGTCCTCGTCCATGAGGTTGAAGATGCAGTGAGAAGATTCATGCTTCGAGCAGATCACAGAATGCCCTCCTTCGCCCTGCTACCCAGATGAAAAACAAAGGGAATCATTGGATCGAGATAAAGTTCGCCTTATAATTGTGGACGAATGTAATCTTCCAGAACATAGCTGGTACAGGAGAAAGGATTAATCAGCATCCGACAACATCAACGATTAAATGACCGTCAGTTATAGAGAAAAGTCAGCCGAATTTGTGCCGGTAAAGATTAAACAAAGCATAGAGCATAGATTTTCTTGGTTGGGGAGATGCTGTTTATAGACGATGCTTCGGTTGTACGAAGTTCATCAGCAGGAGCAGAATCATAATTCGCTACATAATCTAATCTTCCAGAACACCTTAGGAAATGATATGGCAGCAAAATTAATTAATATCTTGTAGATAACGAGAGAGCAAGAGAGAGAAAGAGAGGGAGAGAGAGAGAGAGAGAGAGAGAGAGAGAGAGAAGAGGCAGATATCAACAACATAGAAAATATGTCACGATAGTCCTATTGACATCCGTGGTGATCGTCTGGCGCAGAGATATGCATCGGTGAGAGAATGAGAGAGATAGCGAGAGAGAAAGAAAACCAAGGAACAATCCCAAAATATCTCCCAAATTCACTGGTCGTGGAGAGAAACGACGGCGATCGTCCCATCAGAGATTTATCTCCGGAGCGAGAATTATCATCACCATTCGTGACCGAGAACTACGACAAGAAGGAAAGTAATATGTCGGAGGCACTCCCTTTACCCTTTCCTCCCCGTCCCTTAGGGCACGGCATCAATGGCGAACAATATATCTTAGCATTCTACTCACCGATGGGGATGTTCACCGGCCATTGCGGAAGCCAACCTTTTTGGGAGATCGAGGCGTGGTGAATGTCCTCTCCGCCCGGTCCGGCGGCAGCTCTGAGCGATAGCGAGAGAGAGAGAGAGAGATAGGAAGAAGAACGCAAGAGAGGTGAGGTGGTTGGTGCGGGTGTGTGATGGTATCCTACGGTCTGCGGAGAAACCCATAGAAAGATGAGTCGGCGGAACAACAAGAATCACCCAGAGAGACTTGCGGTGGCGCGAATATGTACACCGCCGGAGGAACACCGAAACTCTGGGAAGGTTCGGACGATGTGGGAGCAGGCGCCACGTACCCCAACACGATTTCGTCACTAAAAATATCTCAAGGTAATTTCGTCATTTTGATGATTATCACATAAAATAAATCGATAAATTATATATTAACCTGAAAATTTGGAATTATGCTGCATAGAAAAACCCGATTTACCATATAAAAAACTGATGATCAGCTTTTTTTTACGATAATTTTCAGTTCATCAATAAACTATTTATAGATTTTAATCGTGGAATTTTAAAAAATGACCTAACATTACCATTAATATTAGTACGAAGAATACAAGTTTTTTCATAGACCCAATGGAGAACGAGTATTAGTAAATAATATTACTATTTTTTCTCATCATTTAATATCTGTTTTCTTGGATAAACTTATTTAGTAAATAATCCAGTAAAATCCTGCACAATGTCTAACGAATTAATAATATTAGGAATAATTTCCTTATTTCCCTAGTCAACGCTTCTTTATGAATTAAACAGTAATGATATTAAGTCAACGAAGTGGAAACAAAGAGCGAATTTCCAGGGATAATCCCCTCACAAATGATTCAATTTATATAATCATTAAACAAATTTAAAAATCCATTTTTCTATGCGTTCTTCGAGAGTCATCGACTCATTCACCCACTGATGAGAACATCTCAAGACTCCAAGGATGGTATCAATCGATCAACCAGGCTTTACATATAATAAAAGCTTAGAGCCCATTTTCCTTGCCACAGCTGTCTAAACATCACCCCCTCTCCCTCCCTCTCTCTCTCTCTCTCTCTCTCTCTCTCTCTCTCTCTCTCTCTGAAACGCAGGCCAATGACATCTGGTCTGAGCCCTGTAGAAGAGACCCAAGCAGGATACATGCCTACAGAGGCAGCTACCATCCAGAGAACAGAGCAACAGAAAGAAAAGAAAGCTCAAGAACCCACCCAGAAAGCAGCTTTCAGTTGATGAGGAAGGCGAGATATGTACTCACAATTATGGTGTGGGGTATCCAACCCTGTCTACGTCTCCAGGGCTTCGAGGACTCTCCGGGCCTGGATGCTGAGGGCCATCTGCCGCTGCTCCGGATCGAGAGTGGAGCCGAACTGGCTCGCAGCCCACATCAGGGACGCGCACTTCTCACCCACGAGCCGCGTCAGGTTGCCGTGCATGGCGGCGAAGGGCGGCTCGGCCCTCCCGTTCACCTGCCCGAGAAGCAGGAGCAGGAACTCCCCACACTTGAGCCTGTGAACCAGGAGCGCCATTCAGATTGGTCCTGGAGACGGGGGATAAGCGCCGGGCAAGAACACCATAGAAGAGTGCTATAAAGAGCAATGGAGTAACTATATGTGATTGTATTTAAAGGAGACCTTATTGATTCATCCGCTTCAACATCTTTCATGCACTCCACGACTGTCTCATAGCCGCCAGATATCTCGAATTCCTGGAGGGAAGAGAAAGGAACTGATCGATGAAATCTGTGAAAATAAAACCAACCCAAAAGAGAAAGGAACTGATCGATGAAACCTATGAATTATTAGGTAAGAGCATCATGTTCAAAGGATTAGAACATCGACTAGCCAGGGATTGTTGATGAGATCTCTAAAACCAAAGTCAACCCCGAATGTAAGAAGATCGGATGGTTATGAATTATTTCAGAAGAACAAATTCAAAGGATAAGATCGGATGGCTGCCTTTTTTTTTTGTTAAATTAATGCCCATGAGCAATAATAATAATAATAATAATAATAATTTTGTAAGGGCTATTTGAAGCAAGAAAAGGGGATTATCTGGGGCCAAAGATTGCGCATGTTCTTGATACACTGGTTGCACATTTTCTATCCGAGTTTGTGAATCATCTGGGGGGTTGTGTGCATGGGGACCTGGAAAGATTATCTGGGTAGGTAAGAAACACTTGGAAAGGCTTGAGATAATGGAAAGATACTATGATATTACGATATTAATTCACTGTATGTCAAATATCGGCCCTAAATAGCGTAGAATACAGAAAATCCTTTAACATCTATACATTATTTTGGCTTCTGAATAATTATTGAATTTTATCATGTAGTGACTGCGCCTCATTGGTTACCTGCTCTGTCAAAGCAGAGTATTGGAGACAGAACAGGCGTGATGGCAGGTCGAAATCACATCACCATTTCTAGTACATTTTCAGTAAGTGACAACAGAATGCCTTTTTTTTTTTTATTGATGGATGAAAAACCCTTACTATTTATGAACAAAGAAGATACGAGGATTAAGTCTTTCCCCACTAAAGGACTGTTGAAGCGCTTGATAATCACACACCAAAGTGTGCCCATTGATTTTTCCCAGGCAAGCGATAAGGCAGAGTGAATTTTCCCAAATGACGCATTTATTCAAGCATTTAATCACGAGATTGACTAGGATTCCATAAAGGATATTAACACAAGAGAAACATCAATATGCCTCATCACTTCCATCAGGGAAGATTCTCCAAACGAAGATTTTAAGTGAATGAAAACAGAAAACAACCGTTGAGAATGATCCGAATGAATGGACGAGACAAATATTTCATGTCATTTAGGGAAACTATTACCTACAGAGTCAATCAGAGCACAATCACCTCAATAATTTTTAGTTGCAAGGAAAGAAAAAAATCAATAAACTCTATTCTATAAAGGACAATAGGGGAAATGGGGATATTTTAATAGAGAATGGATGCACAAGAAGTTTCTACTAAACGATAGGATACCCTTTGGTTGGCAGAAGAATCAACCATTAATGATAGAAAAGCGTCCAGGCATGCTCCCTGTTCGAGTGCTCCTCGAGTCGATAGTATATTTACAAGAACCTGCAAAGTCAAACGTTTCAGACATCGAATTGTTCGAAACTGAGGACATAGCAAACGACAATTAAATCTAGGAGCGGCTCATTATTATGTAAATAAGGTTTTAAAAGAAGCAGAGCTGATCATTATCACTAATGTTTTTCGAAATAATCAAATTCCAAACTTTCCTGATGGATACAAATTAAGCCAATGTTTGACAGTAGAAAAGCAAACAGGTGGTTGGCTTCCTTGGAAAGATCGGTAACCTGGGATAACTGAGTTCGTCATTAGAGACGGAAAGGATGATATTAATTATACAAAGCTGCTCATGAAGACACAAATTCCAGTGCGCTATCAAATATAGGAAAAAATTAAAAGAGAAAAACTTTTACAAAAACATAAAAAACGACTGAAAAAAGATACTTTTAACTGAAATTTGAAGGTAGTTAAGATAAAATGAATGAACAATTACTCCCCAAGTAAGTCCAGACAAGGATAAACGTGACACAGTTGGATCCCCTCGTTCGAATTCAATGGAATAATGAGTGTCATAGAAATTTTTCTCGAAAAGGAAAATTAAGAAAAAAAGAATATTTTTTCTGGACTGATATTGAGAATTCACGAGATTACATGCACATCATTTTCTACCTTTATTCCATTGTGGTGCTGAGCCAAATCTCTGCTCTGTCTATGAATCAGACAACATCCTTCCAGAACCCTGAGAGCTAGGGCCATTTCCGAGTCTGTTGCCGGACTATTTATTTTCAAAGGTTCTACTCCAAATATATGATCCAACTTCAATTTAGGCTGATCTTTTGATTGCCTCAGAGTGTTTTGAAATAGAACAGGAACCACTGTTAGACATCATAAAGGTCAATTAGTAAAAGAACTATTACTTGAGGAAAGATATTGTGGGAAAAATAGGTCGGAGATTGCACCTCAAAAACGTAGATATAACAAACCAAATTTACAGCACTTACGGTAGAAAAATGAATTATCTGAACATCAGAAACCCTAAACTATGCAAAGCAATCAGTTTTACACATTTCGCTGTTGTTGAACGGCAGAAAATGTCAATCATCCACTGCCATAAAAAAGTCATTTTACTTTAATAAGGTGAATTGATTCAAATTGATTCAGTAGCCTGAAAACCTTCATATCCCCAAGCCAGTACCTTCTATAATTAAAATGACGCCTTGGCCTGGATCGTCACTTGAACACAAGAAAAGCCTACAGGACTCATATTTTAGAGGATATATAATCTGTTAGAAGACAACGTGACACCATTTTCAAGTTGCGAACTCCACTCAGCACTCCCACAAGATTAAGGATTTTGGCAATTTACACATGGCCTTTAGTTAAGTCAGAAAATTATTACATTGTCACTCTAAGCCTTAGCGAAGGAAAATCAGACGAACTGGCGAAGTCTATAAACCAGGTTTAAATAAACTTCGCCATCAACTAAACTGATCAGTTAAATAAGGATTAGAACCCCCGACACCGTGGTTCGTAGCCACGTGCTATAATCCTCTGAGCTATTTTTTTATCTCATTTGAAATAAGTGACATTGATCCCTTCATCTTTTGTTTCTAAACAGTCAATCCTGCAAACATGTTTCTCCTTAATTCATAACCTTTGCACCATTGTTGAGGGCTTCAAAGTAATCACCTAATTGAAAAATGTAAATGATAAAACAGTGATTCGATCTTGAATTCTCATCTAAAAACAACCGATCATTTTTATGTTCTTTGAGATTGTTAAGTAGGCTATTATTGATGGAGCTTCAACACATTGTACAAAATATGGCAAGCCCTAATTATAGGAAGATTCTACTTTCCTTCGATGGTTATGACAGTAAGGTGGAGGATCATATGCCGCCAGGTCTGTAGATTAGTGACAAATCCATGCTCAACAGCTTCATTTGCATTATGTTTATCATAGTTCCCTTATGGTGAAAGTGAGAAATTGAAATAGCCTATTTCTATCTTCTTCCTGAAAAATGAAGAAAACTTGCATCTTACAATAGGTAAACGATTGTCCTCTTATTTTGGTTTGGAACTCACAAAAGGGTTGTAAAGATCAAATGAAAAAAAAGAACAAAGCATTGAGGACTGTTTGATGCTGGATAGGATAGGACACCCTGCATAGGGTCCGAGATGGGTTTAACTCACCTAATGACAGACTTTAAGACCAGGAGTAGCTAATCGACTTAGACAAGGATCTTTCTTCCTAAGTGATGTTTTACCAGGGAAGTGTAGGATCTGGTCGATACCAAAATGGATTACATTATACTAAGAACTAAAAACGGGAAGGAAGAAAGCGAGAGGATCTGCTAAATGATATAACATATAGGTATTAGTAAAAAGGCCCAGGGATTTCTAGTCTATTCTAGTCTAAAGCGAGAAGAAAGTCTCACGCACGGTTATGAATGAAAGAAAGAAGTGAGGAATCCTCTTTTCGGCTCTGACTCTCCCACTCCAGTCGTTTGGATGATACGAAGACCCAACTATTGCCACCAAATCCTTGGAAGTGCTTGCAAGATGTTTTTGCACCCATCTTCTTGCTTTTGGCCCCCATGTGGTGTCGAACTCACGACTTTTACTACAGAGACGTGTTCAGGGTGCTGCATCAGAGGTATAAAGGATCAACAAACTTTTCATAATTTTCTTATCATACTTCTCTTCCTTGAGTTAAATATCCCCATCCAATTTCACAGTGCAACTTCTCTGATGCTCACTTAAAGATTCCAACTCTAAAATTTCATCTCCATATCTCACGTCTACTCCACATACTCTTACAAACAGTTCTTCCCAGATTGCACCCCACTGCCTCTTCCCAATCATATGGATTCCTCCGTGAGTAATCTACCCAGACTCGCTGAGAACAACCAAGAACACTAGCGCTGTAACCTGGGGACGAATTGTCAAATTACTGGGCGAATACGGTCTTGTGGTCCCCGATGACACCTAAGGCTATGGCATCAGAACTCTTTCAACCTGATGGCCATGGCATTCCACCGAAATGGCAAGTTCAAGCACCGTGCAGCTAACAATTGGCATTGTTGACACGGCCAAAACTTGACCCGTGTGGACTACTTTCAATCAACAATTTTCGAAAATTTGAATCATTAGATACAAACATAAAGCAATAATGTGAATCTAGGTATTACATAGAAATGTGAGCGTGGTTGTGTGCGTCTCTTCAAAGATATTAAAAGGGAGAGAGAGAGAGAGAGAGAGAGAGCGGGGACCTTGTAGTTCAGGAATGGACTGGGACTGGCAGAAAAGGGCGATTGCCGCATCGTTGCCAGCGATAGACTGGAGGGACTTTAGCAGTTTACGCAGGCCCCTGAGCCGGAGGAAGGAAAACTCCGCGGCAGCGTCCCGTAAGCCGGAGCGGAGTGACAGGGTCACCTCCCGGTACATCCTCCGCCGGCTGAGGGCCGCCACCAGCTCCCCCACCGATGCCGAATCATCGTCACGCTGCAGCGGAGGCTGGCCAAACCCCGCCACCGCTGCCGACGCCGCCCCACCGCCGCCGCCGTCGCCGTCGCCCCCCTCGCTCCACGGCTCCTTCAGGTACATCTGTCCTCCCCCCATTCCATTCCTCCTCCACGACCAGGCTTGTCCTTCCAGTTCCAATGTCCCGCGGATCCTCCCCTCATTTTTAATGTCCTTCTATGTGACGACTCAGAGGTCCCCTCCTATTCGCCGAGCACCTGTTGCCCACGATAGGCCCGATTTACGTTCACTCGTTCGCTATATACCATTAATTCCCTCGAAATATGGCCAGCAAATTCTGCCGATTAAATAATAGCAATCTCACAACAAAGAAATGGGAAACTATGCTAACTTTGGTAGTGCGCAGAGCCCATGGGATCATAATCTTCGACGATAATAGTAAAATTATTGTATGGCACATATTTATTAGAAAATACAAGCTTAAACTGGTACATTTTTTATGATATTTCTATCAAAATTAGTGCGATTGAAACGACTTATAATGAAAAAAATAATTGGATCTGCAAACTTAGGTGATGATTAGGGCCCATGATTTTGTTTAGGGTTCATGTTACTTTAATGGGCGAAATATTGGTAACCCACTTTCAAATTTCTTAAATGACAACTTTGTATAATTATCAACAATGATAATATATGTCAGTGTATATAGTAGAAAAACCATGCTAAAGTAATTATATTTAGGGTTTGTGATGATTTTAAATGTGATTATGGTTAGACAGTGTTTGAACAGTTCATGCCTCAATATAGTAAACCTGCTTCAATTATCAATCTAGGAGAGTATGGCATGAACTAATCAGATTTCTATGAGAATTAATGTAGCTACTCTTGAGAAGGAAGTAATAAAGTTTATGTTGGAGAATTTTTCTTCAATTTTTGCCCTTTTCTTAGAGGGAGATCATGATGGTCAATCACTTTTAAGGGAGAGGCCATAATGGTCAATGCCTCACCATTTTCATTCCACTCATATATCCTTCTCACCTTTTTATTTTATCTTTCAATACTTTTTAAAATCATTGAAGATCAATCTTGAAGGTCGACAGGTCAACAATGTGAGATTGTATCTATCCATATTAAGGTATCGTTGACTTGTTTAATTTCAATGATTCTTATCTAATTTCAAATCTCTCTTATAAATTATCATTAAATGAACCTAGGATATCCCTAATTTATCTATTTAGTGATCCATACACCTTGACCTACATTTTGATCTGATAATTTAAATATGGTCAAATCATAATTATTAGATGAATAAGATATTTTCTTTCAATGTTGCATTGACAATAATTATTAGTGATCCATACACCTAGATTCTGATATGATTAATGATTTCAATTAATCATTATTTCCTCTTAATTTTACTTATATCTTTGAGAATTTGTTGAGTTGTCTTGATCTTAAGTTGTTTAAATCCTTAATTTAGATTTTTTCCATATTGTCTCATATTGAGAATTTCACTAAGTCACATTATTTTAATATGGCATAAAGTTATTAAAATTTGTGATGGTCTAAAACCATACTATTATTAGTTCTATAAAATATGATATATCGAGACTAAGTTTTGATAGGGTAATAGTGTAATACTTTCTCTATTTGGAAAATATAAAGTAGAAAAATCATTCTTAGTTGGTGGTCTAATTTTTAGGTCACATGGTTTATTATATTAGAAATTTGCTAGGATCAAATGCCCATTGACCAATTGAGCATTGGGTTGCAGGTATAATGTAGTTGATAATGAGTCCCACCTCTTCAGAAAGTCAAAGCTTCGGATCATTAAGACCTCTGGAGAATGCCTAGCCGCCACTTCATTATTCTCCACAAGAGTTCATTTTACCCCCTCGAGGTCCGAGAGAGAGAGAGAGAGAGAGAGAGGGAAAGGAACTCGACGACAGTAATGAAGACAATGTGGATTCGTTAGAACCACTTGAGGTTGATTGATGAATAGAAATGATACATATATTGGGAACTTAACGAAATTAGACCCACCTGAGATATATTTCTAGTGAGACAGATAGGCAATGAGAGAGAGAGAGAGAGAGGAGGGGGGGGGGTTGGTTCTTGAAGCAAAGCTGAAGAAAACGAGTCTTTCGGTGCCGTGGTATCTCCAGACGTTTCAAAGACAGAGACTCGATAGCGGACTTGACGAGAGTAGTGTCAACGTCTTCTTGGGCTGGACGAGAAACTGCACTCAACTGGTCTCCTGCCTTTTCCCTTCGCTGCTCACTCTCTTTTTCCATGGTCGGGGAGGGAGCCAGAGACCCAGTCAAGGTCATCTGCCGCTGTCTCCACGCACTGCGGAGACATAAGAAGAAAGAGTTTGAGCCAACGACCGGGCTTCTCTTAATCTGACCAAATTATGGAAGCGCAAATTTGGATCCGGATAGCAGACCATGGAATGGGATGAGACGCCCAGAAGCCAGGCTGGACAAGATTTTGACGTGCCCTCTCCGGAAGCCCGAAGCCCGTTTTCCTTCTTATCATCTCTACCTTTCGGTCACCTCTCTCTCTCTCTAGACAGAAACTTAAGGGTATGTCAACGCTGTCATCACGCCGGGTTAGGATAACATACAGAAGAAACTGTAGGAAGAGCTTCGAGAGATTGATAGGAGAGCTTTGGTTTTTTACCGGTCGCATTGCTAGCTTTGGTCACTACCGCAGTCTAATGGGCTGAAATGGGTCATGCATGATGAGTCAACTTTAAATCTTGTCCCAGCTCCCGGTTTTCTGGTTCGAGTCGGCATGAAAGCGATTCAAGCGTCTGTTATTCGCCACAAAGGCTCAAACCTTGACCCTTATCTTTCTCATAAATGTAGTCTTTTTTCTCAATTAAATAGTTCAAAAGGATATATATATATATATACATAGAGAGAGAGAGAGAGAGAGAGAGAGAGAGAGAGAGAGAGAGAGAGAGAGAGAGAGAGAGAGAGAGAGAGAGAGAGAGAGAGAGAGAGAGAGATTAACAGAACAAGCGAGTGATCGCGAGACAATCATGTGATGAGGAAAATATTCAGTATACTACTGAGTCATGCATAATCTTGCTTGTGTTTAGTCTCAGACAAAGCACGAGACGAGAAAAACACTCGTTAGACCACCAAGTCAGCTTCCATCCATCCAGTCCCTGCCTCATTTTTTTTCCAGGGTTGACTTTTTGGGGGCCAATCTTAGATTCATCCTCAGATGCAAGTTGAGAGCCGAAACTGAAGCATTTGATTTTCCGTGTTTCAATGTGATCTGTGAATGCATCATGGGTAGAATGTTCTCTTCTAGATTGGTACTCGATCTAAATCGAAATGGCACACCATCTACTATAATTTATTTTTTTATAATTTTTTTTTCTGCAGATATCACGAAAATGAGGATACTTTTTGTTTAATACTGCGTTAAACTTTTCAGTTATCTGATATTATTCCGTCAGGAACACCCGGTGCAATTCATTTCCGCTCTTTAAGTGCAGCGTACAGCGAAATATAATTATTTCACTAAAAAAGAGAATTTAGATGGAATAAACAACGACCAAAAATAGTTATATTTTTCCAAAATTATCGAAGGATGAGACCATGTACATTGACTCTGGTTCTGTTAACCATACTGAATGTATTCCGTTTTAAACCCTAGATCCCCCACTTAGATACTCCATGCAGTGACCCGCTTGGTTCCTGAATCATAGAAACCGTGGATCTCAGTTTCTTCTACGAGGGCAGAGCGGGGATGTGATCTGTGCCCGGGAAAACCAATGTCTGGTGGGAAGAACGAGGGATCTGGTAAAGGAAAGCTTTGGATGCTCCCTTTATTCGAAAGCATGTCGCAGAGGATCAGGCACAAGCTGGAAGGGGAATGATGAGCCTCACCTCAGGGAAACGACCCTCAGGGCATCATCTGAATGCACCGCAGAAAAAAAAAGGAGATATCTTGCTTGCAGAGAGATCTGTGCTGTGATTTAGGGTTCTTGTTCCGGGACGACGGAGTTCAGCAGCCCAAACTGGATATGTTTGTGCGTGCGTGCGTGCGTGCGTGCGCGTGTGTGTGCGTAGCGCGCGCGCGCGCGAGAGAGAGAGAGAGAGAGAGAGAGAGAGAGAGAGAGAGAGAGAGAGGTGATCTCCAGGAAGCTGGAGACCTCCCGAGATCTGTCAGGCAGACCGGCGGAGATCACTGCCTCCACTGTCCCTGCGTGCCTGTCTCATGGCAACCGCCGGCGAAATACACCACTTCAGGGGACGGCGGCGGCGGGTTGGGGTTGGGTGCGCTTCAGGTGTCTCTATGATTATCCCCATCACCATCACTGTACCAAAGACGAGCATGCGTACCGAAAAAGGAATGAATGCTCTCATGGTCTCAGGCGGCTATCGTGGTCATCGCAGAAGACGGGAAGTCCCGCGGCTTCGGACAAGGACGACGGCGGCGTAGAAGATGGACGGGAAAGCAACAGATGCGCCGGAGGAGGGCCTGGCGAGGTAGCTGAGTGAAGAAAAGAGAAAACAATGTTGAACCTACGGCCTCTCAAAATCCTGGAATCTGTTTCCAGAGGCGTCCTCCGGCGAGCTCTGTCGGCAATTCCACCGGCGTCGCTCGGGAACATGAAGCTCCATTCTAAGACATCTCCGCCCCATGAGATCTCGGAGATGGATATGAAGATGTGGTTAGCATATCTGAGTGATTAGATCCAACTGTCGGCTAATCAAATCGACGATCATTTGATTGAGATCGAGATGAGGATGAGAACTACAGATTTAGCCTACCGATCAAATTCCGACCACTATGGATGAACAGTATCTTCTCATAGAGATCATGACCATGAGATAGTGAAACATGATGACCATGGCATAGCGAAGTATCATAACCAGGGTGGGGTCCAGAGGAAGAAGAAGAAGACCCATCATGGAAAGCACTGACAGACGATCATCCGACAAGAGTGATGGCGGGGTTTCTATAACAAATGGACCACCCGAAGGAAAAATTCTGAATTGGTTCAGTGTAGATAATTTGCTTTCTATCCCTCACCGCCTGCTATAGAAATGGGAGGGGCGACATGGAGCCTCCTGGTTTCTCAATGTAACTAAGATGAGGGTTCTCCAAGTAGTCAATCTTCGTCTCGTTCACAACATCTAATTCCGCGCAAAGAGACGAGAGAGACCGGAAGCCCTCATCTTCTTCTCGTCTCCTGCTTCCTCTTTGTCTAAATAAGTTAAAGGAAAATTATAAGCCCATCGCTGAGAAGGAAAGGGTGGGGGGAAAGGAGCAAGCCTCAATTCTTATGCCGTTGACATCGCTCCGGACGGCCATGATGGATCTGGGCATTCCTTAAAGGTGAGAGGAGACAGAATCATGAGCTTGATAAAAATAAATGGATGGGCGGAGGATGCCGAGAGCTTCGTGTTTGCTGCAAAAGGAGGAGAGGGTGGGGGGGCCCGCCCTCTATCCCCCCCATCTCTCTTCCCCTCCAGACCCCTTCTATTGCCCTTTCTCGCTGAGTGCTCAGCTCAGGGTTTCCAAGCCTTGAGCATCTCTACTTCACTAATCATCAGAGCTCTCTGTACCCAGGTTGAGGAAGAAGGAAGCAACGAGACCGAGAAAAAGCCCCATCAAAATATTCCCTTTCCAGGCAACGAGATGGCTGAGTTAAGAGAGAGGAAGAGGAAGAAGGAGAGAGAGACAGTCCGTATATGGCTAGATGGGAGGGTGGTCCTCTACTACGGACTAAAGGTAAAGTGTCGGTGTAGGGTTGCTACTGCGGGGCTCACAGACAAAGGGTGGGAAAGAAGAGAACTACTGCCAGTGCAAATACCTGCTCAGCTTCCTAAGGGAGGATTTCCGCAGTGTCTTGGAGAGCCGTGTTTTGGCAGTCCTCGTGGGATTCAAGGGAGGCTCTGCGTACCAGTGCCCTGGACATTCATCATGGAGGACGATAAGGGTGCACACCCTAGGGCCTTTCACCTGCCTCCTGTATTCCCTCTGGCTAGCCTCCGGGTTAGGCAATCAGCAGAACCAACAGAGCGAGAGAGAGAGAGAGAGAGAGAGAGAGAGAGAAGCATGTCTGGACCGCCTACGCTTCGGGTTGTGGCCCTGAAGGGAAGGGGGAGGAACAAACGAACATGCCGAGCCTCTCGACCACAGTTGCCCCACTGGATCAGAGATGGACGGAGACAGCGAGAGAGAGAGAGAGGGAGTAGAAAATGTATCAGGATTATATAAATAAAAACTCATTAACCGGTTTTCTCGTAGACCTAGAACATCCGCAGAAAGCCACTACATGGGCACCAAGCTCAAGGACCGGGTGCTCGCTCGAAACGCTAGCGTGCCCAATCGAAAGTAACTACTGTGGTCTTATCCTTGCTGTTTTCTACCACTTTAACAGATAACTTATGGTTCAGGCGAGGGTTTCTACGAATGGGTCACTGTTCATAAGTTGACCCAATTCGACTTCCACCTCCAATGCGACAGACAGATGAGTCTTTGTTTTCTATTGAAAGTCTATCATAATATAAACTTGGTCATAACTTGTCCGCGAACACATACTCGATCTTATAATTTCCTAATTGGCGCAAAGATTTATCAGGGTTAGGATCAGGGATGTTCACCGGGGAATTATGTTCAGAACTCTCAACATGCCCCAGCCTGATCATACTTGGAGTAGAAGAGAGAGAGAGAGAGAGAGAGAGAGAGAGAGAGAGAGAGAGAGAGAGAGAGGTAAGGATGCCAATTGTCACCCTTGTACAATCAACTTTGGATTAAAATTTTCATGCATTAAAGTTTGATATTGTTATATAACTAGAAAAGTGGAGGAATCTCCGATGTGATTTTATGCATGTAGTCCTTTTACCTAGGCTACGTGCATGGAAAAGAGACCAAAGCTCGGAAGGGACCTAGAACGCCGACGAGATGAACCCTTGTCACCTCCTCTCTTCTTCCAAAAGGGTGTAAGAACAAAAAGAAGGAGAGCGGGAGATGCTTCATCTCTCTCCCTCCCTCCCTCCCTCCCTCTCTCTCTCTCTATTTTCAAACCATTCATGTCCCATCTCGCAAAAGTTTCTACTGTTAGTCTGAGCCCTTGAAACGATTTGGTGTGACACTCGTTATTTATGGGTCGTGTCTGCGGCAACCCTCGCTGTCTACCAAGCTACCTAGCAACTCCCTCTCGCTCTCTCTCTCTCTCTCTCTCTCTCTCTCTCTCTTTCTCTCTCGCCACATCTGTATCTCTCCTGGAGCAGTCTGCGTATACGTTTCCTATCTCTCTCTGGAGCACTCTATGTTTACAAGGAGTTTCCAGCTTCGGTAACATGTACGATTGATAACGTCTGCAAAGGGTGGTAGGTTAGCGTGAAGGTGACCTCTCTCTCTCTCTCGCTCCCTCTCTTTCTCTCCCTTCTCTCTCTATCGATTCCACTGCATCTATCACTATCTTCCAACCGATGCATGTTTCCGTGCAACATGCGTGGTTGACGGAGCACCCAGATGGCAGTTTGCGTGCGTCACGGTCCACGGAATGTCTTCATGCAGAGGGAGAGAAGAAGAGAGAGAGAGAGAGAGAGAGAGAGGCAATCAAACGGGGCACTCCCAAGAAGCTGCGGGTCCCCATTCCCTCAAAATGGGAATACTCGACAGCGACGGGCCCCTCAAAATGGGTCGGTGTCTCTCCGCCTCTTCTGCCATTCAAATATACCACATAGCCAAGCGAACTCTGCACCGCCGGACCAACTTAAAATTCCTCCCAACTCCGAGTCTATAATTTTTCCACTCAGTCGCAGAGATGTCAGTCTGCGGAGGGCAGACTGTCGCGGACCATCTGACCCTTACGTTGTTCCCGAGGAAGCAGCTGACCGTTTCTCTACGCACAAAGAAACACCAGAATATCCCCCGCTCCCCCCGCCGCAGAATACTGGTAGTTAATGGCGTATTTTCCGAGCTGCTATTTTCACCCCCCCCCCCTTGCTTACCCTCCCCCCCTCGAAATTTCAGGAAATTACGTTCAAAAGGTAATTACTAAACAAATACCGTTATTTCGTCGTGAATAAAAATATAATATTTTTTCAAATTTAGTAAATTTACTCCCATGGTTGGGACTACCCACATGAAAGGAAGTAGGTGGGCACACAGCTAGTAGTAGGTAGAAAGAAGGGGAAGGGGGTAGCTTTATAGGGGGGGGATAATTTATTTTTAACTAGAGAAAAATATAATTACCGTTTTAAATCTCGTATACGTACAAGCAGAAAGATTACTCTCTGAATATTTTTATCTTGCAAAGTATGTTATGTCTACTTTCATGGTCTTGCATATTACGGTGGCTGCTTTCCATTGTATCCCTTTTAAAAAATAATAACAAAAAAATTTAAGTTCTAACCTAAGTAAATCTTTATATGATAAAAAAAGATAAAAACCCAGTATTTATAGGAGCTGGCATATTTAAAAACATATGTTGCCGCAGAAATTTGGGTTTGTTTCCAAAGGCTGTATCAGTGTGGGATCCGTTGCAATGGAAGATCTTCCTTAGATACCAAACTGATGAGAATGATCCTCATTTTATTAATCAATTCTTGACATATTCTGTATGGATTGTCTTGTACAATGCTATAAATAGATAATAAAATGCCCATATTTCCAAATGTAGAATTTTTTTATCCTTCTCTCATGAACATAATCACATATAGTCCATCTTTCTCTGTCCTCCCGTCCCAAAGCTGTCCTTCGGAGCACAAACCCCATCACCCTACGGTTGAATCATAAAAACTCGTGTGACCCATAACCGGTTTTATGAGGTTTCCTTTGTATCTGGGTTCTATCATGACCCTGAAAAATAAGAAAAAAGGTGAGATCTTTAAGGTCAGACTGATACCCGTTAGAAGCCATTATGGGCAAAGACTTGCCGATGGCAGACCCCGTGAAATATGGTCAACATGGGAGTTCATTTTGGCTGGTAACAGCACCCCTCCCTCCCTCCTCCTCCCTGGAAGTCATCCTCGAGAGGAAATTATCAGGGGATGGAGATCTCTGAAGATCACAGGGTGCAGGTTCGTAGGCATTTGGAGCATGTAGCGTCATTCATGGCCCCTGCTCTACTTTGAATACATAGATGATGATAATGGGTGTCGCTAAGAGTAGCCGCTGATTGAGACGGGGATGGGAGGTGATGATGCCTCCCTCGTCTCTGCCCTCGGACTCAATCGAGTATCGACGATGAGTAGAGAAGTGAGGCTAAGATCTCAGCGAGAGAGAGAGAGAGGTAGCAGATGTGTCGTCTTCTTGCCTTTTGCTTTTGGTTGTTAAATCGAATAAAAAGGGAATAATGGCCTCCCCGCTGGGTTCTCTCTCCCCATTCTAGCAGCCGCTCCGTTCTAGCTTCCTCTGTGCGTGAGCTGTTGCCTTCTTCTGCTTTTGTAGTTTTTTCTTGGGCTAGTCGGTCGGTTTTGTCTCGTTGGAGTCGAGGTAGGGGGGAAACTGCCCAGGGACTGGAGGCCCGGAAGATAGAGTTCACAGGTTCACAGGTTACCTGTTCTCTCTCTCTCTCTCTCGTTCTCTCTCGCCTTCTTCACAGATTCTTCTCTCACGCAGAGCTGCGTGAAGCTGCCGTTCACGGTCTAACCTCTACCTCCACACTGTCTATGTGCTTGTCTGTCTGTCTGTCCGTCTGTCTTCCCCCTCCCTCTCTCTCTCTCTCTCTCTCTCTCTCTCTCTCTCTCTTTCTTCCCCCCTTTATGTGCAGCATGTGGTTTTGCTACACAAAACTGCTCGCGACTTCACATTCGAAAGCCGCTTTTTCTTCCTCCTCCCCTTGGGGTTTTAGCTGTTTTTAATCCTCTCTCTGACCCTCTCCTTCACTCCTAACGGCACCCCTTCAAACGTCCGGGGGCCACTGAACCATCGTGTCTCCAGTAGGTGATCTTGGAGAGAAGAAACCTCGCTTCTCCTTCCAAATCGTTTATCTTCCCTCCTCCCTCCTCTTTCACATCGCTTCTCTTCTGCTTCCTCCTCAGATTTCTCCTCCCGGTGATCCCTTTCTCTCTCTTGCCTGTCCACGGAAGAAGGCGGGCTTCTGCCCCCGCCGGTTTCCGTGCGGCGAATAGGGCGACTCGTTTAGGGAGATCACTTTGCAGTGGGTCTGTCGAGTCGACTCGTCTGCTTCTACCCGTGTTCCTGACCGTGAGCTTCCTCGCCGTCGGATGGTCGGCCGCAGCCTGCAATGGAATCGGCTCTGAAAGCGGTCCTGAGAAGACTGTGCTCCCTCCATGGTTGGCTCTACGGCGTGTTCCTGCAAGCCAGCCTCGGCGATCCCGGGTAATGGCCGTCGGCGCACTTCATGTCTCTCTCTACCTCGATCATTTTCTCGTGTGCGCACCCAGCTGTTGTGTGGGTTTCCTCGCGTTCTCTTCGAGTCTGCATCGTGGGTTTCACCCAGATCAGCTTTTCCTCTCTCTCTCTCTCTCTCTCTCTCTCTCTCTCTCTCTCTCTCTCTCTGAATATATGTATTGATTTGTGTTGGTCTTTTCTGTTGTTCTTGTTCATCGTTTCCTTCTTTTTTCTCCCATTTATCTTATTTTGTCCAATAAAAAGTGTCACTACGTCGAGTTTCTCCGATTTTGGGGCGATCTGAAGCTATTCCATGGTAGAACGGACGTTATTCGTCTTCAATTGGACGACGATCATCCCGTCCTCTCCGTAGCTTCCTGCAACAGTCGCGGGTTTTCCGGTTTCTACGATCGAGCGGCAATCCCCTTTCGTCCAAGATTTTACTATCGTTCTTGAGCAGAACGCTGCTTCCCCTGAGCTGTGGGTGGTTTGACTTTCCCCGCGCATGCTTCAACCAACTTCCCCAGAAGACCTGCTCGCGTATATGATGCAACACGCCGTCCAGAATGCTTGTTGTGCTTATTAGATCCTTGATGCACCCCATGGACAGGTTGCTCGCCCCAGTAGAAATCTACCACGAAGAGCGGACTCCCGCCGGGATCATCGATGCTCTGCGCCGCGTTCACAGATTGGGCCAAGGGTATGCTCGTCACTCGATGAGTATGTTATTTGATAAACTTTTTTTTTTTCCTCCCATTCCTGGAAGCTTCCTATGGATTTGTGTAATCTAGTTTTTCTCTAATGGTGATCATTGTTTGATCTTTAGCCTGCGGAATTATGAGAGAGAAACTCATGTTCTTGAGAGTGTCTGCTGACCATTCAGTGGTTTTCCGATTTTTCTCTTTCTAGAACTATCAGCAAGGTAGTCTTGAGCCGGGGGCATCACTGGATCTCCTCAGATAGTCACTCCCTCGACCCTTTCGGCGCCATCAAGGTAGAATCAACCGACAGTTGCTACTTTCACGAAATTCTTGAGTTGAAGCTGCAATTTCTTGCAGGAATAAAGGTTTCCACTCTCTCTCTCTCTCTCTCTCTCTCTCTATCTGATTTACATGATATAATTTCTTCTGAAAGAAATGATTCCCTGATCCTTCAATCATATTTTCGTGTATATTTTACAGACTGTTGCAGCCGTGTCTTTGCTTCCATTCGGTGTTGTCCTGTTCGGCTCCACTCTGAAGGTGAGAACCTACAGAGCCATGAACGTGAAGAACATCAATCTGTCCTGCATAAATGCTGACATTAGTTCCCCCGCGAGCTATAGTCCTTAAGTGTATTCCTAATTTGTGGGTTTGATTAAAATCAGCTGATCGATGATGTGTTTAGTTTCCAATTAAGGAAAATTTTCTTCTTTGTCATCTTGCACCCTGCCCGTTTTCCTTATTTTATCCACATCTCAATCATACTTTCTGGTCAGAGTTCTAGTCGAAGTCTTGACCATTTCCATACCTTGAAATCCTGTGGTTTCCATGAATGAGGGCTCTTGAATGTGGTCAAAAATGGGTATTTAACATTTCTGTTGATATCTAAATGCTCGAAGACAGAATAGCTTCGCATCATGATCAGAAAATCATAGGTAATCAAAGAAGATTACAACATTCCTGATTGATGGGTTTAATTATATCCGGATGATCGAAGATGGGCTTGGTTTAAAATCAAGGAAAATTGACGCCATGTCCCTTTTTTTGTACCCTGTCAGGTTCCCGAGAGCTCAGACTTTGTCAACCAGATCAGGCACAGTTTTAGGAAGCTTGGGAATTTCTCGGGGCTCCTCCATGGAGGCGATCAGAATTCAAGCATTAGAGAGGGAGCACAAGAACTGCCAGGGGGGTTATCTTCGTTGGTTCTGTCTGGAAATTTCTGCGAGGACGTGTACAGAGCCATGGTGAGGCCCGCGTTGGCTTCTGTGCAGATGCTTCCTCCTGATGGCCCCAATCCTGCTAGATTGGTTAGGGAAAGCTATGCCATCGATCAATGGCTGCCATCGATTAGGGGCGGCTCGTCGGGCTGTGATCCTCCACATCCCACGGATTGGGAGGTGGAGAGATTTCTATTATCGTCAGAAGGTGAGGACCTTCCTGGTCTTCTCCCCTTGTCCTCTCAAGATCGAGATGAGGGCTGCCGTGGGCCCACTGGAGATTCTCTCGGGAAGAGCTGCGCCGAGGGAGGGAGCACTTCCGGTCAGCTCGAGGGGATTCCCTCAGACTTTGACCTGTTCGAGGGCATGGAACTGGATCTCAGGAAAGCATTCCTCGGGCAGGCATTCTGGGACGACGTTTTTGTGTCGACGGAGGACGGGGATCTCAAGAATGTGTTGGCTTTTCCAGAGAAAGAAAAGGTTGACTCTTCCACCAGCCATTCTTCTGCCATCAGCAATGCAAAATCGGTCAACAATCTTGAGCCCGAGAACCAGTACTCCGCATCCTCTGACTTTGGAGGGCAGTTGACTGACATGGAAACTTTGGATCTGTCGATCCCCGTATATGGAGGTGATGGGATCCGAACAGAGTCCTCTGGTGGAGCGCCGTTGGTGTCTGAATTTGGTCAACTGTTTGGCGACAGCTGTAGTCGGAGTCCTGGGAATTCTGTGGTGGGGTGTCTCCTGAAGACTGGAGAAGGTGGCAAGGCCCCGAAGAAGAGGGCCCGGCCCGGGGAGAGCACCCGGCCCAGGCCCAGAGACCGTCAGCAGATTCAAGACCGAGTCAAGGAGCTGAGGGAAATCGTCCCCAATGGGGCAAAGGTTGACTTTTTTTCCCGGTCTCCCCTGGTTATTTCTTTACATGGATTATGATGAGCAACGACTTGGCTAAAAGTTTGTTTTTATGCAACAGTGTAGTATCGATGCTTTGCTGGCTCGGACAGTCAACCATATGCTGTTCTTGCAAGGAGTGATCAAATACGCTGACAAAATTAAACAAACTGATGAGCCAAAGGTGATTCATTTTCTGGTCCTCACCGATCATCTGAAGTTGACTTTTATTTCCTCTGAGAAACTCGATTCAATTCGTTTTTTTTTTTTTGTTCTTGTAAAATAATAGATGATCACCGAGGAGAGTGGCATCATTTTGAGGGATGACCACGGCGGTGCCACCTGGGCGTATGAAGTGGCAGGTCAAACCATTGTCTGCCCTGCGTCCATTCAGGAAGTCAACCCCCTCGGTCAGATGCTCATCGAGGTGATCCACTACCCGCATTTTCTTCTGATGTGATGTGGTTGACTAAAATATTATCCTCACTGTTGTTGACTTTCGTTCTGTTCCGTAGATTCTCTGTGAAGATCATGGGTCTTTCCTCGAGATTGCGGATTCCATCCGTGGGTTCGGGTTGACCATCCTGAAAGGCGTGATGGAGGCCCGCAATCGGAGAATATGGGCGCGGTTCCTGGTCGAGGTAGGACCAGCCGGAACAAAGATCCTCAGCTTATGTGGTTGACTTTGCTTCAATCGGGAAGAACATGGGGCGAACTTGTTTGACCTTGGATTCAACTTTGACTTACGCAGGCGAATCGGAATACCAACAGGATGGAGATATTTCTGCATCTGGTTCAGCTCCTGGCGAAGATGTCTGGAAGTGGCGGCTCTAAAGATGGCCCGGGCAGGGTCATTGACTGCGGGATTTCCGGAGTGGGAGCTTATCAGCAATCTCTCATGGCAGTGCCGTCCGGGTCAGCAGATCGGGCCAGGTGACTGCTAGAAATCATCTCTGAATTCTCTGTGGAGGGAGGGTACTCGTGGGCTGGAGATCAAAATGACCATTATTGGCAAATTCGATGGTGTAAATAGCTTGGCTTCTTCCATCTTCGTTCTCCTCATGGGCATAGCTCGTATCTTCCAAGGCTTCATTCCCATGCTTGCCCTGTCCGTAGAATGGCCTCTCTCTCTCTCTCTCCCTCTCTCTCTCTCGCTACTTGCTCTCATCGGGTCCGGGCTTGGACCCACTCAGAACAAGCCCATTTTTTCGGATTTTCACTAAGCTTCTCCTGAACTCTGAGCTTGTAGAAGATACCCGGGCTAAAAGGGGGCTTGTAGGAGCGTCATTTATGAGGACCATAGCTCTTCTCTTCCAAGGCTTCATTCCCATGTCTGTCCTGTGCGTAGAATGCTCTCTCTCTCTCTCTCTCTCTCTCTCTACGTGCGCTCATCGGGTCCGGGCTTGGGCCCACTCATAAGAAAAGCTCATTCTTTTCGGATCGTCACTAAGCTTCTCCTGAATGCTGAGCTTGTAGAATAAATCACGATCTACAGACAGTACTACTGAAACAAAGAAAAAAAAATCATGGGTTTTTGAATGGCTGCATCTGGTTACAGAAAGAAACCCTAGAAAACGTTTTTTTTTCTTTCTTCCAGTGAAGGATCCACAGTACTTATGAACAAGAGCCTCATCTGTGAACAGAGCAAGCCAGAGTTTTCCAACCCAAAAGCCATTCAAATCTACGGTACTCATAAATCTATGACCAACAGTGCTCATAAGTCTCCAGTCCCAGGTTTCTGATGGAGAGAGAGAGAGAGAGAGAGCCAGCGTGAGCTGGGGCCCCTCTCATGCCTCCCCCAACTCCACGAAGAGGCTTGCTTGGGGGTGCAAGCCGGCCTCCTTCAGAGTCAGGGAGTGCTTCTCTGGGCCGTATGAGATGCGGGGGAAGTTGGAGACCAGGTTATACTTCTCAGCTTTGAGACAGTCCAGGGAATCAACAAAGTCGTAGAGTGAGCTGACCGGAGATGAGCTGTGGAACCTCCTTTCCTTGCGTTCGCCGGTCGGAAATCTCACAAGCACCTGGGAAAATAGGAGGAATTCATTAGCTTCTGGAATCCTTGCTTTGAGATTTTTGGTGGGTCACTCAAGACAGAAAATAGAAATTAAGAAATTCCATATTTTTTTAATAAAAATACTGGAAAAATGTAGCCCACAGGGGGAGATATCCAGAATTTTCAAATCCTCGTTTTGAGATTTTTGGTTGGTCATACAAGACAGGAAATATAAATTAGGAAATTCCAGTTTTTTTTTTAAATACTAGAAAATGTAGCCCACAGGGGGAGAGATCCAAATTTTTCAATCCTTATTTTGAGATTTTTGGTGGGTCACACAAGACAGAAAATAGAAATTAGGAAAATCCAGATTTTTTCTTTTAAAAACTGGAAAGTGTAGTCCGCAGGGCGATTTCTCCTGACAGAGTATGGTATGTGCAGATGGACCAGATTGGAGCCGGGTGGGGGCATTTTTCTTCCTGAGTTAGATTTAAGCCCAAGCTGAGAAAGACCAGGCCGATCACCAATTTTACTGGCCCATTGACACATCTAGACCTAATTCTGAATGGCTCAGCTCGATCGGAGTAATATGATTACGCCGCCAAAGAGTGACCATGATTGGGGCAGAACTGGACACAAAGCATTCTCCTGGTGGAGAATTGAACATATTCATGGGAACTTACCTTGGAAATTTCACTAAATTCTAAATTCATCATGTGACAAGAGGAAGCGATTTTTTTTTTTTTCATGCCATACGATTCCGATTCTCTTTTCTCGGATCTTGAGGAGATAATCCTTGTGTGGATATGTACAACAAGAAGCTAACTTGAACCGTGGTGTTCTTTGGTCAATGAGAAGGGTGAACAAGCAAGCTGGGTGATTCTACGAGGACCTTGGTTAGAAAAATAAAATTAAATGCAGCTAATTGGTGGTACAAAGCCATGGTACTATGCATGATTCATTGTTCTCCAAAAACACAGAACATTTTATGGAGCATGTATACACTAGCTTTTCTGCTAAAGAAACTATTGCGGAACATACAGGGCTAAGGATGGGACATAATTGAAGCACAAATTTCAGAAGAACAGTACAAGTTTATGAGTTCAGGGAGCATTACTTGTGTGACATCAAGCCCCTTCTCAGGTTCGATTCCCAGTGACACGGCTTTCTCTTGCCTCCTGCGAGCCAAAGCGGCCTCTTTCTCAAATGCCTCACGGGCTGCTCTTTCCAGTGCCTCCTCCTCCTCCTTGCGTCTTCTCTCAGCTTCTGCTGCTTCCTTCTCCAATCGTTCCTGTTCTTCTCTCCTTTGACGCTCTCTAGCCTACAACACAAGAAGTCTTTCAATTCAACAGATAGCAACCACACTGCAGTTTCAAAATAAGAAGTGGGACTGAATAAATTATTGCAAGGGAGCCAGTCAGCCAATGATATCATCATTTTCCGTCTTAGGAATGGTTCAGTCAAGATAGCAGCGCCCATTTGAAGGCATCTGAGAATCGAAATAAGAGTCCTACTAAAGTCTTTGAGTCGGGGACTGGATGTAACATAATAGATAAAGATGAGGCATAAATTGCACAATTTAGTGCATGATAAATAATATCATAGGGTTTATTTCTAACCTTCTCTGAGAAGGATCAATGAGGACACATATTGCCGAGCGATTCGGGCAAGGACTGGTGCCCTATGGATAACGAGAGGGCCTAGGATCATATGATTTCCCTGGCGTTTCCACAAGCACCAACGGAAAGTTACAAGGAAAGATTAAAGGCCTGGCCTTCATTCTACATTATGAAACCTTCAGACAGAAAGGAATATAAAACATTATGTACTTGAAATGACAAGGGAGTAGAATAGATCATCCAAAGTATCTAAGCACGCGGGTGGGTATGGTGAAAGCTATGACCTTAAAGTTATTTTGTTAATGGCATGCAACGCCATCTGTTTTCCAGAAAGAAGAATTAAAGTGAGAGATATTTTTGCCCCACAATAGATTGATTTATAAATTTAAATCAAGGAAAATCAAAGACTCTGATAAAAGGGCAAATACTTGATCAGCTTCAAGTGCAGCACGATAAGCAGCATCTTGCTCCTCTCTCAAACGCAAGGCATTTCTTCTTTCTTCAGCCTCCAGCCTGGCGGTAATAAGTACTGTGCTGCTCTCTTCATACACCCGCTGAAGAATCCTAAGCAGTTCCTCTGGAGATCTGGGTCCTTCAATCTGTAGAAATTACAAAAATAGCAGAAGAATGTATATAGAAGATTGACAAAAGGTGCAAAAGAAGACAACACCTTGCCCACAAAGAAATAACAAAGATCAAGAGTGTATTCAACTAAGAACAAGGTATGTTGACAGAACAACGTCATAAAACGTCAAGGCATAATAATTTCTTGAACCAAAGCAAACAAAAATAAACCAACGTGGGTAAAAAGTTCTATTGATTATAAGATTGAGTATGAAAATCATTCAAATTTTCAGACAATTGGAATCATAGTATGAGGCTACTCTGGCATAAAAAATAGGGAATGATTCTGGCATAAATACACAGCCTTTCTGAAAGAACCAAGAGTGTGGATATAGAATGTGTGGAACAAGATCGGTGAAGATCAAAATAAAACAAGCATGGTATTTAACTGGAAAATTAAGGGATCCCATTAGATCATTTAAAGAGTCCACACAAAAGCATTGAGACTGTCTAGACAGATTGAAAGAAGATTGATAGAAGTACATCATACTCTCAACTTTTTATATGGAGTCACAAGAAGAGAAATAAAAGTTGGAAAGAATCAGTGAATGTGAAGAAAGCAATAAAATCCCCAAATATAAAAGGACATTATAAAGTGACCCGTGATGAGAGAATTTGAATTTACGTTGATGCTTAACTTAATGGACGATGATGACAATGAGGCAAAATCTTTCCTCTTTACATCCTGTACTTTTGGAATGTGGTAAATTTTATAAAAGGAAACAAACAAATTACTTCAACAGAGAGTTACACATATCTCCAGACACCATAGCCAGAATCCTCGATCAGACTCCCAAATTCTGTCATGAAAAAAAAAGCACCAAGAAAAATCTAGACCACGACCTTAGGCTAGACCAAGGTTTGCCGGCTCTTGGTGAGGTAGGGTCCTACGACTTGAGAAATGGAGCTCTCGTACTGTTTTAATCTTGAGGGTGGCATTATATTCTTATTGCTCTCTTTAGAGATTGAAAAATATTAGTCTCCCAAGAGGCCAATGACTTTGCAAACGAATACTCAGTTAAAAATCATAAAAATGTTTCACTGAAGTGTTTAAGAACCCAATATCATTCTTCCAGCTCTCAACATTCAGATGGGCCAGAAAAGCGTAGGAAGTGACACATCACACTATGCCTTTTCTAGAGATTGAGAACGGTAATGGCACCAGATGATGATGAGAAAAAAAAAATGATTCTAAGTCTTCATGTGCACTGTAATCAGCAAAGCTCTCCCAGTTATGTCAATAATAGTTCCTTAATTGATTCCTATTTGACACTAAATATTTGTTGATTGATTCCTATTTGATACAACAGAAAGTACATATTCGTACCAGGCTTGTGAAGTTTCTAAATTCTGTCACATAGAGGAAGTTTCTACAAAGCCATTTGCATAACGAAAAAAACAAATAGTCCGAATTCTTTTATCCTCAATCATATACCTCCAATGGGAAATTAACCTGAAAAAACTATCTCCAAAATATTTCACCACTCGAGCTTCAAGAAGCTACACTTGGCAGAGGATATACTGCAGAGAGACGAATCCTTCAAGCAGGATTTCTCAGGATTGCAACCAACGGTCATCAACCTCTAAAGTGGTCCTGAACAGATGGTACAGTATTTTAACTAAGAAAAATCAAAACTCCAGGTGAACTTGTTTCCCAGTGGAGAACTTGGCCCCTATATTTCTTCTCAGAACCACATGTTTTTCGCATTGCCTATCTGAATCAAGATACAAACATTGATATACCCAGAAATATAAACCACATGCTTCTGTATCGGCGAGAAAGGAAATGTGATCACAGAAACTGCTTTTTCATTAATTAGATTCACTGAACTATTTGCTAGATACAACGTTTACCTGAAGAATTCTAAATATTTTTCTAATCTTATAAGACATATACTTAAGGAAAGAACCAATGTGAGTCACACCAACTTTATGATTACTCTTCAAAATTTTACAGAAGCAATAGAAGCACACTCTGGCTGTGTTCTCCTGCCCTCACAAAAAGAGTACATGCTAATGTAGTGTTTTCCACTATACTATTGCAGGTACAGGAGCACAGTTAGGTACACAAGAAAGGCTGTTTCTTTCCTCATATCCATATCGTCAGGAGATATGGATTTTTCCACCTCCTGAACTGATGGTATATAAGGAGGGTGAGGAATGAGCACTCTTTGTAACCAATATGGAGGCTAGGGGCATAGGCCTCTCATGCGATCTCTTGCATCCCTCTGATATGATCTCCAAAACTTACAAGGTTAATTTTGGAAAAGCTAGCAGCCAGAAAAATCACAGCTTACTACCGTCTTCTTTGTCAACTTCAAATGGCAACGTATCATGTGAAAATTCCAATAATCAATGTAGTATATTATCTCCAAAACTTTAGTGACTTCAATAAAGATTGCAACTAAAAGTTTTCTATGCACTGAGGTAATTATACCCATATAAGAACAAGATTGGGATGATATTCCCTTTGTCCAAATCCTCCAGATTTCATAAAAAATCATTGGCTTTCTCGCTTTAGAGGAAGGATATTCCGACTGTAAAGATACAACTGAATGGCTTCTCAAGTTGTCAATGGAGGGGACTGATAATATACCTCCCTTCCATTAATTTTAATGGCATAAAATTAATAAAGCAATCCGTAATCTCCTATGTTACTCCCATAGAGTCCCTTTCAATGATATTTTTGTGATGCACATTGAATACATCTTCCTGTGCTTCCTCCTAAGTGACAGGCCTGGTCGCGGTCTCAGCCATCATTTGATGAAAGCATAGATCCCTTCTTCCATTTGGGTTTCAAAATGTCACCTTGCTTTGGAGTTAGGGGTAGAGTTTAAGTAGACTGTGCTGGACTAATTTTTCTCCAGAACAACATGGGTTCTGAATTTGACAGGATTATTTTCTGAAGCTCATTTTTAGATATGATTATTGCTTAGAAGAATTGGGGTTCCTATCCCCATCTTTCAATCAATGTTCATTGGGTCTTTGTTTGATTTAATTTCTCTTCCAAGGACTCTCTCAGATGGCCAGAAAGGAGTCGTTCGTGCTTTCACATGCTAAAAAGAAAGGAATCATGAAACAGATACATCGAGAAAACGTCCTGGATGTTGGAGAGGCAAACATATTAAATATCAGCAATTTCTATGATCAGTTTTGCGGGCCATTTCGTAGCCAGTCAGTACCAGACAATTGATTCATAATCGGAATTGTAGAATAACCTTTCAACAAAAGAGGACGGTTTCTATGGTAACCAGGATCAGCTGTTCTGAATTGTCATCGACCCATAAATGATTTGATTCAAGAGAAGGGGATCTGAACTGATCTGGCTGCCCCCCAAACAATACTTAATGGAGAGGTCCAATGCATCAGGATTATACTGAGGTCAGCAGTGGCAATTCTAATGATCTGATCTGATTCTACAGACCAAATTTTCTTGAGCAAGAGACCTTTTTGTAGGGGTGTGGCATACAAGTATTTTTACAGGAGTACATTTGTCATCGATACACTCTCAGATGACAGATACTGTTGGAAGGAAAAAAGACGTACTATTGGATTTCAACGTTTAACATTCCATATTTCCCTTATAAGAACTTCAAAGGTAAACGATTTAATGAAATGAGATTTTTGGCTAACATGTAAGTCATTTGTCAAATCCGTTCCGAAAGTAGAACCATACAGAAAAATGACTTAAGTGGTGCTAATCTCTAAAATTTTTAAACCCCAGAAAATAAAAAACGTGCAATCTCACTATGACGGAAAGACCAAGGTGCTTGTGACAACTAATTTATCATCCAACAAGCTTTTTAGTGTGGTTTCCTAACTGGGACAAGACATTATTACTTTTCACCATCTACGATCCTCACTCCGCTGTTAACAATTTCGTAGCATTTTCTCCTTTTGTTTTTCGTGAAAAGCCCATCAACGATTTCCCCCTTTTCAAAAGTTTGTCCTTTCTGCACCTAAAGGAGCATTACCTATTGGATCTCAAAGGAGAAAATCTTATTGGTATAACCTGCTCAAAGATGTAAGACACAATAGAACAAATTGACACAGAAAAAACAGCAGAAGATCAAGGGAGAAGGAGGGAGACCTGCTGGAGTAGAGCGATCCTCTGGTTGGAGGCAGCCATTACAACTGCACAGAAGGGGAACCTCGACGCCTTCAGGCTGTTGCTCATCTTGAACCCCTCACTCCCTCGGACGCTACCTCCCCAAGACACAAAATTGGTGTTTACAAACTCCGCCACGACATCCGAGCACAAGCAGCCAGAGCAGAATCCGGGGACGTCTGGGTGGTCTGGAGAGTGCAGATAAACGAAGAGCAGTTTGAATTCCCTCCTTGAGCGCTGCAGCGCGTCCATGAAACCCTCTTCGACGAAATTGGGTCTGGAGGCGCCGGCACCACCAAATTCCATCTCGAAGATGGCCACAAATTCCGCGGCCTCGGCCGCTTCGGCGGAAACAGGGGGAATCAGCGAGGAGCCGTCCCCGGAGCTGCGCGACGGGAGAAGGCCAAGGAGGCCAAGGGAACGGGAGATTACGCTTCCAGCGACCCAGGCGCCGACGCCGACCGCGCCGGAAATAAGGCCCACCCCGCCGGAGACGACATAGAAAGGGAGGGTGACGAGCCTCCAGGCAATGCCGGGATGAGCGGCTCCCCGCACCTGGACGACATCCTGATCGGACTGCGAGCCGCTGCTGGCCCCGTTAGAAGGACCGGGACTGCGCTCTGCGGCATAACCGGGGACGGACGGGGAAAAAGCGGACGTGAAGGAGGAGACGGCGAGATCGAGGTCCCAGTCATGGGCGGCAAGGATCTCGGCGCAGAGATCGGGGTCTTCAAGGCCAGTGATAGCCTGAAAAGTCGCCAATTTGTCCTCGAACACGGGAACGCCGGTGCCAGAGTCCTCCATCGCCTCTGAACTCCCCCTCTAGGGCGGCCGCCGGAGGAAGGAGGGAGGGCACGACACCAAACGAAGACGACAGCGGAAACTGGCGACGGGGGAAGGCCGACCGGCGGTGGGCGGCGGCGATCAATTTGGCAAGGATGGGGCGATCAATTGGCGCCTCCACCGCCTACCCCAGAATCTTCCCCTCCAGCGCTCGTCTTCTTCTTCCCGACTACGCCCCGCTCCGGCTCCGACTCAACTGCGATGTTCTTGTTTTTATCCTCACGCAGCTTAATGGGCCTTTCGTCTATACGAGACCGCATAAAACGCGGCCCGGAGACTCCTCTTGGTATAATTAATGGGCTGACCCATTAGTCATATCAAAGTATGTAAATTGGTCATTCATTTCAAGGGGGGTCCAGTGGCTCGTTAATGGGCCGGGAAGGTCAAAGTTTGTAATCTTGCCGTCCGATCCCGAGACCGTTTAAATCCGATGGCACAGCGGGCGTGGAAGTGTGTTTTAGTGGGGAGGAATGAACATCATGTTGATTCATAAGAGATGGTTCCCCTCGTCTTAGAGATTGGCTTCTTCTTCTAGTTCTTCTTGATCTCCTCGTCCTCGTCCTTCTTCGTCAGACGCCGCAGTGTGGCTGACGGGAGCTGGAGGGCTCATCGGGGTGTTTGTGTGTGTGTGCGAGCGAGCGAGCGAGAGAGAGAGAGAGAGAGAAACGCAATTGTTTCGGGCGGCAGTGGCCTCCTAGAATACCGGAGCGGGCGGATGAAACATCAACGAGAAGCGGGGACCATGAATTGATTGATAAGGAATGCCTGCAAGCAAGTCTAAAACAACACGTGGTTTTGAAAAGGGAGATGGTGACGTGTTCCCTAGGTACGCAGTCACCATCACGTATTTCCCGAAGGCGGTTTCTTCTTATTCTCCTTCTCCTTCTGTTTGTTCTACTTCCTCTTCTTCTTATTCCAGAAGACGTTCGTATCACATTACAACGTTCCCTAGATCTTGGAAGGTATGAGGGGAAGATGGCCATTTTCCACCAAAGACACGACCATTTCGTAGATGGCCTGCTTTACTGGAATAAACTTGAGTCCCAGATCGATGACCCGTTGATTGGAGAACTTGTAAGGTTTAACTCTCGGGCTCAGCTCATCTTCACATCTGCAGCAGATCAAGGCGCAGTTTTAGTATCATAACAAAGCAAGTAGACATGAAAACAGGGGAAAATGGTAAGATATTAAAGGATTCAGGTCAAACAGAAAAAAAAAACGAAGGTTCTAATCGTATCCTTGTTCTAAATGCTAATAATTACACACGTTTGCACAGTAAGGTATGCTCAGTTAGTGGAACTGATAATTTCGACCGCCAAGCCAAGACTTCTGCGGAGGCAAGTTGACCTGTTGGTTATGGGGTACTGCGGGAACATCTCGTTGAGCAGGCCCATCAGGTCGGCGCGGTGCAGCACTTCTGCGATGCAGAGATAGCGGCCCCCGGCAGAAGGGGTCTCGTAAACCAATATGTGAGCCGCGGCGATGTCCTTCACGTGGACGTAACCCTGGACGGCATTGGGGAATGCCTTCTTCCTCCCGCTAAGGTACTTGGCCAAAAGCAAGCCACTGGCATTGAGCATTGGCTGCAGCATCGGTCCGAACGTCACAGGCGGCACGACAACCATGAGGTTCAGTCCCCTCTCTTCCGCGATTTCCCAAGCTGCTTGCTCCGCCATCATCTTCGCGTAGCAGTACCAATTCTGGCTTACCATCGTCATCAAAGAGAGTGAGCAGGTTCAAAGGAACATACACACACACACACACACGTACGCAAATATCTATGTAGCGAGAGAGAGAGAGAGAGAGAGAGAGAGAGAGAGAGAGAGAGAGAGAGAGAGAGAGAGAGAGAGAGAGAGAGAGAGAGAGAGAGAGAGAGAGTTCCATGAATTCGGACATTGGTTTTTCTGCAGAAGTCCAGGTCGCTCCAGCAGCCCTCATCAACAGTATCCTCCGGACTCCGGTGGGGGTTCATGTGTACAGCGCCATAGGAGGATGTGAGCACAACGCGGCGCACGGCCGCATCGGCGGCGATGTTCAGAACGTTCTTGGTGCCCTCAACGGCGACGACAATCTTATCCTGCATGCAAGGTCCGACCGCCGTTAATGGTCACAGTGTTAAGCAGATAAATAGGCAAAGAATTCAGAAATTGTGGAACTGGCTAACTTGGAAGGTTCAAGGAGAGAGTGCTTTACTTGGTCGTTGGTCACCGGAGAAGCAGTGTGGAAGACGCCGTCACATCCGTTAATGGCTTCTGCAAGACCAGCTCTGTGAAGGACGTCAGCCCTCCAGAGGGTCAGCTTCTCTTCGGCTCCTGGTAATTTCTTCAAATGGCGATTCTTCGGGTCCTCTAAACACAGAGAAATTAACGAGCACAGAAGGAAGCAGCCATCAAAGGAGATACAAGAGTCGCTTCTGTCGAGCTGGCTAATAAAAAAATTAAATTATAAATTATAATCAAAATTCGATGGAAAATTTATTCTTGTGCAAAGCCGTCAGTTAATGGAAAAAATAAGTAAACATACATCATGATTCGTCAAGGAAGAATGATATTCCTATGATTGAGCAGAACTCGTACATTGAATAATTATCTTCTTGATAGAATTGAATAAATAAAACGCGAAAGGTCATTGAAAAGTTGAAATTATTTCCTTATTTCACAACTCAACGATTGACATCTTCCAACTAGAATATTATTTCCAATAATTGTCCGCGAATGTCCACATTTTTTGATGTACTAAGACCTCTCAATCTTATTAATCTAGTATCTTTTCACATTGATCGCTATTCGTCTAAATCGTGCTTATCCCAGCCCCATAGTTCCACCGTGTTTATCATTATATCTTATATATATATATATATTTATCTCATGTATCTGCCATCAATTTCAATCTAACTTGTATATGTATCTGTCTCCCTCCAACAATTCCTTGAGCTGCCCTTAACCCAGATACCAAACCACGCCGACTAAAACAACAAAAAGCTTTGTATCGCTTCATATTCACTGGAAAGGTCATAGAAAAAGGAATAATATTAAGTTTCCAGAAGGCTATTTTGAAATAAATGTTATTCCATTTGAAGGACTATAAACATTAGAGGAAGGAACCGAGGGAGAGAACCTGGGTTCCTCACGGTGGCCCGAACGGTATAATCCTTCTGTAGAAGAAGATTCACCAGCCACGATCCGATGAACCCTCCTGCTCCGGTCACACACACCGTCATTGAACCGTCGAAGCTCATCTCAAGAGGAAGAACGGGACAAGGGGAGGGCCAGAGAGGGAGGAGGAAGAAGAGTGAGGAGTGCCCGAGATGCCTTCGCCGAAGAATCTCAAAGAACAGCGCGGTCTCATTCCGAGAGGTATAGTTGATTTCTTCTCTTCTTGGTGGTCCAGCCTGTGAACGAGAGCCTTGCACGTGGGCCCCATGTTCGCATAGCGGCATGGTGTGGATTATCTTCTCCACTACCTGCGCATTACTGGCCAGTCTTTTTTAAGTACGAGAGAAAGTCTTCCTTGTTCCTCCTGCTGTGTTTTCCTGTGATTCGTGAGGTGATCTCGTCGGCGACGTCTTAACTGCCGTCGTCTCTCCGGCGAGTTTCTGACACAGCCTTCTTAAAATTGTCCCATAAGTGTTATATGCTCATGTGGACATTATGAAGGGTCGGATCCATTTCTGACACCAATGAGGCTACCTTGTCGTGGACTTGCACGTGACCACACAGTGGAGTAAACCAATTAAGAATCAGCACAGGGAACATTTTTCTGTCATGTTAATTCACAGAAAATTGCTGGTTAGAGAGAGAGAGAGAGAGAGAGAGAGAGAGAGAGAGAGAGAGAGAGAGAGAGAGAGAGAATCATATGATCAATGTATAGGTCCCTCCCGTTTTTGTTTCCACATGCCACCTTGCTTGTGAGCTATGGGTAAATTGAAGTAGAGTGTATTGGACTTATTTTTCTCCAGAACATGGGATCTGAATCTGACACTATTATTTCCTGAAGCTCTCGTTCAGCTATAATTACAGTTTCGTAGAATTGGCCTTCCAATCTATATCTTTCAATCAATGTTCATTGGCTCTTTGCTTTTGTTCAATTTCTTTTTCAAGGACCCTCTTAGATGGCTAGAGAGGAGTAGCTCGTGCTTTTGCATGGTAAAAGATAGAAAGGATTTATGAAAAAAATGCATCGAGAAAACGCCCAGGATGTGGGAGAGGCAAACATATTAAAAGTCCGATTCCTAAAGTAGAACTTTACGAAAGTGGTTTGACCTGCTGGAAGATGTAAGTCACAATTGATGAAATGACACAAATAAAACAACAAAGATCAAGTGAGGAGAGAGACCTACTACAGTAGATCGATCCTCTGGTCAGAGGCAGCCTGTAGGCTGTTGCTCATGTTGAACTCCTCACACCAAGGCGTAGATTTGGTTTCTACAAACTCTGCCACGATATCTGGGGACGTCTGGGTGGTCAGGAAAGTGCAGGTAAATGGATCGCTGTTTGAGCTCCCTCTTTGTGTTCTGCAGTGCGTCCACGGAACCCTCTTTGATGAACTTGGGCCTGTAATTGCCGGCAACACCAAATTTATCCAGTTGAGGCATTACTGATTCATGAAAAGAGATTCCCTCCAGACAGAAAGAGACCCCTTCCTGTACGAGTAGTGAAGAACTATAGAGAGCTGTGGTTGGTTGTTGATCAACGGAAAGCATGAATTGAATTAAAGAAACTAAGAGGGCCTTGCCTTCTCGGTTAAACAAGAAATGAAGGGGTGTGTGGATGTGCACTGGGTCTACCAAATTCCCTCTCGAAGACGGACACTAAATTGCTAGCCACGAGAATGTGTTTCCTCTTTCTGAAGTCACTAGGAACAGCTAACGAGAAAAGAGGACAATGCCTGCATCTTTCTCCTTCTTTCAAACCCAGAACTCTACCTGAAGCAATAGCCCTCTTCTCTAGGGAGGCTGGAGCTCCCACATTTCCCAAATACCCTTTTCTACTATTTCTCACAGCTCCGTAAAAGAGGGGGAAAGGGCACTTTTCCTTTTCTGCTATACCATTATTCTTGGTCCATTGTCCTTTGGGCAGTCGATGACAATCGACAGAAGGACCGGGATACTGCTCTGAAGCGTAACCGGGGCCGGAGGATAAAGTGGACGTGAAAGAGGAGCCAGCAAAATTGATGTGGGAACAATGATCTTGGTGCAGAGATCGAGGTCATCATGGGCAGCTATAGCCTGAAAACTGGCCAATTTGTTCTTGAACGCAAGGGCACCGGCGCCGGAGTCTATCGCCTCTAAACTCCCCCTTTGTGGTGGCCGGCAGAGGGATGGTGTTGAGACCCTCACAACCCAAATGGGCTCATGGGGAAAGAGATCTCGAAAAAGTTGGCCCAGCCTAGGAACGAAGGAAGGCATACGGATTCAGACACCGAAAGGGACAACCGCGTGGGAGCAGGACACCAATGGAGCACGACAAGTCTCAGGTCCCGTCGGATCCGATCATAACGAGATAGGAGGCAGTCGTCGACATTAGAGGATTTCGGCTATAAAGAGGGGTCGAACGGCCATGGGAAGGGGAGGTCGAAAGAACCTTGTGAAGAACTCCGTTTGGAGGCGGAGACTCACCATCTTGCATTGGTGTCCCCGAGACTTGAGAAGTCTTGGTTATTTTGTATTCTCTCTCTCTCTTTATTCCCCTATCACTCGTCGAGGGCTCTCTCTTCCCTCAAGACTTGATCTTCTGGTGGTAGCCATTTGAAGTCCTAATGCTCAGGAGTTTTTGTATGGGACAATTTATCTATTGAATCAGCTCATATGTTTGACGCCTCAATCAAAAGGTCGTCATCAATTGGTATAAGAGCAGAAGTGATCACTCTTAACCCACAAGGCTTACAAGTGATGATGCAGACAGCCCAAAGGATTGAAGCCAAGTTGATGACATTGATGAACGGATGTCGACCATAGCAAGGCAGAGGGACGGAGAAAGGGTCTGTGGTATATGATGGGTGACAGATATGCCCCCCACCGAATGGTGCATGCAATTGTGAAGGAGGGCAGGGCCTTGGACCAACTACGACATGCCCATAGATCTCCACCATTGGGCACCTTTGGCTGACCATTGTCAGTGCCTGCACCTCACAATTGCCGAAATCCAAGCCTGATGAGCCTAAGGCTTATGTTTCTACTGAGATGAGAAATTCGTGCCCGACCATCAGTGTTGACGAGAGTTGAATATTCTATTCATTCTCATTGACTCTGATTATGTACCAGATGATATACAAGTGGGGAAACTCTCCTAAGACCCATCCCCAGACGAAGGTGAGATCATCTAGCTTGAAGCGTCCCTCCACTCACTATCCAGTCACTTCCATAGGTGTGCTATTTCATTCAAAGGGACAGTCCAAGGGTGATAGGTTTTTGCTATGCTCAACATCGGCGTCACATTCAACTTTGTTGTTAGTTGCTTGGTCTGAGAGCAGCAGCTACCAACTGTCAAGATGACACCATATCGAGTAGCCACTGACACATACAAGACGATCCTCAACTCAAAAATGTGATGCAATCTCGTCATCGATTTCTTAGATATCGTCATCTCAAACAACTTCCTCCTTTTTCCTCTTACCTCTTTTGACATAATTTTGAGAATGTATTGGATTGAAGATAGGCACAAGTTAGAGCTTGACCTGGATGACTAGGTATTATTGTTCCCCATCAAAAAGGAGAAGGTGATAATTGTGACAGAACCCCCTAACTAGAAAAAATGACACCAATAGATACCTTGATTAGTAGACCATATAAGAGAGAAGTATACTTCGAGTTATTCCAACTTGGGCCTAGCAACCATGAGCTAGATGAAAACTTAACAACAAAACTTTAGGAGTGTTTTTCGCAAGTCTTTGCAAACATCATGGGTCTTTCCCTAATCCATGAATAGGAGCATTAGATCATCATAGAGCCAAGAAATTAGATTGTCTATGCCCATTCTTTTTGCTATCCTCATTGTCAAAAAACTGAATTGGAGAAGTAGGTGGCAGCCATGTTAATGACTGTGCTCATCCAATACTCTCACAGCCCCTTCTCTAGCCTGACACTTCTTATCTGCAAGAAGGACAACTCATGGTGTTTCTGTGGATTATCGCACGCTAAACATGGTAATAATTCCAGATTGGTCTTATTCTAGTTTTAGATAAGCTCATCGACGAGCTACATGGAGCCATCATCTTCTCGAAGTTAGACTTGTGATCCAGCTACCATTAGATCCATGTTTGAATGGAGGATGTGTTGAAGATGGTATTTTGAATACATCATAGGCATTACGAGTGTCTCGTCATGCCCTTTGGCTTTTTCAACAGCCCAATGACCTTCCATGCTGCCATGAATTACATCTTTCACTTTATTCTTGTGATGATTCATGTTGATGTTTTTCAACAATATCGTTGTTTGTAGTCAAACATAAGGGCTGTCTTGTCTAAGTATTTCTCATCCTCCATGAACATCAATTTCACATTCACTCAAAGAAATATTTATTCAGCCAGACAACAATTGCATACCTAGGCCACTGGATATCAATAGAAAGAGTCGCTATAGACCTTGAAAAGATTGTCGCCGTCTGCCAATGGTTGTCTCCCACAACCTTTCGAGACCTTAGAGGTTTCTTAGGCCTAACAGGATATTATTGTCACTTCATTCATGTCTTTGGACAAATTATTTGGCCCATGACCCAACAACTGAAGGAGGCATTCACTTGTAACTCAACTGTCGAAGAAGCCTTTGAACAGCTCAAACAAGCCTTGAAGACAATCCCTAGTACTGACCTTGCTGGATTTCTCCACCATGTTTGAGCTCGAGGTAGACGCCTCTAGTTATCGAATAGGAGCTGTCCTCATGCAGCATCAGAAGCACGTGACTTTCTTCAGCTAGGCTCTAATAGACCCTCTATAGAAGCCCACTTACAAGCATGAGCTCTAAGCCATAGTGATAAGTCTTTATTATCATGAGTTAATAATTAGTAAATAATATAGTTTCAGCCTTAACTCATGATAAATAGACTTATATTTGTGTTAAAGTATGATCTGTGATTTTCAGTTGATTAACGTGATTTTTTGGGTAATTATGTAATTTTATATGATTTTTACAGTCTTATTTTTGAGATAAATAAAGAACAAGAAAGAAAAATAAAAATATTACAAAATGGGAGGACCCGCCGGCCAGTCGGGCCTTCAAGCGGGTCAGAAGTGCAGTCAGGGAATAGCCACGAGTAGGGGCTCGAGCGGCTTAGCTTGGACCGATAGGGGCACGTGTGCACCACTCCCCTTCCACGTCACCAGTGGCTAGCCGACTGTGGGGAAAGGAGTGGTCGTACATGTGAGAGAAGGGACTTTGCTTACAAAGCTAACATTACTATATATTCGTCTGAAAAATCGGCACACAACTGATATGGGACTAAACCCGCGTCACACCTTCCTTAGAGGCGGGTGATCGGCGCGTGTTTGAATCCTCTCAGAGTCAAAATTCATATATTTTATCTGATTATCGCGACTTTCTTGCAGATCGCCGGTGAAGGATTAAGCATTGAGAATCGCTGGATCATCGGCAAAAATCTCGTTAACGTGATTCGCGGAGCATTGCTACTAAAATTATTGAACGATTCGCGATAAAAGGATCACGAATCCATCGAGTAAATCATCTTCGATTGATCGACAAACAAGCCATCGTCGGGAAGAGGACGATCCATTGGGAGACGAGTCACCACCTCTTGAGAGTGTACCGGATACGATGAAGAGCCTCCTCTTGCTGCGTGGACCTGAGGATGAAGATCCCTAACATGCACCCCACCTCCATCCAGCTCCTCTCTGTCGGGTGACAGTCACCAGAGAGTTGCAAAGTCGCTATTTTTCTGCTCCGCCGAGTGACAACTATTGGAGACGATTCGACGACCCACTTCATTGATCTCTAGATTTCGCGAGAAGATCTAGAGATTGCCCACGCTGTCTTTGTCCAAGGAGAGCCTTCGAGGCTGTGGACACTACACAACGATCCTCCCGAATGCTCAAGATTCTAGAGCATCGCCGACGTACCACCGTCGTGATGCCGGAACTCTATTTTCCTACTTTTAATTTACTTTACACTTCATTTAGTGATAATTTTTGTATTTTTCAATTACCAAAATATACTTTGTTCAATTACGATTCTTCTAACTTTTATAGATCTTAATTTGATTAATTAAATCATTTGTAATCGCTTATGCAAGAATTGTCGGGCAGAATTTTATTTCCACCCGATTCGCGTTCGCTAGGCGCTGACATCATCTCGACGTCCGCACCCTTATTTCTCTTTTTCATGAATTTTAAATATATTTCCTTTTTATTTCCTAGTATAAAATTCATAGAAAATCGTATTAATTGAGAAAAGTTCTGAATAATTACTAGATATTATATTACATCCTTGCGATTGACTTAAAAAATTATCGCTATTTTTGGAAGTTTTATTGAATTATAATTGATATATTTATTTAGAAATACTTCTAAATATCTGAAAATTCGTATTTTCTAGTTTTATAAATTTTATATTTGTGTGATTTAATTCACAATGACTGAGTCATGTCACATAGTCCTCACCATCTTTAGATGGTGGTATTACCTTCTTGACTACAAGTTCTTGATTTTTACAAATCAATGGGGCTTGAAGTTCCTTCTAGAGCAACATCAGGTCCTCTTAAATTATCAAAAATGACTAGCAAATGTTATTTTGTTTGACTTTGAGATATGCTTCAAATCAGGCCATAAGAACTGAGTGATGGTTGCCTTGTCTTGGGTCCTTGAACAAGTATGACTCTAGATGTTAGCTCTCTCTCATCTAGAGCTACTTTACTTGCCAAAAATTGCTTCAGAGAATCATTGATGAACTGTCTACTAAGTGAGTGAAATAGGGACACTACTTGCTACAGCAAGGTCACCTCTTCCACTGTAGAATCTCTTCCACCCTTTCTTTGGGAGTTCTATGATGTAGTAAGTGGAGGCCATTCTAGTTTTTAATGGACCTTCATTTGACTTAAACAAAGCATTTGTTGGCAAGGAATGAAAGTAACAATCAAACACTATGTGGCCACTTGCCTGATCTACCAAATGAGTAAATCAGAGGTCTTCTTCAACCTTTATTCATTTCATACTACATATAGGAAGACTTGATGATGGACTTTATCAAAGGGTTCTCCATCTCCAATGGTTGGAATGCTATTTTGGTCATTGTTGATTGACTTAGTAAGTGTACTCATTTTTCTGCCTTTTGTCATCTCGTCACAACACAAATTGTAATCAAAGGGGTCATCCAAGATATTGTCTAACTACATGGATTTTTGTGGTCCATCCTTACTAGTCAAGACTAGATCTTTATGACTACCTTCTGACAAGCTCTCTACCATCAACAAAGGATCACACTTAAATAGACCAATGTTTATCGTTCAAAGATTGACGACCAATCGGAGGTGCTCAACTGCAAGCTTAAAACATATTTCCATTGTTTCACTAGTGAACACCTAAAATAGTGGTATCGGTGACTTCCATGGGCAGAGTTCTAGTAGAACATGAACTTCAACTATTCCACAGGGATGACCTTATTTTAGATAATTTATGGATGACCTTCACTAGTGAACCAATGACATTGGGTGATTTAGAATGATTGTAGGAACAAGATGAGATCATTGTAGCTCAGACAAAATTTGACACGTGCCCAAGCTCAGTTGAAGCACTTTGCAGACTACAAACAAAGAGAACTTGAGTTCTAAGTAGGCGAATGGGTCTACCTTTGCTTACGTCCATACCACCAGACCACACATCGTATGTTGACCCTATGCAAAGCTTGCTCCTCACTTTTATGGCCCATTTAAGGTCTTTCACCACATTGAGCTAGTAGTGTACCATTGGACCTTCCTACCTCAACCCAAGTCCATCTAGTATTCCTTGTGTTCTAGTTAAAGAGGGGGGAGCAACGTGCAGAGCCCCAAGCAATGCTTGAGTTACTGGTGGATTGTGACTTGTACTGGACAATAGTTCTGGGTTGGGTACGGACGTCCACTATTTCCCTCATTATCTCAAAGTACTATTGTATTAGGACAGGCTGCCACCCGAGTTTGCCACTTAGGAAAATGTCTGTGACATCATGTGACAATTTCTTGGTTTCCACCTTGAGGGCAAGGTGTGTAAATGGGGGGGAGGGAGTATTGTTGAGACCTAGACAACCCAAATGGGCTCATGGGTAAACAAGTCTCAAAGAAATCGGCCCAACCTAAGAAGGAAGCAAGGCAAACAAGATTCAGATACCGAAAAGAGACAACAACATGTGGGAGCATGCATGCCAGAAGATGTGTGCAGCAAATGGAATTCGGCTAGGAATCATGGTAGGCCTTACACTGATAGAGAATTGGTAAATCTCAAGTCCTTAGTGCTCGGGAGTTTTTGTATTAGACAATTTATGTATCAAATCAGCTTGTGTATTGACTCCTTAGTCAAAGGGTCATCATCAGAGGGGTGCCACGACACAAATCAAAGATGATAATGGAAGTCGATAATGGGGGAAGGCCGACTGATGATGGGTGGCGACGATCAATTGGTGCCTCCACTACCTTAGAATCTTTTCCTCTAATGTTTGTCTTCTTCTTCTTCTTCTTCTTCTTCTTCATCATCATCATCATCATCATCATCATCATCATCTTCTTCTTTTTCTTCTTACTGACTTTGCCTTGATCGCCTACTCTAGCTCAACTGTGTAGTGTTTCTCTTCTTTTACACTCATAGCCTGGCTCTTAAAGGATCCTTTGTCCACATGAGCCCATATATAATTCTCTCTGGAGGGACTCTCCTTGAGCTAATTAATAGGCTTTTCTTTGGCTTAAAATGGGCCATTCAAGTCCATATGGTAGGCAGTCTAATGGCAATGTTAATGGGCCATGAAGGTCAAGATTTGTAAACTAGTTGTTTGATCGTGAGATGACTTAAATCCTACAGCACATCAGACATAGATGTGTGTTGTTGGGAGGAATGAACAACATATTGATTCATGAGAGATGTTCCCCTCATCTTAGAGATCGACAGGTTCCTCTTCTTCTTGATATCCACAACAAACATCATGAATTGATTAATAATGATGACTTCTAAATTCATTGAAAGTGAACATAAAAGAAATGATCAAGTTATGAGGAATCTTGATGAGAATAAGTCTTCCACCATAACATCTCTAATCTACATCTTAATGCTATTGAGACAACCCACACACTATTGGGTCAAAAATGGACTATTCTCTCATTCTCTAGAAGCTTCACTTGTAAGAAAAGAAAAAATATAGATAAAAAGGGGAGAGATTTGAGAGAGAGAGACAAGATAATTAAGGGAGAAGAGAGATCTCAAGAAGAATAATTTATTTTTTATTCATTGTCTTCAAAAAAGAAAAAATATATGCCTTATTTATTGAAAAGTAAAAAGATAACTACCCCCCCAAAAAGAGACATTTATGACTTATGTGTGAGCATGCCCACACATCTTGGAACTAATGGTTTTAACCACTTGAGTTTTTTACTCTCTCTCACTACACGACACTTGAATGGGTTAGACAAAAGGAGACTCCACGCATGTCTCTTGAATAGGTCATATATGATGTGTTGTCACTGCAAACAAACTCCACCTTGGCAGCCATCATCACTACACCCAGAGTTGACATCGATCAATTATAAGTTATCTATCTTTTACAAGGTACCTACAATATGAATCAAATCTAGATAATGCTTGAACTTCTTCACTATGATAAACTTTATCAACATGTGTGCAACATTCTCCTCGATGTAAATATTATTTAAAAAGATATCTAAAAAATTCACCAACTTATGAATTTTGTGATACTACACATCAATATATTTTGTCGTGTATGATATACTTAATTATTTACTAATCAAAGAATATTATGATTGTTATAACGTAGATGAACTTTACCCTATTAGATCCTAAGTTTGTTTGATTTTCTCTTTAGTCACAAGGCCTCTTTGGCTGCTTTAATAACCTATTATATACTCTACCTCAATGATAAATAATGCAACACTAGTATGAAGTGTAGACTTTGAACTCACAAGTCCACCAATAATGATGAAAACACAATCCATCACATTTTTTTGATGATTTAAATCTTCGACAAAATCTATGTCAACAAAATCATTAGCAAAAAGATAATTTATTTATTAAAATAGGTTTTAAATTTAAAAAATCTTTTAAATATTAAAAAAATAATTTCATTGTACACCAATACTCATTTTTATGTTATTTATAATTTTTTTTACAAACCTAACTATATGAGCAATATTAATCTTGTATAGACCTTAGTATATATAAAAGAGTTAATTGCATAGATATAAAGAATTTATTTTATCTTAGTAATATCTTTCCTTATATGTCAGATACTAAATATTAAATAATTTAAAATGTCTAATAAAGCTAGAGGAGTGCCTACTATTTTAACATTGCCTATATTAAATAGATCTACCACCTTCATAAGATAATTCTTGTGAGTCAACTATAGCTGACCTCTCTCTTGGTCGTTAAAGATCTTCATATCAATGATCTTTTTTACCACTCGAAGATTCTTCATGTTAAATATTTTACTCAATAATCCTTTCAATCTAATAATTTCATGTGAATTCTTCAAAGTAATAAATATATCATCAACATAATGTATCAAAATAATTTGAACTATCACCACATGTCATCATATAAACACTAGTCAAAATCATATATCATGTTGACATAGGCGAGAAAAACCCTAGAATCCATAATCCTTATCTAAGAAAGAAGAGGAGTACATGAGGTTATATAGAGTCCCTCGTATCGTAATGACTCCTTAGCCATTAGATCATTCTTTAAGGCCATGTGCATGTTGAGCGGCGTTAGATTCACGAACTACCAATGGATCACTTTACATATTTGGTATCGTGGTGGCTCGTTAGTCACAAGATTTGGCTCATCTGATGAAGTGGTTCACTACATACTGCTAGATCACACCACACTCTAAATGGCTACTCGAAGATGAATGAAAACTTTTAGTCTCACATTAGAAATATTATAGACACATGAGCTGAATATAAATCAAAGCTACCGCCTCTCATTAGAGATCTCTTATCCCAAAATAAAATAATGTTTAGGACCATCTTGAGAGAAGGCAAAAGGGTGGTCCACCCTCGCCGTGCACATATGTATGGACGCTCTTTGCCCCACAATCGATTGGCCACTAGGACGAGGAAGGAGAGTGATGCACATGTGCACAAAGCGAGTCCTTCATCACTTGAGCCTAACTCATGGGTCCCTCAATTTGGGTCTACTCACTCGACTGCAGCGCCCCTCTAAGTTGATTGCGGAGTGTTGGCTTGTTAGTGGGTAGAATATTTTTATATTTTATTCTTTTATATTTTTGAATAATCTAAAATTACACTAAATATTGTAACTTCAGACTCCTAAAATTAAAAAATATCATATATTTATTTTATAAGTTAATAAAATAAAATAAAATAAAATAATTAATTAAAACATAAAAATTTAGCTTTAATAGGTGATAAGTCTTCATTATCATGAGTTAATAATTAGTAAATAATATAATTTTAGCTTTAACTCATAATAAATAGACTTATATTTATATTGAATTGTGAAAATTAATTTTTAATTAATTAACATAAATAAGGATAACAGTTGTCAGAGATGATTTGATGACTTATTTCATTGATCTCTAGATTTTACTAAGAGATCTAGAGATTGTGTACGTTGTTGTTATCAAAGGAGAGCCTTTGAGGTTGTGGACATTGTGCGACGATCCTTTCGAATACTTAGGATTCTAGTGCATCACCGACACATCATCACCGCAACATCGGAACTTTATTTTTCTATTTTCAACTTAATTTTCACTTCATTTAGTGATAATTTGTGTGATTTAAATTTACCAAACTATTTTTCATTCAATTACGATTCTTCTGGCTTTTACAGATCTTAATTTGATTGACTAATCATAAGTAATCATTTACATAAAAATTACTAGACAAAACTCTATTTTCACCCAATTCACGTTCCTTAGGCACTGATGTCATCTTGATATCTGCACCCTTATTTCTCTTTTTTATAAATTTAAAATATATTTTATTTTCATTTCTTAGTATAAAATTTATAAAAAGTCATATTCTTTGAGAAAAATTTTGGAACATTACTCAATATTATATAAGATCCGTATGATCAACTTGGAAAATTATCACTATTTTTGAAATTTTATTGAATTATAATTAATACATTTGTTCATAAATACTTCTAAATATTTACAAATTGATATTTTCTAGTTTAATAAATTTTAAATTTTCTAAGTCACTCAAAAAATTTGTGATTCCATCGCACTATAGGTTACTTGTTAATGTGACATAGTCATTGCATAATAAATCACGTAAATTTAAAATTTATAATAATAGAAAATACTAATTTTTTAAATAGTTTAAAATATTTTTGAAGAAGTATATTAATTATAATTCAATAAAAAATCTAAAACAGTGGAAAATTTTCAAGTGGAACACAAGAATGTAATATAAGATCAGGTAATATTTCAAAATCTTCCTCATAGAATATGATTTTTTATGAATTTTAGACTAAGAAATAAAAATGAAATATATTTAAAATTCATGAGAAAGAGAAATAAGGGTGTGGACATCAGGATGATATTAGTGCTTGATGAACATGAATCGAGTAGAAACGAAGTTCCACTTGACGATTCTTACCTAAGTTATATGGACGATTTAATTGGTAAAATTAAGATATGTAAAAGTTAGAAGAATTGTAATCGAATGAAGAATAGTTTGGAAAATTTATATCACACATATTATCATTAAGTGAAGTGAAAATTAAGTTGAAAATAAGAAAGGTAGAGTTACAGCCTTGCGATAGTGATTGTGAGAATTCTGTGCTCAGGAGGGCTATCGAATGATGTCCACAACCTCAAAGACACAACCTAGACATTCATTGGATCTCCTTTCAAAGTCTAAAATATGGTGGCAGAAGTTAATAGTTGAAAAATAATAAAATAGAGTTTTGACATCGCGGTAGTGATGCAACGACGATGCATTAGAATCTTGAGCATTTAAGAGGATTGTCATATAGTGTCCACAGCCTCGAAGACTCTCATTAGATAAAGACAACATAGGTAATCTTTAAACTTTTTTGTGAAGTCTAGAGATCAATAAAATAGGACGTCAAATCATCTTTGGTAGCTTTCACTCAACATAGTAAAAAAATGACAATTTTGCAGCTCTTTGATGATTGCCACATGATGAAGATGAGTTAGATGGAGATAATAATTTTACTCAATAGATTCACAATCCTTTTATCATGAATCATTCAACAATTTCAGTAATGATGCTTTGTGAATCACATTCACAAGATTTTTACTAACGTTTGAGTGATTTTGGCAAGTTAATTCTTTATTAATAATTTTAAAAAAATCACAATTTAATCATATAAAAATGTGAGTTTTGACTTTAGTAGGATTGGAACCCTTGCTAGTCACTCGTCTAGATGAGAGAGAGTAAAATAAGTACACAAATACCTTTATAAAGTGACGTCATGATACTACTGATAACTTGTGAAATTATATACTAATCTATTATCAAATTAGGGAGAATAATCTATATTTGAGAAATATTTCACAAGTTATCATGTTAATTATTTTATTTGTCATTTAAATGAAGCTCTCTAAATCTTAATTTAAATTGATATTTGATAAATACAAATAAAATTGATAAAAAAATATTTCATATCATGAGATGTAACTTTTATTTATTTTATTTTGTAAGTAAAATCTTATTGTGCTAAAATTTTATGATTAATTGAAATATATTTTATATAATTATTTTGAAAAAAATTAGGCATTAAAATAAATAAGGCAGTGATTATTATATACAATAACACTTGCATGATATTTCCAATAGTGGTAACTTTCCAAGTTGATCATAGAGATGTAATATAATATTAGGTAATATTTTATAATTTTTCATAAAGAATGTGATTTTTTATGAATTTTAGGCTAAGAAATGAAATATATATATATTTAAAATTTACGAGAAAATAAAATCAGGGTGTAAACTTTAGGATTATGTTAGCATCTAATGAATGCAAAATAGTAGAAATAGAGTTCTGCCTAGTGATTCTTATGTAAGCGATTATAAATGATTTAATTGGTCAAATTAAAATTTGTAAAAGCAAGAAAAATCATAATTGAATGAAGAATAATTTAGAAACTTGACATCACACAAAGTATCACTAAATGAAATAAAAATTAAATTCAAAGAAAGACAGAGTTTTGGCTTTGCAACAACGATCACTAGAATTCTGTGTTTGATAGGATCATCGAATGATGTCCACGGCCTCAAAGACTCTCCTTAGATTTGGGTATTTACTAGATTTCCTTTCAAAGTTTAGAAAATAATAGTGAATGTTAAACTAGTTTTGAAAATAGATAAAATAGAGTTCTAGTGTTGCGATGGTGATGTATTAATAATGTGTCAGAATCTTGAACATTCGAGAGAATTTTTGTGTAGTGTCTACTACCTCAAAGGCTATCTTGAATAATGTTTTATTATCTGATTTTATTTTGTTAACTTTTAGAATAAATATATGATATATTGTTAATTTTAAAAGTCTTAAGTTAGAATAATTAATATAATTTTTGAGTATTAAAGTAAAAATAATAAAATATAATAATTCTTCCACTTGCTAGCAAGCCAGCACTCAATAGCTAACCTAGAGGGGGGACATCGATCGAGCAGGTAGACCCAAATCGGGGGAGCCACGAGTTGGGCTCGAGTGGTGAAGGCCTCGCTCCATGCACGTGTGTGTCATTCCCCTTCCATGTCCTCGTGCCCAACCAGTCGTGGGGCAAGGAACACCTGTACACATGTGCACGAGCGAGGGCAGACCACCTTATTGCCATCTCCCAAGATGGTCTTGAGCATTATTTTACTTCGGGAGAAGAGATCTCTAGTGAGAGACATAGCTTTAGTTTATATTTGGCATATGTTCTGAAATATTTCCAATGTGGGATTAAACATTTTCATCTATTTCAGCACAACCATTTGGAGTGTGGTGTGATCCAGCAGTATGCAGAGAGCCACATCATCTGATTAGCTTATTCTTGCAGCTGGTGAACGGCCACGATACCAAGAAGTTAAGTTCTCACATATATCACCATTAATGATATAAAGACAATAGATATTATTGATTATCTTTAAAATCTCGACGGTAGTCGTGAATACGACAATCTGTTCTTCCCTCTTTTTGCGCGATCAACGTCTCTAGTGATCGACAAACTTCTTCCTTACTCCCCTGACTGCACTCAAGGCCTCTAGTGAGTGGTCAGCTCTTCCCTTCTTCCCCCAGACGACAATGATAATGTGGTTGGCCCTTCTTTCGGCGGATCTCTCTAGCAAGAGGCATAGTGCTTTTGGACGATACTTCTACAACTTTTGGCATGGTGTGACATGACCAAAAGAAACTGAGCTGCCACACCGGTGCCTCAAGTTGCCCAAGAGGCATACTAAATTTGGGCAACAATTTATTTCCTACTTTCAGCATTTACTTACCTACTTTTGTTATTTATTTATATTTTATGGCAAGCTATTTCCATTTCATGCACATTTTGATTGAAATGAGTAGAACTAATTTAAAACTTGATGAATGATTTTCGTTCTTTTTCTGAATCCTTCGAAACCCATCTAAGATCAAGTTAAGATCATTTCCAACTTGTTTCTCTTGATTTTTGTAGTCGAATCTTGACATATTCACATTCTCAACGTTCCATGAATAATGAGTATTTTTCTATTTTTGAATGTGAAATCATCGAGATTAAAGATTGATTAATGAGTGTTCAACGATTAAAACAAGTTGGAGACATTCACGGCTGACCTCATGTCATGTGTGTGAGTTTTTGAGTATATATTCATCTGAGAAAATCAATTGACCGTATTTCTCTCTTCTTTCATTTTCGTCTTATTTCTCTCTCTCTCTCTCTCTCTCTCTCTCTCTCTCTCTCTTGTGAGACCTCTCTTCTCTCGCCGTGTCTCGTGAGATCTCTTCCTTTCTCTTTCTCTCTCTCGATCGATCTCCTTTTCTTTCTCTTTCTAGATCGATCTTCCTCTCTCTCCTTCTCTTTCTCTCTCTCATGAGACTTTTCTCTCTCTCTATCTCACGTGAGATTTCTCTCCTCCTCTCTCTTTCTCTCCCTTTCATGAGAGATCTCATCCCCTCTCTCTCTCTCGTGAGAGCTCTCTCTTCTCTCTCTCTTTTCCTCTTTCCTTTTCTCTACATCCCTTCTTTTATTCTTCTCACCTTGCCCTTCTATTTTTTTATTTTTGTTAAGTATTAATATAATATTAAAATTGTTTATATATAAATTCAATTAGTTTTCATGACGGATTAATCAATCTCTCTATGTTCGACTTGAGACTTACTTCTATACTAGTATTTTATTAAGTCTTAGTTATAAATATTATTAGATAGTGTGCATTTAAACCCAACAACAAGTGCACAACATTCGTCAATCAATTGGAGATGATTTACTCAATGAATTCAGGATTCATTTATCGTAAATCATTCAAAAATTTTAATAAGAATGCTCTGTGAATTGTATTGAAGAGATTTTTGTCAATTGAGCAATTATGATGACTTATCCTTCACCAATGATCTACACAAAAATCACGATTTAATAAAATAAAAAGTATGAATTTTGGCTCTAGTAAGATTCAAATCCTCACTAGTTTCCCACTTATATGAGAGAGAGTGAAATAAGCACATGTATCTTTATAAAGTGGTATAATCAAGGTACCTCATTTTGATAGACAAAGGGTATTTAAGGTAGAAAAGTTATTAAAATATTTTTAGAAAGTTGTGAACATCAGTTTAGTCCCACATTAATTATGCATCGAATTTTGAAATGAATATATAGTAATATGAGATTAGGAATCAATGAGTCCTCTTCTTGGGTGTGTACAACCAATCTTTACCTCACACCTAGCTGACCACTAGTGATGTAGAAAGGGAGTGATGCACACATGTCTCATATTGGTCCAAACTACTCAATCCCTTGTGGCTCTACTTGACTATGCTTCCGACATGCTTGTAGGCCTGGTTGGCTGGCTGGTGGGTTCCCTTCTTTTTCTCTCTTTTTATTTAATTTATTTTTCTTTATTTATCTCAAAAATAAAATCATAAAAATTATATAAAATCACTTAATCAGTAAAAAAAGTCACATTAATCAACTAAAAATCATTTTTCACAATTTCACATTAATATAAGTCTATTTATCATGAGCTAAAGCTAACATAATATTATTAATTAATTACTAACTCATGATAATGAAGACTTATCATATCCTTTCTCTTGATGTGTACATGTGTGCCTTCACATGCACACATGTGTATGACCCTCCTTACACCATGACTAGTTGGTAACTAAGATGTGGCAGGTGAATGATGCACACATGTGTGAAGCGAGCCTTTTGCCACTTGAGCTTAGTTTGTGGCCCCCTCAGTCTGGGTCTACCTACTCAAGCGTAGGGCCCCTCTAGGTCAATTGTTGAATTTTAGCTTGATAGCAGGCAATAATATTTTTCTATTTTTTATTATATTTTTTCTAATAATAAAAAATAGGCTAAATATTTTAAATTCAAACTTCTAAAATTAAAAATATATTTCTCTATTTTTCTGCAGGTTAATAGACAAAAAAGAAAATAATAAAACTAATGAAAATACAAAAATCTAGCTTTAATAGGAAGCACAATAGTTGTCTACTATTGTGACAACTCTTAGATTAGGTCAAATTTAGATTTATATTTTTGTGATATTAATCACCTAAAATCTATTTAAGGAAGGTTGTGTAGGTGAGTATCTTCAAGTAGAAATATCCTAGAAGTTCCGAAGATTTAATCATCATATATACATGCAAATTAGTCTTACCCAAGGTATGAAACAAAGGTAGATGAGATTGGGACCAGCTATTGATCATTGACCTCCTAACCTAAGATCCATACTTTGAATTCGACTCTAAGCAAGAAAACAATACAAACACCAACCTTTTATTCAAAGATTCAAAGCATAGAGAAACTTCCGACCTCCTCCCCTATTACAATACACAAATGTTGAAAACAGAAGCTCTCATCTCATGGATGATAGAGGGAATGTATATAAGGAAGGGTTCCCTACCTTAGATTGCTTGTGGATGACCTTGATCTGGTCTCACCGCTTGTCAATCCTGCAATCTTCACTAGACATGATGAATCATTGTTAAAGCTAGATTTTTGTGTTTTAATTATGTTTATTATTTTATTTTTATGTGTTAACTTGCAGAATAAATATAGGAATATATTATTAATTTTAGAAATCCAAAGTTAAAGTAATTAGCATAATTTTTAATTATTTAGAAAAATAAAATAATAAAATATAAAATATCACTGCCTATTGGTAAGCTGACACTCGATAATTGACCTAGAGGGGCGCTGCAATTGAGTAGGTAGATCTAGACCAAGGGAGCCACGAGCTAAGCTTGAGTGGCAAAGGACTCACTTCACGCACGTATGTGTCACTCTTCTACCATGTCTCGATGGCGAACTAGTCATGGAGCTAGGTGCATCCTACACATGTGTGCATGCGAGAGTGGACCACCTTTTTACCTTCTTCTAAGATGGTCCTAGATATTATTTTATTTTGAGAAAAGGGATCCTTACTGAGAGACCATATTTTGATTTATATTCAGCTTAATTGTCAAAATATTTTTGATGTGGGACTAAATATTTAGGTTTATTTTAAGGAAGCGGGCTGGAGCATAGTGTGATCTAGTGATGCTCAACATGCCACATCATCAGATATGGTAGATCTTATGGTGTGTGAGCCGCCATGATACTAGATGCATAAAGTAATCCATTG